CCTCCCCCCCCTCCTCCTCCCCCCTCCTCCTCCCCCCTCCTCCTCCCCCCTCCCCTCTCCCCCCTCCCCCTCGCGTCAGTGACGACGCGTGGCCACATTGAAAGTCGCCACGCGCGCAGCGAATTTGGCCCTCATCGATATCCGAGCAAACAGGTCCCTGCGGGGTGGGCTGGTAGGAACGAATAACCAAAGAATATAAACATCATGTATTATTACACTTGTTTAGCCAGGAAAGCCCCACTGAGTCTAAAGGTTTTTGTAGGGTCCTGCCAAGTGTTTGCAGTAGGGGGCGATGTTGCTGCACCTAATCGGACGATACGAAGGGAGAGTTTGAGGCCTACTTCTAGACTTTAGGCCTAGCTGTAGGCTTTAGGCCGCTGTGAGTTAATTTTTAATCTAAATGTTTTAATTATTAATGTAAAAGCTTTAAATGTAAATGTTTCTATTTAAAAACATCAGGGAATGTAACATTGTTAAACATGAACTCCCTTTCACACACGCGGGGGTACGATACGAAGGGAGAGTTTCAGGCCTAGTTCTAGGCTTTAGGCCTAGCTGTAGGCTTTAGGGCGCTGTGAGTTAGCTTTTAATTTAAATGTTTTAATTAAAAGCTATCTCAGGGAATTATAAGGGAATGTTACACTTGTTTAGCCAGGAAAGCGTCACTGAGTCTAAAGGTTTTTGTAGGGTCCTGCCAAGTGTTTGCAGTAGGGGGCGATGTTGCTACACGGACGGACGGACGGACGATATAATCTATTGTAGGCTGGTTCACTTCGTTCCTACCAGTATAATCGCCCGCTGATCACCGCGTCGAACACAACCGTCACTCATCCTTGACGTGCTAATTGTACTACACATTCACTACTAATTGTACTACACATTCACTACTAATTGTACTACACACTTCACTACTAATTGTACTACACATTCACTACTAATTGTACTACACATTCACTACTAATTGTACTACACATTCACTACTAATTGTACTACACACTTCACTGCGGCGTATACTAATCGCTGCATTGACCGAACCTCCTATATACAAAGATAAAGATCCCCTATTTAGACTTAACAGATTGTAGGGGCAAGTGCTGTTAGCGAGCACCTATGAAGGCCGGCACGGCACACGAGGGGGTGGGTGGCCAACACCACGCCCGGCCGCCTTTGTCTCCCTAATGACGGTGATTACACATCGCACCAGGTACTCATTTGAGGCTGAGTCGGCCTCGGGGAGGCCCGGGACCGGTTCAGATAATCGTCACTGGTGTTGGCCGTGAGCTGGAATCGAACCCGGTTCGCCGGGTTCGTAGCGCAGCGCGCTAACCGCTACACTACCGCTCCCATGACAAGCACACACACACACAAACACTCACACACGCACACAAACAAACACTCACACACAAATACACTCAGACACACTCACACACAAACACACACACAAACACTCACACACAGACACACACACTCCCCACTAATCACACTGCACGTAGCGCACTTCCCGTTGTCCCGACATCGTCCGCTGGGCTCGCCAGCCACCAACCTTGCCTAAGCTGCTCTCCTGCCTGGCCTGACAGCCAAATGTGACCCCGTTGTGTGTTTGTTTTGTGTCTGCGCATCGCGTGTGCGCGTCAAGACTATTGGGTAACATCAGCAGCGAGCACGTTAACACCGGCTCTGTAGAGCGACTCAGTCCAACACAAGTACCTGGTTTGGTGTGTAAAACATCATCATTTGGGAGATAAAGCCGTCTGGGTGTGGTGCGACTATTAATATTTACCATTCTTCATTTGCCCGGTAAGACCCACGGAGATATTTGGCAAATTTTTTCAACCAAGTGGCTTGTGGAAATTGATAGCAGCCAAATGCGATTAAACGCACGTTGATTCCAAATGGGGAGATAATAAAAAAACCCGTAGGACTCGGATAAAAATCCACGCGACCACGGGGAGAGAGAGAGAGAGAGAGAGACGCAAACCCCAAATATACAGCAGCAGGCTTCAGGGTCCGGGATCGAACCCACGAACCTCCTGTATACCAGGCGAGGTAGTTAACATCTCCCCACCGTGGCTACTGCCCACACCCAGCAGTCTTTGTCTAAACGTGTGGGGAACCTTTGTCTTGTCACGCTTCGTAGCGTGCTGTCAGTGCCTGGCCTTGGCTTCAGTGTCTGCTGCACGGGCGCCTGAGCCGTCTAAATGTCACACGGTTTGCGGGCAATGCGAGTCGTATTTGATAATTTTTTTAGGTCAGATCTGCGTGGAGTACAATGCCAATATGAATGTGTGTGTGTGTCAGCAGAGCGGTAGTGCAGCGGTTAACGCTACGCTGCGCTATGGGTCTGGTGACCCGAGTTCGATTCCCGCTCACGGCCAACACCGGTGACGATTATCTGAACCGGTCCTGGGCCTCCTCTAGGTCGACTCAGCCTCAAATGAGTACTTGGTTGGGTGTGTAAAAACATCGCCACTGGGGTGACAAAAGCCGGGCGTGGTGTTGGCCACCCACCCCTTCGTGCGCCGTGCCGGCCTTCATAGGTGCTGCTCGCTAACAGGATGTGCCCCAACACTCTGTTCAGGCTCTACGGGGGATCTTTGTCAACATAGTGAGCGTGTTCTTATTCTTGGTTCTTTCGGTAAAGTCACGTAGAAGGGAAATAATAAAATAAGAATTTCTCACGACGTTTCGATTGCAACACAAGCAATTATCATCAGGTGTGAAAACCACAGCAAGAACATTTTTGAAAAATGTACGATGCCATGAAACGTCGTGAGAATTGTAATGTTTTTATTTATTTTATTATTTCCCTTCTACGTGACTTTACCGAAAGAACAAGAATATGAATCCCTGCAGTCACGAAAGCTTCAAATCGAAATAGTGAGCGTGCTGTAGCAATACTTGACGACTTTATTTATTCAGAATGGGAATATTTATCCTGGAGGAATCCATTGAGCTGTAAAACTGTTTTTCACAGCTGTCATGTAGGGGCGAGTAAGAACGTTACAACAACAAACAATACAAAAACATGATCGTAGTACTAAGTACAAGAAAGGTAAACAAATCACCCAAACACCTACAAATATAACTAAAACCATCCCCATCCTACCAGGCAAAGCCCACTGAGGTATTAACTTAATTTTCAGAAGTGACCTGGCCACAAACGATAGATCAACGAAGCGGACGGTGGGAGGGTGAACAATGCACCATCCTACAATTCGCACGATTCGCGAATGCACTCTCCTCCAGTGTACGATTCCAACAGCATGTTGTTTTCCTTTGGGTTTTAGCAGTAACGATATTCTGGCCTCACCAATCTCAGTGTCACTTAAGGTAAAACGCAGTTTATCGGCTCTGGTGAGCTTTCTGGCTTTAACCTTGTCATCGGGTGGCTTTCCGTAAAACAATTGCATCGTGTTACATTTTCGATCTGCCGTTAAACGAAAAAAAAGACGTGAATTTTTAAAAACTTTTTTTAAATCTGGTGCATCGTGGTGAAAAATCCATGCCAACGTCAATCGATGTCTCGGCAGAGGCGACGTTTCTCAACGGCTGTTTTGCCGTACACGAGGTGTCTCCTGCGATGATTTGTGCATCGTTGGCGCGCCCAGCGTTGCTTCCATGCCCACGTGTGTCCAGCGTGAACAGCGTCGTTCTTGTTACAAGTTTTGAGCCACGGGTTGGTGGTGCAGTGGAGAGGGGGGGGGAAGTGTTGGTCGTATTGCATCATCCGCAGAGTGAAACAGAAGTTGGAAGCATTGAGCCACTGGTGCTCATCTGTTTTGGTTTACAGCCCTGAGCCAGCAGTGGTGGATATTCCACGTTCCTATGGTGGGGGCAAAGTCAACCACTGTTGACTTTCTCCACAGAGTAGTACTCAATTTTATCGGCCCCCGGGAGTGACAATCGGTTGTCGACACCCAACCAAGGATTTGAACTCGCAACCTCCCGATAGCGGGAGACGCCTTGGCCGATGTGCCGAGGTGCGTCGCCGTTCTCCCACGAACTTCTCCCGAAGCGGGGTCGCGTGGGCCAGGCACGCGCACACAACGGCATGTCGCTTCAGTGCCACGGAGGCCGAGCGTGAACGCGAGTGGCCCCCGATGCTTTGAAACAACATTTTTAAACCGCTTGGGCAAAATTACGTTGAAAAATCTAAAGTGAGCAATGGTGGTTGGGTGGGGTTTGGGGCGGTTTGTTCAGTCGCTGAGAGGAAACGAGGCACATCCGACAGCCTTCTGGTGAATGTCCCCGGCACCGTTTGCTTGAGAAGCAAGGCAGGCCCGGGACTGGTTTAATATCCTCGCTGATTCTTGTCGTTGGAACAATGCCCCCCCCCCCCCACGGCTCCTGTCGCTAAAATCTGCGGCTGCCGGGTCAGCTGGCCCACGGTGTTGTTGATGAGACAGAAGGTGTAAGGTTTGCCCTTAACGCGTTTTTTAAAAATGTTTCTTACTGAGAAACATGAATTTCGAAGGGCCATCAAGCCGACGTGTGTTAACACTCTCCTTCCCATTAATGACATTAATCCCCCTCGTCCCGCCGTTTATTTTTAACGCCCGAGAGACATCTTGTGCTCGGCCGTTTTTTTTTTAGGTCTTGGGAACTGAGCGACAATTACGAGAGCGGCGTTTCCCGAGCACGGGCTGAGTCCGGCTATGTTTGGGAAAAGTCTCCGTCAGAAACGGGCGTCTTGAATCGTCGGCGTCGCGGTCTTTTCGGTTTCGCGTCCGCCCCGTCTCGTCGTCTGCGTTGGCCGCGTCTTACGTCGTTTCGTTGCGGCTCCGAAGTCCCCTGACCCTCGTTGATCGGTGGGGTCGGTCGTTTGGTCGGTTTGTTGGTTAGTCGGTCGTTAGTTGGTCGGTTCCCCCGGAACGCTTAAGAAATGTACGATGCCGCGAAACAATGGTCACAAGCGGCGCACGTTTCCGAAGCCTTACTACGCTTTCAAAATAACCAAAAAATCCCCTCGTCCTCCTGGATCATGTTGTGCTGCAGCAAGACGCACCTCCGGCGTGGCCTCGCCGCTGAGAAGGAGACGGAAGGCAACGAGCGGAAAATCTGTTTTGATTCAAATGTTATTTATCCGAGCGCCACGCGCAGATTTTCCCTGACGATGATCTCTTCTCTATTGCTAGGGACCGTTAGCAAGTGCCGGAAAATGGCTGAGAATGCCGAGGATGACGTTAACTTGCTTAGTGCCAAGCAGCTCTCCACTCTGCTGCAAGAGCTGTGGGAGCTGCGTGAGCGCGGCTCCTTCTGCGACGTCGTGGTGGAGGTGCAGAGCCGCCGCTACCTGGCGCACAAGGCGGTGCTGAGCAGCACCAGCGGCTACTTCCGCAGCCTCTTCCTGGGCGCCCCCTGCAGCAGCATGGGCCCCTTCGTGGTGGACTTTGTCTCCATGGGAACGTTCGAGCAGGTGCTGGGCTACGTGTACCGCGGCGACGTGACGGTGAGCCGCGCCGACGTACGCCCGCTGCGCCGCGCCGCCAGGAAGCTGGAGCTGCGCTGCCTGGTGGAGGCGTGCGAGCCGTACGTCGGCGGCGACGACGACGAGGAGGAGGACTCTGAAGACGACGACCACCTCGCCTTCGACGGCGGCAATAACGCGGCCGAAGAGAACGGCGGGTCCAACGGGCGCGAGGACGACCCCTTCGACGTCGAGAACGACTTCTCGGCCGTCGCCGCGGCCGACGTGGCCCCGGCCGCGGACTGCGGCGGCTGGAACGGAGAGAAAGAAGATCGCGCGGACGAGGAGCGCGACGCGGGCGGCCTGTTGGACGACTACGGCGGTCGCGCCGCCTCTCCCGCGCACGCCATCAAGAGCGAACCTCAGTGCGACCCGCCGGCCGAGGGGCACGCGTGGCCCGTGAAGGCCGAGGAGCTCGGCGGCCGAGCCGACTGCCTCTACGCGGACGCCGGCGACGCGGCCGCGCCGCCCGGCGGCGAAGGCCTCGACGACGAGGACGACGGCCGCTGGCGCTGCGTCCCGCCGCTCGGACTCGAGCCAGAGCCGGCGGCGCCGTCGTCGGCGAGCGTCTCGCCGGAGAAGTACTACCGGCACGCGGGGGGGGGCCCGCCCGAGCGGGTGCAGTGCGGCGCGTGCGGGGAGCCGATGGACGCCAGCGTGTCGCTGCTGCGCGAGCACTCGTGCACCCACCTTGACCTGGAGCGCCTCGAGTGCCGCCTGTGCGGCGCGCGCTTCGCCTACATCAGCGAGGCGGTGGAGCACGCGCTGGCGCACACGGGCGTGCCGGTGATGGCGTGCGCGCACTGCGGCCGCCGCTTCGTGTCGGAGCGGCTCATGGGCGTCCACGCCTCGGGGCGCTGCCGCAAGAATCGCGGCCCGCGGGGCGGCGGCGGCCGCTCGGCCCTGCCGCACCACCCGGCGGGGGCGTCGCCGGCGCTTGCCGACTGCGCCGAGCGACTGCCGTGCAAGGTGTGCGCCGAGCCGCTGGCGCAGAGCATGTCGGCGCTGCGCGAGCACGGGCGCCTGCACGTGGACGCGGAGCGTCACGCCTGCCGGGTGTGCGGCCTGCAGATGACGTCGAGCGGCAACCTCGTCAAGCACTCGCTGCTGCACATCGGCATCCTGCTGTTCTGCTGCGACTCCTGCAGCAAGAAATTCCTCTTCAAGAACCAGCTGGAGAGGCACCACAAGATCCGGTGCTGCGGCGGAGCGATGGGGGGGTTTGGCGGCGGCGCCGCGGTGGGCGAGTGATGCCCCGGCGTACGCCGATTTACGCGTCGCCCACCCGCTTCTGAATCGAAGACGTTGTTAGCCGCCGTTGCGGTTTGGGCTCGTGGCGTTGCAGGCGGTCGTGCGTACGAGCCTCGAGGTCACGGTCGTTGGCCTGGCACGGAGAGTGGTGGCCAGGTGAGTGCAGGTTGAGGTGGCAAGTCGCTAACCGAAGAGGGACGCGGTCTGTGACTGTTGGTAGAAAAAAATAAATTGGCATGGAAAATAAAAGTAACGTCTGAAACAAAGCAATGTTAAATGGAATACAGAATTGCATAAAATGTGTTTTTATTTTATCACTACGGACTTATGCAAGAATATATTCCATTGAGCAAGCAAAATAAACAACAACAGGAACATTAAAAGTGTGGTGTTTGGGAAAATTAAAGGAAGAACTGACACAGAATGGCTTGACAACATCAGAGATTGGTGCCAGAAAGATGTGGCCACGACTTGAGAATATTGTATTGGCACTACAAGACAGAGGAAAGTGGAAACACATGACGACATGTGCAGTGGACACCATGGACCGTGATGATGATGGTGATGAAGAAACATACAACGATAAACATCTGAACTCAAAAATGTGCGTTTGAGAATTTTAAGACAATTGTGTTTTTTTTTTTACCCACGTAAAATATCGTTAAAGTTAGCTTCTTGTACGTTCCTGCCTGCCGAAAAGTGATTTCAAATGGTTGTGTTCCTGCTCGGTAATAAGGGGTTGAACGTTAAAGTCGTTATATGCCTGGTTATTTTTGTGTTTTGCAGTAGTCTGGGAATGTGACTGCAGTTTCGGATCAAAGCCTCTTAATTCATTTACGGGGGTTACCTTGGCAGAATAAACCAAACGGATCGTTCAGTTGTGAGCTTTAGAGATTTCGGCGTGGTGGGGGGTTCGTTCGGCTTTTTGTAAAACAAAGATCCCGTGCGGCTTCACCGATGCAAATTGTCACGAACGGTGACGATGGATTGAGAGCGTCTAATGAGCGACTTGCAAGCTCGACGGCCGGAGGGAGAGGTCCCCGTACACATCCACCAGTTCGTGGGCTTTCACAAACAAAAAAAAGACAGATGTACATCGCACCTACCTAGTTTTCGGTGTTTATTTTACCGTGATTTGTATTTGCGATAATATAATTGGTGACTATTTATTTCGTTACCTTACGGGAGAGGGGCGGGGGGTCTCCACTGCTGTGTTGCACTACCATGTTGCACTGTCGGTCAGAGACAGCCGGTGTTCAACAGGCGTGCGTGCGTGTGTGCGCAGGTGTGCGCCGAACTGGGACAGAGTCCCATCAGTGAGCTCCTCTGGAAAGAGGAGCGGCGCTCATGATAACAAGTGTAGCACCTGGCGGTTAAAACTCTGCAAGTGTGCACAGCTGGAGTGCATCTGCCAGTCATCTCAGTCGGTCAACCCATGGCACGCAGGTGTATTCTGTAACCTGCCAGCGGCGAGCCTTCGACACTTCACGCGATGGCCTAAAAGTGCACCTAGCCTGGTACGAGCGCCGTGATGTCACCGCCAATTAGTGGCGAATGGCGGTGGCTGCTGTTGCTGAGGCTGTGACTCCAGTCTTGACGCCGTGATACTCTGTCCCAGGTTTTCCACTGAACATTGGATACTTTGTAACGTGAAGGGCGGCGTTGCTTGTGTACAGCCCTTTAGGATTTACTCGTCTCTAGCCCTCAATTAAATAACACTGGTCAACAACAACAAAAAACATTTTTTTTTCTGGCCTGGACTTTTGCAGCTGTTTTAGACTAATTTCAGGGTGCTGATTCCAAATCTGATCTCAGATTTGCTCTATCACATCTCATTTTTATGCTATCGGCATACCCCATTTTTATTGATTTTACCCGAAATTAACTCTGTCACTTATGATTGCAAGTTGTTGCGAGTCAGTGACTGCTTTAGTGTTAACATATGGTGCTGTATTTTTAGGATAGTGTGTTTATAATATTATTTTATGTAGATATCCATATTCATTTAATATTTTTCTTCTGCAGTTTTGAATGAAAATGCTATATTTGATATCTCAACAACCTGATGTGATAGACAAAAACTGATGCCAGATTTGGAAACAGCACCCCAAAATTGTGTGACCAGTGATATCTTCATTTTTGTTCTACTCTCCCTTACCATACTGAGCTGTCTTCTCAACTACCCAGCACTGCAGCCTCCTACCACTCGCCTTGGCCCTTCGCATGGTGTGCATATCTCCCCACCTCCGCTCACCCCCCCCCCCCCATCTTTGTACAGCTACTTGAGATGCGGTCACATTTTCGATGCTATGGGAATCCAAATTGTGATTTATATTGCACCGGTGCCGGACTCGACCAGACCGATCTCCCTGGGAATCTGCGTGGGCTGCGAGCGACCGTCTGCTGGAACTCCGACGATGATGAAGCCTCCGTCAGCGCTTTTACACCTTCTGAGCAGGGGGTCTCTTCGTGGCTCTCGGGTCTGTGTGCGTCTGCGTGAGTCTATAGCTCTGTGTGTGAGAAGGTCCTGCCAGTGCTCGCCTGTTTCTCACTGGGCCTCTATTTTGAGTCATTGGTTACCTGCGTGAATTTGGGTTTCTGTGTGCACCTATATGTTCCTGTGTGAATCTGCGGGTCTATATGTGCATCTGTGGAGCTGCGCTTGAGTTTACCGGTCTCTTTGGGTCTCTGTTTAAGAAAGCACCGACGGTGTAGCCATATATCGGTGCACTCCGGCTTTTCAACTAATCCATGGTGCCCTGCATGCATCGTCACTTTTCAGACTGGGAAAACCCAGGACGGAGTTTGTAGCCTCGTCAACCCGGAGCCAGGAGCCGCAGCTGTTCCCACGTTGTGACTGCTGCTCGCATAAACTGCTACCACTCGCAGGAATGAGATAAGCAGGGCACGCATGTGCCAGCGTCCCTAGGGGAGCCACACAATCTGCGGCACAAGCCGCCGGTTAGCCGGCTGTTGGGAGGCAGGGTTAGTGGGTCATGCAGAGATTATTGTGAGTGTGCGTTCTTGTGTGCGAGGTCCAACCTGGGGTCAGGGTGACGGGGTCGGGAGGTCAGGTTGACGGGGTCGGGGTAACGGTGAGGGGGCCGGGTGAATTGCCGGTGGTTGAGTGATGTCGGAATCGCTTGTTTTTGCAGCCATCATGCATCCACAACGCTTTTGTGATGCAAACATCGTGTTTTTCGCGCAACAGACTATTGCAAGCAATCCTCGTGTGTTGTTCCGGGTAAGGAAAGGTATTGGGCGTTTGTTCTCTCAAGCTCTTGACACGCACTACTGCGGGCATCTTCACTTGAATTACGAGTGGCTCGCTCCACGAAGCGCCCTCCTACTTCCCGCGGGGCGAACGACCGAGGTGGCGGCATTTTCGACAAAGATTCGCGTCCAGCAAAACAGCATTGAGGGTGAAAAATATCCGTCGAAGCAATCGGTGGACAGTTTACTGTGCGTGCCCTTGCAGTTGATGAAATTACTCGGAACAGGCAGCACTGTGGGCTTAGTTGATCCACTAGCAGTAAGCAAATACAAGCTGACCTCTCTGTACGTACGTATGTTGAACTTCTTTCGCACCGTACGTAGCCAACCGTTGCATAATCCGTAGGTGCAGAGGGGAGAAGAAGGGCAAACGTGTTTTAGTCAATCGGTCTATGCGCTTTCCAGACCACGATTGTCCATTGAAGGTAATAATAGGCTGCTGGACAAATAGACGTGCTGTTTACAGAATCAGAATATTTATTTATACTGGAGGAATCCGATGAGCCATGAAGCTCTTTTTCACAAATGTCCAGTAGGGGGGCTCGGGGTAAGAACGTTACAACAACAAACAGTACACAAATACAATAGGAGTGGCAAAGGTAAACAATCATGCAAACACATACAGTGAGGGAAAAAAGTATTTGATCCCCTGCTGATTTTGTACGTTTTCCCACTGACAAAGAAATTATCAGTCTATAATTATAATGGTAGGTTTATTTGAACAGTGAGAGACAGAATAACAAAAAAAATCCAGAAAAACGCATGTCAAAAATGTTATAAATTGATTTGCATTTTAATGAGGGAAATAAGTATTTGACACCCTCTCAATCAGAAAGATTTCTGGCTCCCAGGTGTCTTTTATACAGGTAACGAGCTGAGATTAGGAGCACACTCTTAAAGGGAGTGCTCCTAATCTCAGCTTGTTACCTGTATAAAAGACACCTGTTCACAGAAGCAATCAATCAATCAGATTCCAAACTCTCCACCATGGCCAAGACCAAAGAGCTCTCCAAGGATGTCAGGGACAAGATTGTAGACCTACACAAGGCTGGAATGGGCTACAAGACCATTGCCAAGCAGCTTGGTGAGAAGGTGACAACAGTTAGTGCGATTATTTGCAAATGGAAGAAACACAAAAGAACTGTCAATCTCCCTCGGCCTGGGGCTCCATGCAAGATCTCACCTCGTGGAGTTGCAATGATCATGAGAACGGTGAGGAATCAGCCCAGAACTACACAGGAGGATCTTGTCAATGATCTCAAGGCAGCTGGGACCATAGTCACCAAGAAAACAGTTGGTAACACACTACGCCGTGAAGGACTGAAATCCTGCAGCGCCCGCAAGGTCCCCCTGCTCAAGAAAGCACATATACATGCCCGTCTGAAGTTTGCCAATGAACATCTGAATGATTCGGAGGACAACTGGGTGAAAGTGTTGTGGTCAGATGAGACCAAAATGGAGCTCTTTGGCATCAACTCAACTCGCCGTGTTTGGAGGAGGAGGAATGCTGCCTATGACCCCAAGAACACCATCCCCACCGTCAAACATGGAGGTGGAAACATTACGCTTTGGGGGTGTTTTTCTGCTAAGGGGACAGGACAACTTCACCACATCAAAGGGACGATGGACGGGGCCATGTACCGTCAAATCTTGGGTGAGAACTCCTTCCCTCAGCCAGGGCATTGAAAATGGGTGGGTATTCCAACATGACAATGACCCAAAACACACGGCCAAAGCAACAAAGGAGTGGCTCAAGAAGAAGCACATTAAGGTCCTGGAGTGGCCTAGCCAGTATCCAGACCTTAATCCCATAGAAAATCTGTGGAGGGAGCTGAAGGTTCAAGTTGCCAAACCTCAGCCTCGAAACCTTAATGACTTGGAGAAGATCTGCAAAGAGGAGTGGGACAAAATCCCTCCTGAGATGTGCACAAACCTGGTGGCCAACTACAAGAAACATATGACCTCTGTGATTGCCAACAAGGGTTTTGCCACCAAGTACTAAGTCATGTTTTACAAATACTTGTTTCGCTCATTAAAATGCAAATCAATTTATAACATTTTTGACATGCGTTTTCTGGATTTTGTTGTTGTTATTCTGTCTCTCACTGTTCAAATAAACATACCATTAAAATTATAGACTGATAATTTCTTTGTCAGTGGGCAAACGTACAAAATCAGCAGGGGATCAAATACTTTTTTCCCTCACTGTACTAATAAAACTGAACCATCCCCATCCTACCAGACAAAGCCCACTGAGGTATTAACTTGTTTTTCAGAAGCAACCTGGCTGGCTCGATAAAGTGGCCCATCATTTGGACATTATAGCAGCCTAAGTAATCTAAATAATGTACGTGGAGAGGCGGAGTGTAGTTGCGCATTGCGATTTGCTATCAGCCTTGACGCTCCACAAAACGTCTCGTTTACGCCACTCGCTGTGGGTTTTCCAGTTCGCATCATGGTCGGGGGTCGACTCAAAACCCATCATCCTTCTGGGGTCGGTAAAGTCAACGCACCGCTTTGTGTGGGGGATAGTCCTTTGTAGGGACTGACCCACGTCATGGGAATTCCCTTCTGAGTTGAACACGTAGTAGTTGTAACACGTCGTAGTAGAGAGAACTTTGAAGTTGCTATTATTGTGGCGATTGTTTTTGATTCGGCGCGCCCTGCTACAAACGCCGGTGCATCTTTGGGCTCTTTACATCAGTCTCATCCAAGACGGACGCCCGTATCAATAGCCCTCTGATGCTGTCGGCCATCCCGATTTAGAACGGTTGGCTACGAATGGTGCGAAACAGGTTCAAACATGCGTACATAAATCCCGCGACGATGGCACTTGGCGACGGAGTGTGGAGATTTTCCTCGAGCGGAATGAGATGGGACTGGGGTGACTTGCTTCTCCGATGCTTGGCCGTGGGGTGTCCGGCAGGTGTAGTCATTGGGACAGAATGGTGGACGACCCACAATCCACTGAGTCCAGACCAGAAACCGCACTTTAACTGGTTCAAATTTGCTGCTTGCGTTGTGGCCGAAACGTCGTGAGAATTATATAATTTTATGTTTTATTTTTATTATTTTATTGGTTCAAATTTCCCAATGTGGTCAACACAACGACAGTGAATTGTGTGATAACCACTTGAAATGAGTGTGGTTATCAAGTTATTCCCTCCTGTCCGCCGTATCTGATCTGGCCCATGGACTGATAGGCCAAACTGAGAAGTATTATTTGAACACGTACATTTATACGGCCAATAAGTTACGATGCACAATTTTAAAAAATGTTGGTTCCGGCCATGCGGTGATCTGGTCAAATCTGTGTCGTGAAGCCCTCCACCACCCCGACAACCCAGCCAATTGAATTAATACTCTTATTTTATTTCTATTATTACTTTTATTAATTTTTATTTCATTTTCTACCTACGTGACTTAGCGAAAAAACCTAAGAGTATGAATCCTTGCAGTCACGAAAGCTTCAAATCTACGAGCGTTTTGATGCACCGTTTACGTTGACCATTTTGTGGCCAGTTGAAGAGAATTTCTCGCAAAGCGTATGATTTGCATTTGGAATGCGACCTTTCGTTCTTAAATACGCCTCGACGTCAAAGGGGGTAACGTTTCCTGTCCTCGATGTCACATGACCGGGCCCTGTTCCAAACAACGCAACATCACCTCTGTGCGTCCGTGGCTGGCTTGAACAGTGATCCATTCATGCAGGGAAGTCTGCGTGCGCCAGTTCAACCTTTTGCCGGTGTACGATACGCGGTCGTGGGTGGGGGCGCACTTCACTCTGCCCAGAAGTTAATGTTTGTGAACTATTTACCGCGCAAAAATAAACAACCTTGTTTAGGAAATCCTAACGTGGAGGTGGCGTTTTTTTTGTCGCCCTGTTGGAATCTTCTGTAGCCCCCCCCAACACCGTGCAAGCTCACGGCGTCGCCACAGCACAGGGCAAGGTCGCTCGGCATGGTGCGACGCGGTGCGAGACCCTGGGCTACAGAATAACAGTGGGGGCCCGTGTTGTCCAGATGGGAGAGACCTGGTTCTTTCCCGCTTGTTTTTGAAGTTGAAAATGCGTGGCCTGCAAGAAGTTCAACGTGCAGACGAGACAGTCTGTGGTGACGTGGGGAGTAGAATAGACGCAGTGCAGTGAAGCGGCGTGTAGTGACCGTGTGTGGATTATAGAGACGGTCTGTAATGACGCCGCATGTAGACTAGAGACACGGTCCGTGTTGATACAGCGCTACACTATACGCAACCTGATGCGGCACACAACGGCCTGCTCTTGAGAAGGACGTCAAGGGCTCTTCAGCGTTCGATTTGAGCGGAGAAAGACGGCCCCCCTCCTGTGTGCGCACACGGCGGTGTTAATCGGGGGCGGCCGCTGGATTCGAACCGTGAAGCTCTGTGATGAACGGCGAACGCACCACCCCCTGGGTCTGCTGCCCCCATCCTCGTTGAGTTCTGGGCCCACGACCTCTCGGCTTCAAGCGTTCGACCTTCACTCATTTCGAATGACGTCAAGGGGGGGGGGGACCCATATACTTAATTATTTATAGAGGAGAGGCCACATTGTGTGTCACAGGAGGTTTTATTTTTTATCAAGAGGGTGTTGCTACATTGGGTTGTTACTTTACGATGTTTTTTTAGGCCCCATCGCGGGTTCATGGGAGGTGTCAACAGCTCGGGAGGAAAGGTAGGTTACATTGTGGGGCAGGGGGAGGAAGATGATGTTTTGTTTTCGGAAAAATATATTTTAAGAAGAGGATTTGTGCTTGCATTTCAATTATCATTGGCAGTACATATGATCACTCTCACCGAGTCTCAAGGATCTGCCGATAACATTTATGCATGTTTTATTATCGATGGGAGGAAACCGGAGAAAACCCGTGCAGAACGGAGGGAGAGAATACAAACTCCCGTTTCAAAGACAAAGATCCCCCACACAGCCTGAGCAGACTGTTGAGGGCAAGTACTGCTAACGAGTAGCACCTATGAAGGCCGGCATGCCAGCACCCATGACTTCAGCCAACCTCGTGGCGAAGTTTCCACCGGGTACTCGGTTGAGGCTGGGTCTACCTAGGTGAAGCCCAGAACCGGTTCAGATGATCATCAATGGTCAGCGGGAATCGAAATCTGTTCGCCGGGTTTGTAGCGCTATGCTACAGAACCATCCGTCGACCATCGCCATCACATTGTTACGATTGATGACCAATTTTACAAATCACATCCGTGGAAAAAATGTTGAGAAACACTTTCCCCTTGTTCTTTGGTTCTTTCGGTAAAGTCACGTAGGTGATGTTGCTGACTTTACCGAAAGGGCGTCGGGGGAATGGGACGGAGCGAAAAAGGTGGAGCGCATACGATCATTTCCCAATCAAAAATTTTTCCCCTTTGACGCTGCGGTCACTCCCCGGTTTCCCGCTGTGCCTGCAGAGACGCCACCGCGACCCTCCTTCCCCGCCCCCCCTCCCCGTGCCGAGATGGAGGTGGGCGCCGCCGAGGAGATCTGCCTCTCCACCAACAAGCAGCTGTCGGACCTGCTGCAAGAGCTGTGCGAGCTGCGTGAGCGCGGCTCCTTCTGCGACGTCGTGGTGGAGGTGCAGAGCTGCCGCTACCTGGCGCACAAGGCGGTGCTGAGCAGCACCAGCGGCTACTTCCGCAGCCTCTTCCTGGGCGCGCCCTGCAGCAACATGGGGCCCTTCGTGGTGGACTGCGTGGGCGCCAACGCGTTCGAGCTCGCGCTCGACTTTGTCTACAAGGGCACGGTCACCGTGGGCAGCCTCGCTGACCTCGGCGAGCTCCACCGGAGCGCCCAGAAACTGGGCATCGTCGGCCTGGAGGAGGCCTGCTCGCCGTTCCTGCCCGTCCTGCCCGCGTGCCCGGAGGACGCTTCTCCGGCGGCGAACGCGGACGAGCTGAACATTGTGGAGGTGGCGCGTGTGAGCACGGTGTCGGTCTTCCAGTACGGCAGCGACGGCGACGACGACGGCGACGACGACGACGGAGACGACGGAGGAGGAGGGGGCAGCATGCACGCCCCCCAGGGCAAGTGCTCGCCGGCGCCGAGATTCGGTGCGGGCCTCGCCAGGGGGATTGGCGGCAGCGGGGCCTTCGTGGAGTGGCCGCTCGCCCGCGAGCCGTTCGGCGGCGCCACCCGCGCCGGGGAACCCGCTCAGCCGCGCTTCGCCGCCGGCCAGGAGCGCCGGCACCACGGTTTCCCGCGCGGCGCGTTCAGGGGCGGGACCGGCGCGGCCTTTGGCGAGCTCGTTCCTGCCGCCGATTACCGGATCAAGGTGGAGTCCCCCGACGAGGAGCTGTACGAGGGGGCGGGCGACCCGTGCGACGGCCTCGGCTTCCCCAAGCAGGAGCTGGACTTGGCGGCCGCCGTCCTGGAGGAGGGAAAGCAGCCGCTCTCCTTCTTGCGGATGGCGGCGTCGCCCTCCCAGAGTCGCTTCGCAGCCGGCGGCGTCCAGGACGACGAGGAGGAGGAGGACGAGGAGTACGACGACGACGCGGCGGCGGCAGCGGCAGCGGCGGAGGAGGCGGCATGCGCGATCGTGCGGTGCCGTGCGTGCGGCGAGGCCGTCGAGGAGAGCGTCTCGGCGCTGCGCGAGCACTCGTGCGGCCACCTGGACATGGAGCGTCTCGCGTGCCGCGTCTGCGGCCTGCGCTTCGGCAACATCAGCGACGCGGTGGAGCACGCCCTGCTCCACACGGGCGTGGCGCTGCTCGCCTGCAAGCACTGTGGCCACAAGTTCCTGTCGCCCGAGAAGCTGAGCGCCCACGCGCGGGGCCAGTGCAAGAAGCGCAAGTACAAGGGCATCGGCACGCGCCTGTCGAACGTGCGCCAGCTCAAGTGGCAGCGGCAGGCGGTGCCGGCGGAGCGCGCGACCTGCGGGGCGTGCGGGGCGGCGGTGGCCGGCTGCATGTCGGACCTGCGTGACCACGGCCTGGTGCACCTGGACGTGGAGAACCAGCGGTGCCGCCTGTGCGGCTACGTGTCGCTCTACAAGAGCAACCTGGTGAAGCACTCGCTCGTGCACATCGGCGTGTACCTGTACTCGTGCCCCACCTGCCGCAAGAGCTTCCTCTTCAAGTACTGAGATGGATCGGCACGTCTGCCTCAAGGCCAAGATGGAGACGGTCACGTAAGGGGGGGGGGGGGGGAGCCCGCGGAGCCACGCGTTGCCTCCGCCTCTTTGTTGCGCGCGTCGATGCAAACGGGCGGAAACCTGGTGGCGGTGGTGGTGGCTGGCGGTGGTGATGATGGTGGCGGCGGTGGTGGATGGTGGCGGCGGTGGTGGCGGCGGTGGTGGCGGCGGTGGTGGTGGCGGCGGTGGTGATGATGGGACGAGCTGAACCGGTAACAGGAGACGACTGCTTGGCCCAGCAGTCGGTTTTCTTGTCGCCAAACCACCTGACGTGGGTTGAATTCCCTGCTGCTGCTGTTCTTCAAGTGTTCCGACAGGCCACAGCAGTGAAGGAGATGTTAAAGACCCTGTGGCATCGTCCACAAGAGTGGCCCCTCGTGTGGCCAGTGTCCAAATCCCACAGCAAAATGAGTTTTGGGCGGCGCTAATTTACGCTGCTGGTCCTCTGCCAAGTGGTGAAATTTCACATTCCTATAACAAGGCCCCATTGTGAATGCAATAGTTTTTGACTTCCTCGCAACTCACTAGTTGATGATTATTTAACCTACCCCAGCGAGATGGTGATGATGACGACGGTGAAGAGGATGATGATAATTATGACGACGCTGCGGTTGAGTCGTCCCTGATTGGGACCCGAACTAATAACTACACGATCACAAATCCGGTGCTCAATAAACTCGGTGATCTAATGTCCCATCCGTCGCTAAATATGAATTCGTAAAAATAACAGCCGTCGTCTGGTACGATCGTACTGGTCTTCCTTTACCAAAGAGGCATCGCGTCTCAAGCGACTTACGCGCTGCTGTCGGTTGCGTTTTTTGATTTTTAGTAACGCGAACAGAAATGATCCCGCACGCTTCCCTTGAATCACCGTTGATAATCGTACGGCTCCTTTCCGTGAAGCTACGCAACATATCAAAGAGCCGTGTACGTAGGCAGGCAGCGGTTGGAACTCCACGGTCGGGACATTGGCCACCAAACTCATTCTTTGCGTGTTTAAAACAAAAACTCAATTATTAGTTTCCGTGACGAGCTCGAGCGATCTTGAACGGTGCGTGATGGAAGCATCAGAAACGACTGGAGCTGAGACACCAGAGAACCACCCGGGCGGGGGGTCACCCTCTCTTGAATGTCGGTGCGGTGCTCATCGCCAAAGTCGCCACGACAGGCTCGTAGAGGCGTATGATCTGCCTGCTCCCACGCGTACGTGTACGATCGTTTACGATCATGAAATCACGCAGGCCCACGGAACGTTACGTAGAGAAGGCTCGTTGTCTACGTGACAAAGGTCAGGCAAAGTGTTTTCTGTGCCCCGACTCAGCGGCTTTTACCGTACGGGTGCCGACAATCGGACGGACCGGCAGGTGATATCGGCTTCCCAGATCGGAAGGCACTCCTGGTAGCCGGGCTCACCGCCCATCCTCCCCGCCACCAGCAGTGCCCCAAGTAATGGTAATCGTGGCTCTGCTGAGCCGTGCTACTACAGTGTGGCTCAAGAGGACAGAGTCAACGATGGCGTTGCCGAGCCGGAAGCCGGACGTCCTGTGACCGACAGCGGTGCCCGTAACAGACACTCTCCCCGCGGTCACTCTCGCGAGAGATGCTGATACTTCTTGGTTCTTTCGGTAAAGTCACGTCGAATGGAAATAATAAAATGATAAAAATAATACATAAGATAAAATTCCCACGACGTTTCGGCCACAACGCAAGCAGCCGTCCTCAGGTGAAGAAACAGAGCTGTCGGAAAGACAGCTGCTTGTGTTGTGGCCGAAACGTCGTGAGAATTTTATCTTATGTTTTATTTGTATTATTTTATTACTTCCCTTCGACGTGACTGACGGCTGCTTGTGCTGTGGCCGAAACGTTGTGAGAATTTTTATTTTTATTTTATTTCCCTTCTACGCGACTTTACCGAAAGAACCAAGATGAATCCCTGCAGTCACGAAAGCTTTAAATCGAAATTTGATGCTGGCAACGCCAAGGTCCACCTTCGCACGCGGTGCCCATCTGTGTCCTGGTACGCTCGGAGCCAGAAGACTTTCCGGGTTCTTCGGACACATTTCCCCAGCGGACGACCTCAGCGGATCAACACCAGGAACCTCCCGGGGGCGGGTCCCTGCACGGTCGAGGCCGATCTTCACCACCGTGGCCTTGGTCCCGCAACTGAGTGTGGCGGCGAGGCCCAGGGTACGATCGCCTGGTGGTGGCGTCTCATGGGGACCGCCGATGCCTTGGAGGGGTTCGCGCATCATGACGACGCTGATGATGGTGGTCATGATGATGGTGGTCATGATGATGGTGGTCATGATGGTGGTCATGATGATGGTGGTCATGATGATGGTGGTCATGATGATGGTCATGATGATGGTGGTCATGATGATGGTGGTCATGATGATGGTGGTCATGATGATGGTGGTCATAATGATGGTGGTCATGATGATGGTCATGATGATAGGGCTTAAGGCGTCAACCGCAGAGGTCGTTCCCCGGGCAAGGCTGCGTGTAATGAGGCCACTGCAATGGGCCCTGCTGCGCTCCCGGGACCCGTGGCGTGGCGACCTCCCCAACAGCTGGTGCGGCTGACCCCTCGGGGACATTCAGGACATGGCCTGGTGGACTGACCGACCAGTTGGGGGGAGGCCTTATGAGGCGTCTCATCAGTTCGCTCGCCCACATTCGTCAGGCCGGAATCAAGACGTCTTAGCGTTTCGACGGAATGACCCCCAACCTCTAACCGCAAAACCACCACCAGTGCCAGTCAAAATGCATCGGCCACGATACCAGGGTACAGCTGCGCTCAGACCTGGCCAACGGTGCGTTCCTGAAAATAATTTTATTTTATTCAAGAAGACCAGTTTTCAACCTCTCCAGGCTGTCTCCTTCCTCCTTTAGACCCCTTTTCCTCTTTAGACCTGACACTGTTACTCCTTAAGCCCCACCTCTTCCTGATTAGACCTCACCTCTTCCTGACTAGGCCCCACCCTGTTACTCCTTAAGCCCCACTTCCTGATTAGACCCCACCTCTTCCTGATTAGGCCCCACCCTGTTACTCCTGAAGCCCCACCTGATTAGGCCCCACCTATTCATCTTTAGGCCCTACTCCGCTACTCCTTAAACCGCTACCCCTTCCCGATTTGGTCTTTCCTCCGGACACAGGGTTGGGATGTTTGGGTAGTGCAGGGGGGGGGGGGTGCAGTGTGCATGTGCAACAAGTAGCTGGTGATGGGCAGTGACGTAGGGGGTAGGCGTGGGGCAGGTTCACGACAACAATCCCTCCTTAATGCGGCAAGCTAACAACAAGTGTAGCTATCGCTGTTACTCTCAAGTGTTGGTCTTCTATAAACCCCTTTCATTTCCCACGCGTATCTTAAAAATATTCATGCCACCTCGTTGTGATAGTGTCATTGTACCCACAATCAAATCAAACGTTATTTAGTAGAGCACTCTTCACAATAAAATCATTGACAAGAGTACTTCGCAAATTGCATTACATCGAAACAAATTTTAATCGCGCAGTACAATTCAATAGTTTATCAACCCACTCCCCGAGGGAGTAAACAGGCCCCAGAAATTGAAAGTGGTGCTAAGCTGGCAAGACCAATCGACGCTCTACGGATTTGTGTCAGACCGAAGAGACGGATCTACAGCAACTGTTCAAATGTGGACAGACTACCACCAGTTTCCCTTATGCCAATGGCGAAATCGTTCCCCGACCTCGTCCGTTATCACTACGAGGACCTCCCCTCCACCACCTCCTTTCTTTGCTTGAACGCTCACGTTGCCAACCCTCTGGCAAATGCGTGCGACGATTGCCCAAAGTGTCGCCAAATGAATCCCCGTCTCTTCTTCAGTCCGAGCCGTCGCCTGCGGGTGCGTTGCCCGGTGCTATCGGGAGCACGTCGCCCCTCCCGCCATCCCCTCGCTCGGTCTTCAATAATCGCCCATGTCGCCGATGATCGTCGATGCCGCTTTAAAAGTGGGATCCGAGTCGGGGAAACCACCCGCGCACGAACCCGTTAACCGCTGCTGAGTCTCGCATGAAGCAAAGTGACTTTAGGGGTTAGTCCTGGAAAGAAGTTGACAACACACATGTACGCGTATTTCTTAAAATGTTTAAATGACCATTGCTAGCTTCTGCCGAAATAATCATTAGCTTTGTTGTGGAGAATATAAGTCACGTAACGGAATAAATAACGGGCATCCTTTCTGTCTGTATCTGTCCCTCCACGTAAAAGTTTCTTTCTTTCTACACATCCCATGAATCACAATTGACCCCTGCGCATGGAGCAACCTCAGCAGGTGGCAGTCATTTTACTGACCCTGGGCAGATGATTATGACTGTGCTGAGCTGAACTGGGACTCTTTGGAGCGAAAAGATTGACACCAATGGGCTCAACGAGTGGTGGTAATTAGAGGATTGAGATCGAACGGCATAAAAATGGCATCTGTTCCAGCGACCCCATCAGTATTTTCCGCTTAGTGCATCTTAAATTAGAACTCTGTTGCAAAGACGCGATGCCAAAATTGGAGTTGTGTCCGTACACATCGGAACGGTTTTACGGAGGATGGCGTTAACAGTTTATATACAACCCGCAAACAACGTCTACCTCAATTCACGTTTACTAACCTCAAACACAGCTCTCCGAAACGGTGTTTGATTATAATTTTTTTGTAGAACGGGTGAATCGAAGTTAAGTGAAGTTTTTTTTTTTAACTAACAATTTCTCCTGCGATTTTTCTCCGTTTGTGGCTCCTCCGTTGTTTCGCGACGGCCGCCCCGAGGCCACAATTAGAGGCGTTTGCGGCTAGATGCACGCTCAACAGCCAGACGCAGCAACCAGTACGCGCACGGTGGAGCGAACAAGGCTTCCAGATGAACACCGGGCTGCGTTTGCGACTAGAAGCACGCTTAACAGCCAAACGCAGCAACCAGTACGCGCACGGTGGAGCGAACGAGGCTTCTAGATGAACACCGGGCTGCGTTTGCGGCTGGAAGCACGCTGACCGGACACGCAGCAGTGAGAGCAGCACACGCGAAGGCTTCGGGGTCGGAATCGAACCCAAATGTCCCGTAGGACCCAAGTGGACATCGAGACGAGAGTGCCAGTAGCAGGAACCTACGGAAGAGCGCCCGTGTTTTTTTTTACGCAAATAAATAATGCTCTTGTCGTGAACTTCTAACGTATATTTTACCTTGGCGTGATGAGAAGATAGTTTTTTTTTTATCGACCGGTAATAGTAATATTGTTACTCTCAACTGGGGCTGCATGCAAACAGCCGGTCTGAAGTGAATCTTAACATTGTTCTCTGAAACCTCGCTGCTCACTTTCGTTATCAACTCGGTGCTTGGGTGGCTGATATTGCCCATCCCGAAGTGACATCGTCTCAGACTGGTCCGTCCTTTGCCGATGAGACCCTAATAAGTGGCAACCCGGTCTCATGCTGTTACCTTATTTAAACGAATGAAATAGCGAAATCATGAATGTAATGTTTTAGACCCCTTAGGTTCATGTAAACATCGTATTTCCCCTTTTTGTAGAAATTACTCACTTGTCAAGACTTAAAAAAACAAATGTATTTAAAAGGAGGAATACCTTGAAAATGTCCTTCTGAGAAAGAGGGAGTTAGTGTCTGGCAAAAACTCAGCCTTGTGTGGGAGGTGGACATGCATCTGGGTGGATGTTCTCTCCATGTTGAACTTCTTTCGCACCGTACGTAGCCGACCATGCTACTCGCAGGTGCTGTGACAGATCCACCACACCACCTGGATACCTCCCCATGATCTGGCCAACCGTAGCTCTCCATTCAGGCTCAAAATAAAAGGCTGAAACAAACTCGGTGCTAAACCAATTTTTTGTTTGTTTACAAGGCAAGTCCCACTGAACTATGCAGCGCTTTATCAGAAGCGACCTGGTCACAAAATGATAGCTCAACAAAGTGGATAATCGCGTGGGCATTTATTGCAGCCAAATAGACGCATGTTTCTAAACGCGGAGGGAAACACCGGAGGACCCGGAGAAAAATCCACACCAGCCAAATCCTCTAAACGTGTGATGTTGATTTTAAATGAGGGAAAAAGCGGAGATAAATCTATCCCACCATGGGGAGAGAGAGAACATGGAAATTCCAAATAATATACAGCAGGCGTCAGGGTCTGGATCCAACCTCCTGCATACCAGGCGAGGGAGTTAAATAACACGTTTTGTGCAAGACCATTTTATTCATTGTACATTAATAGAGAGGTTAGAGAGACCAAATTGAAAATAGTTGGAGACTGCACTTGACTCTGGGACCCTGATAAAAATGAAAGTAAAAAAAACTTTCTTCACGAACACTTTTAAAATTGGCATTATCTACTCGCAGCTATTGAATAACGCAATAATTTGTGCGATGAAGAAGGGCCGTTTCCCAAAAAGACGCCCGTTACGTTTAGAGTATTTGGCTGCCGCTTGTAAATTTCCACGCGACAAGCCACTTCGCTCAGCACTTCAGCTGCTATCATTTGTGATGGGTCGCTTGTGAAAAAATAGCTATCAAACTCGGTGGACCTTTCCTGGTATATAGAAAAACTCTTTAAATAGTTCAAATACTTTTACTTCCAAGGCCGCAGCGTTATCAACGCGGAAAACGTGTTACCCGAGTTTTTTGTCGTGGTGTTTTCGGAATCGATGATCGGGGGGACGTAATCGTGGCCCCGAAGGTGACACCACGGGAAGGGGGGGGGAGCTCTCATTGGCCAAAGACACGCACGCGGTCCTGCCCCGCGTCGAGTGACCGGGATCACTCGTACACACGGACGCGTCACGTGTGCGCGTGCCGATTAACAATTGAACGTGGCTTCACAATAATCGTCACCGGCGAACGCGTGTTTTCGGTGTGTATAGTAAACAGTGCCGTTATTGTAGAATGTAACTTCACGTGAGAAATGCTCTTATATATGTAACACACAGGAACAGTATTAGCGCTCACGAGCATTAGTGTCGTCGTGTACGATGAATAAAAGTTTTATCGGTGACAAGTGAATGTCGCGGACACGCTTTATGATTTGCCGAGCGCGATTGACATTGGGGGGGTTAGCGGAGTGGAGTAAACCCGCTTGGTCCGCCAGAATACAGCGGCGTACCGGTGCAGTCACAAGCGACAAACGCCGGGACGGTTTGCACCTCACCGCATTCACAGTTTGGTGAAATATCCACCCACACCTCTTTCTGCCTCCACGTGTTGTACCGTTGACGAAATAACCACCACTCCTCCTTCGAGTGTTCCAGGTTTTTTTTATTTGAAGGGTTTCTTTGAATATTTCACAAACCTGAGTACGTATTTTAAGTCCAAACAATTAACCTTGCATCACTTCAATAAGACCGTGCCAACCTCCCCCCCCTGCCCCCCGTTCCTAATGCACAGTATTTGCAGGCAGAAACGCATACCGTGGAATGTGTTTTAAGTGTCCAGAATAGCCACCGCATGGGAAGAAATGTCTTGAGTCTTAAAAGCTGGGGTGGTGTTTGTGCATCACACTGACAAAAGCACTGTGGCTGGGGAAAACCCACACAACTCCCCCCTTATTTAACAAAAAAAAGTCTTGGGGGTGCATTTAACAAACACTTTGTACGGCCACACATTTGACGATACAAAAAGCACGTTTAGAAATAAAACTCCGTGCAATTCCGTACCGAGAGAACACGCAAGCTTACTTTTCAAAGTGATGTTTTGCAAACCGTTACGAAAAGTAGCTGTTGTGCTATGTACAACTTAGTGTAAAGGTTATAGCTTCATATATATACAGCTTTAAGTGACAGTTAAAAGCAACGACGTTCAATGAGAATTAAATTGGTCACTGGTGGCCCCACGGCTGCAATGAAGCTTTCGTGACTGCAAGGATTCATACTCTTAGGTTTTTTCGGTAAAGTCACGTAGGTAGAAATAAGTAATAAAAATAAGTAATAAAAATAATAGAAATAATATTTTTTTATTTCTATTATTATTTCTATTATTTATTTTTTCCTATGTATAGCACTTGTTTAAACGGGCAAACTCCGAGTACATTGAGTCTCATCAGCAGGGTGTGTAACAACGAGGCAAGCCCAGCAACGCTGCCTCGCGTTAGAGGGAAGAGCCGTTCAACCACCAACCCTACGCGGGTTGTCCAGACAGGAGAGCAACATGGACATCACGGGAAACAGTTCTGCAACAGCTGTGACCATCAACAATTATAATTAATGTCAACGTTCAGGAAAAGTTTCTACCGGCTTTGGGTTCCTAACAAGTGCCTGGGATGAGTGAGGCCCTGTTCAGAACCGAGTGTGTGTGTGCGTGTGTGTGCGCGCACGTGCGAGTGAGTTTGTGTGTTCGCGATTGAGTTCCATTCGGAGTGTCATCCAATGAGACTGGGGCGTGTGTTTGCTAAAAGCTCCCCCAGTGTACAACCTCTCCCTCCCTGCGTCTCGATCAACAACGGGGTCTGTCGGTCCGTGCGAGTCTACACGAGTTCAACCCCCCCACCCCCCGGCCCCACGTCTCTTCCGCTAGATACCCGTTCGGTGTTCGCCGAGTTGCATTGGCTTGCCGTTGCCGAAGGCTAATCACACACACAAAGTGCTCGTCACAAATGAACCGGGACAGCTCGCGGATCTCGTCAAGGGGCATAAAACATCACGCAAACTCCGTCGGTCATCCTCGCGGCAGCAGCAGCAGCAGCGGCGGCTTTTGGCTAGCCATCCAATAAAGACGGTCGCCGCTTTCAGATGCGCTTCTGCGGCCGTCTGGAACGCTCTTCCTTCCGATGTTAGGAAGCCACTGGAGCTATGCCACTTTTAAATAATCTAAATTGAAAACTCACTTTTATTAGAGCTCCTGTTTGTGTTTAGTTTGTTGTCCTTCCCCTCTGATTAGCGCGGTTGGCTACGTACGGTGCGAAAAAAGTTCTACGTACGTACGTACGTACCCACATACGTCGCACACTTCCGCCGGCGGCAGGAGGACCGTGAGCGAGCCCTGCGGCCCGACCGCCGCTCCGTCCCCCTAAGCCCTGGCGCCGGCGCCGATGCTGCCGATCATCTTGTCGATTCTCTCGTCGTTGCGGTGGACGGACGCCTTGACGGCGCCGATCTGCTCCAGCTGCTCCTGGATCTGCTGATCGAGGGTCGTCAACTCGGCCCTCAGCGGCTCCAGCGCCTTCTCCGTCAGCCTTGGCGCGCGCACGAGAGACGGGCGCACGATAAGGATGCGCAAGCTGTAACGACTAAACTATTTTCTATTTCACCAGGTGAATGCCTCGCCGAGCTACGTAACCATTTTTTTCAGAAGCGACCATCTGGCTATCACAAATGATGGCTCAACCAAATGGGCTTCTATTATCACGTTGGCATTCATAGGCAGCCAAATACATCTATAGAAAAGATCTTCACAGCCCATCGCATTCCTCCAGTATAAAGATTCTGATTCGGAAATACGGAGGGGAAAACCGGAGGACCTGGAGAAAAATTACACGCGACCCCAGGGTGAGAGGATACGCACACTCCATATATACAGTGTCGGGGTCGGGATCGAACCCACGACCTCTTGTATACCAGGCGAGGGAGTTAACATCGCAGAACCCTGTAGCGAGATGAGAGGTAGTTGATAAGAGGACGGTGAGATTGTAAAATATTCATGAACCCCACAACATTGGCCAGCGGTTCTCAACCGGGGGTATGTGGACCCCTGGGGGTACGTGGCAGTGTCCCAGGGGCTAGACGAGGCGACTTGTAAATGTGTGAAGTTACACATCATACGCGAAGCCACTGGTGAATAGTCACGTGTGAATCTCCCAATATAAAATAACTACGATAACATTTAATTCCGTTGGGTAACCCGGAATCATGGTGGGTCAGGCAAAGGGGGTTTAACTCGGTTGAAACAAAATTCAACAACAAGGTAGGGAGTACATTTGCCATAAAGGCTTGAGGACGACTGGCTTAGGCTGTGGAGACAGGAGCGAATGTTAGGGTCAGGCCACTCGGCCTGCATCGCAGTGCAATGCACCACGGCAGTAGCTCTCCAGCAAGACGCAAAGATCCCCCGTATAGCCTTGAACCGACTGTTGGGACAAGTGCCGTTACATTGAGTAGCACCTCTTCTTGGTTCTTTCGGTAAAGTCACGTAGAAGGGAAAGAACCAAGATGAATCCCTGCAGTCACAAAAGCTTTAAATTGAGTAGCACCTATGAAGGCTGCCACGAGGGTGGTCAGAACCACACCCAGCAGAGAGCAGTGGGTACTCATTTGAGGCTGAGTCGCCCTAGGAGAGGCCCACGACAAATCCTTGGTAGCTTCAAGCAGGGAATCGAACTTCCAGATTTGAAGCTTTCGTGACTGCAAGGATTCATACTCTTAGGTTTTTTCGGTAAAGTCAGAAAACCTCCTCCCCCCTCCCCCTTAACTTGTATATAAGATCTTGTCTCTTGGATTTTTCCTCACTTGATACAGCAAATTTAGCCTTGACGGTCCCACCTGATGACGGAGACTTGTGTTGCCTCCGAAACGTCGTGATTTATTATTTTATTTCTATATTTATTTTTATTTTTACTACGTGACTTTACCGAAAAAACCAGGGCATCGAACTCCGTTCGCCGGGGGGGTTTGTAGCGCAGCACGCTAACCGGTTACACCACTGCTCCTCACACACACACGCGGGCACACACACACACGCGGGCACACACACACACGCGGGCACACACGCAGACACACACACGGGCACACGCGGGCACACACACACGCGCGGGCACACACACACACGCGCGGGCACACACACACACACGCGGGCAACCTGTGCTGGTCAGCGAGTGCCTCTGCGTGCTGCCGCCTCTGACGCGTCCACGTGGCGAGCTCGGCGTGCATGGCGTCCAGGTCTTCCTGCAGGTAGTCCATCACCTTGCTGAGAGGCAGCGTGCTGCGACACAGCGCCTGCACGGCGCCACGCAGACGCTCCGTCTCGCGCAGCGCCGCCTCGCGCCCCTTCTGACGCGCGCCGTCCATCACCACCTTGCAGCACGCACACGCACGCGCGGGCAGAGATCCCCACCCCGCGTCGGCTTTAACAGACTGTTGGGGCGAGTGCGCTTCGCGAGGAGCAGCGACTATTATGATGGCCGGCACGCGACGGGGGTGGGTGGGTGGCTGGCACCATGCCCATCCGCCTTACACTCCGCACCATGTGCTCATTTGAGGCCGAGTCGACCTAGGGGAGGCCCAGATAACCGTCACTGGTGTTGGTAGCCGTGAGCGGGAATCGAACTCTGACGACGGGGGTTCGTAGTGCAGCACGCCAACCACTACACTCCCGCTCACCCTACCCCCAGAGACGCACACAGACATGCACGCATTCAGACATATTGACAGACAAGCACACACGTACACAGTGACACGTGTGTATTCAAACACAGCCAGTTGCGCACACGAACACACACACCGCCACCGTCCTCCCAGAAACCCCTCTGCTGTTGCGTTCCACAAAGTTGCCCCCTCACTTTGCCCATCTGACTGCGTCTCCGATTTGGAAGAATCGCATCGACGTCACAACGTGTGCCAGCTGCCAACCGGCTCCAATGTCCACGGACAGCGGATGTCAACGATCCCCCGACGTCAGTCGCGGGGAGGGTGGCGTGGGGGCGTTGCGCTCCAAAGTTTGACAAATTCCAATATACATTCTTGGTTCTTTCAGTAAAGTCACAAGCAATCATCAGGTTGGCATTGCTGTGGTTTTCACACCTGATGACGATTGCTTGTGTTGCAATCGAAACGTCGTGAGAATTTTATCGTTTTGTATTTTTATGATTTTATTATTTCCCTTCTACGTGACTTTACCGAAAGAACCAAGAGTATTAATCCCTGCAGTCACGAAAGCTTTAAATCGCAATCCCAATATATTGCGAAATCGGGATGACAGCGGCGTTTAGAGTAAGAGGCCTACGTGGGGTAAGAGCCTCTCTCTGGCCTGGCGCCCGCACGCGCTTGTCGACTTGCTGGACCGCAGGGACAAGCAGCAGAGAGGCCAATGTGCACCTCCACCTCATGATGGCTGCGGCGACATCGGGGGAGCCAACCGTGCGCCAAGCGGCGGTGCGATCACATCGGGGATGATGTTTAGCCACGGTTGGCTACATCCGGTGCAAAATAAGTTATTTACACAAACACACACAGGCCTTTGACCCCACATAGGCTTCTTGCACCACTCTACATATCAATCATCGCCCCCTCTTACTGGCAGGCTACCACCTACACCCCCCTCCTAAATCGTGTCACTTTTGCAAACGAGACTTCATCCCCGGTCTCTCGGGTTGGGACTCGCGTCCAACAAACTAAAACTTGGGACCGTCACGCGTGGCCTGGGGACGGGGTGGGGGGGGTGTTCATTCGTCCCCTCGGCGTACGGAGCCACTGCCACCGTTGCACCTTGGGCGGCGTCCGCGTCGCTCCGTAGCCCTTCTTCGTCTCCAGGATCTTTTTCACGAGGCCACCTGCGGCACAAAGCGGCGCACGTCGGCACGTCGACACGTCAGCACGTCGGCACGTCGGCACGTCGACACGGGGAAACCACGAGGCCAAGGGGCTCGCGCGGCTCGTGACGCCGCTGCCCTCATCCCGCGGTCGCCAGGAAGCCGAGTCCACTCAGGGGCCCCGGGACTCCCAAGTCGGTGGTCTTCATCGTAAAGGCCCCTCCCCCCGCGGGTCCCACCGGCGGGCCGGGCCCCCCCTTTTGGCCTTTAGCACGGCCTCTCCGACAATACACGAAATGTGAAATACCCATCATCATCATCATCGTGCTGTCAAACCTCCCCAATGGTTTCAAGTGTGTGTGGTGGCCCCATACACTACTGATGTCTTATCGGCAGAGTGGGCCCTCCCATCTCTGACAATGAGTGAAAAAACACTGCTGAACAAGTCGACGGCTCCTGGCAATTTTCGTTGTTTTTGGCCGATTCCGTCAAACCGAGGCGGAAACAAACCCGAGATGGACACGAGACTCGACCTCCCTGCGGTCACAGGTATACCGCTCCACTCCGTTACTCGGGCCACCACACAACTCCCACAACACACAGTGTCTGGACGTCTCGCCGCTCGTTCGCGCGAGCCGCAACGCCCCCCTTGGAGAAGGGGGCTGCACGAGAGCAGTTGCGTGGACACAGGGAGGGGAGCGGGGGGGGGGCGCTCATGTTGATATGCGGTAGACGGCTTACGGATGCATAGTTGGCATTTGCTGAATAATTAAACACGAGTTAATTATACTCTGCAGTGCCACGCGTGCACCCTTCCACGCCAACAACAACAGCGCTGGCGATGACGCACACTACGATGGGGTACCACGGTGGCGGAGATGTTAACTACCTCGCCTGGTATACAGGAGGTCGTGGGTTCGATCACCACCCTTGACGCCTGCTGTACATTTGGAGTTTTGTCTTTTCCCTGTGGTGGTGCGGCTTTTCTCCGGGTCCTCGGGTTTTTCTCTCCGCGTTTAGAAACATGCGTCCGTTTGGCTGCGCTAAATGCCCACGCGATAAGCCACTTCGTTGAGCTATCATTTGCGGGACAGGTCGCTTCTGAAAAATATCGATATAGCTCAGGAGGGCCTTACCTGGTGAAATAAAAATAGTTTAGTTTTACAGTTTCATTCATAGATTATAGATACAAACTAAAAATTACAAGCACCCACCGTGTTCCTCTCCATCGATGTCTTCCGTAGCCTCCAACTGAAAAAGAAGAACCCCACTTTAGACAGACAGGGTATGGGGGGGGGGGCGTTGCCACGGTTGCTGTTGGCAATCATTTGAGGCCCGAAGACACCAGGGTGTATCATGGGAGGAATATCCCACAATGCCGAAGGAAGACAAGTGGTGTACTGTTATTATCATGACTACGAGTACAGAATTCCCAGGACGGCTGCCTCCACAAGAGGACGACGCTGGGAAAAGCAGGGCAGGTGGCAACCCCTAACCAGCACCATTTGTTTTGTGACTCCACGGCGCGACTCAAAACCTCCTCTGTCATCCAGGACCAGGGTCCGTCGTCACTGCCTGCCGTTGTTTCTCCGTGCCCTTCGCCCTCCTGTCTCCTTGCACTACACGGCTCACGATGGAACCCCCCTCCTCCTTCTCCTCCTCCGCAGCAGCACAGCTCATAACCTCCTCCTCCTCTCTGCATCGAGGAGCATGACCAGGGGTCACTGCCTGCCGTCGTTTCTCCGGGCAGACTCCGCCGTCTGCAACGCCATCGCCGCCCCACACATTTGCAGCAGCAGCAGCATGCGCATTTTTTTTTAAGAGGCACTCACACGGAGCTTGGCTTTGCACCCGATAGTCAGATTAATATACATCTGTGCGTGTTATAAATTGCACTGATATTATTATTGATAATTATTATATATTCAGCAGAGTACTGCTGGGACAGTACCCAAGCTGGGGTGTTCCCACAACAGTCCCACAAACTTTATAAAAGCCGTTCCTGGGACGGTAATCTGGCTGGCAGCAAGCTCGGATGGCTCCTGGAAGTGAGAAAGAGACTGGGGCTCACGAAAGCCGACTAAACGATGGCGAGTTGTTAACTACCTCGCACTAATTTTGCTGTCACACCAAAATTTGACACACTGATTTTGCTGTGACGGTTCCACCTGAAGACGGAAGCTTGTGTTGCCTCCGAAACGTCGCGATTTAATTGATTTATTTTCTTTTTTACCTAGATGACTTTACCGAAAACGAATAATTTAAAGTCGAGTTTAGTCGTGATGTCACACCATCGTTGCCCTATGCCAAGGAGGTCGGGCAACAAAGATAACGAGAGACATTTCTTTTGTTCAAATTCGGTAACAAACAAAAACAATTACAGGTAGTCCCCGACTTACGATGGAGTTGCGTTACGACGACCCCATCGTAAGTCGAAAATATCGTAAGTCGAAGATGGCCTCGTCTACCCAGGAGTCTTAAAGAATGGTGATAATTTAGCAACACGGAGCAATTTACAGTAGCGGTTACTGTATAAACTATATGCGTACAGTACATCCCGGCAGCGTCCCAACGTACAGTATCGTACCTTGTACGCTGCTGCGTTTGCCTGCTGCGCGAAATTTAAAATATTTAACAATTTTCTCGTATCACTATCGCCATCGTAAGATCGAAATAGCGTAAGTGGGACCCCATCGTAAGTCGGGGACAACCTGTACTTCAATCGCCGCAATGCGACGTGAACACAAGACGGTCGTGTGGTCCTTGACAAATTACGTCTCTGAGCCAGAGGTCGCAACCGGGTACCCGATACCCGTACCCTACCCGATACCCGGCTACCCGTACCCGGCCAGGTACGGGTGCGGGTAGCCGTTTGCGACCCTGGTGCGGCCGGGTACGGGTAGGCCGTGAGTCACTGGTGAGTCACCGTTTGTCACTCATTTCGGGTAGGGTACGGGTAGGGAATGGGTACCCGTACCCGGCCGGGTATGGGTACGGGTACCCGTTTGCGACCCTGGTGCGGCCGGGTATGGGTACGGGTAGATCGTGAGTCACTGGTGAGTAACCGTTTGTCACTCATTTCGGGTAGGATACGGGTACGGGTAGGGAATGGGTACCCCTACCTGGCCGGGTATGGGTACGGGTACCCGTTTGCGATCCTGGTGCGGCCGGGTACGGGTACGGGTAAGGAATCAAAACCCGTTTGCGACTTCTGCTCTGAGCGGGTCCTTGAAGGTTGCCCACCGCTGCCCCCATGCCCTTCACGGCAACCGATTCGTTCTGGGCGCAGCGTTTAAAACACCGCACTCACAATGGCAACCACTGTGGTCGTACCACCAATGGGCAGCACCACGTCACAGTCTCTGTTTGCATGAAACACTCTTTTATATAGACGCTACATTCGTCTGCTGTGCATATAAAATACCAAACACCGTTAATAAAAATAATTGCATTTTGACTGCTTGTGTTGTGGTTATTGCAAACATGATGCCTTGTATAAAGGTGTCAGTTTTTGTACCAGTCGAAAGGGTAAAAACCTATTACTATATTTTGCCACTGGTAAAGGAGGTCTCATAGTGTAAATGCTTACCCCGAGCTCTCAATACTCTGATAGTGCGCTGTTTTTGAGTTGTACGCCTTTTGGCGTCATCTGGTCCAACACCAATGGAGACTAGGCTCTAAGGAAAGCTGTCTCGGGTGTGGACCAATCAACTTCAAGGACAGTGCATATCATTATCATCATCAGGGTTGTTTCTTTTTGTTTGCATTTTGACTGCTTGTGTTGTGGTTATTGCAAACATGATGCCTTGTATAAAGGTGTCAGTTTTTGTACCAGTCGAAAGGGTAAAAACCTATTACTAAATCATTACCGATGTAAAATTAAATCAGTAGCCAGGAGTTGTAAACATGAGGTTCATTTGCAGTGGGGAGGGAGTGAATGAACATCAGAGTCTGTGGGCCAGAGCACATATTGGCACCACCTCAGACAGCAAAACTTTAGCCGTGTCGATTTGTTCACAGGGCTGATAGAAAATGGATTACTGGATAACCACACTTCGTTATTTCACATGGTTGTCACACAAGCTATTGGCCAGTACTGACGAGCGAAGCACCTGGGTCTGGCAGGCCCGTGGTGGAAGATGCAACTGTGAACATATTGCACTGTGGCCCACAGAGAACAGGGGGAGGCCAATGCATAATTGATTGTGAATCAATGGGAGGCGGGAGGGGGGTGGGGCGGTGGTGGTAGTCTATGGAGACGCCACATGAATATTCTAAAGCTTATCTTTGTAGGAGGCTCGCACCTGCTTTTAAACAAGGCTCTGGCGATGCATAATGCATACGCGAGTGTAAACACACCGGGCCTGTGGAGACTGCGCACGGATGTTACTAACCCTCCGCGCTCTCTCGCCTGATTTTTAAGTAAGTAAATAAATAAAGCTACGGCTGCCACTCTTGCGAGACGTTGGCTTCCGTGCGCACCGCCTCAACGACGCGAGCCCCCGCCGCACGTGGAGGCCGCACGACGGAGCCTCGTGGGTTTGCCGAGCGAACGCGACCACGCGGGGGGCTGGGAGAGAGCGCGACGGGAACCCGTTGCATTCTGCGGGCGAAGGTTTCGTGCTAGCGTCCACGGTTTCTAACCGCTGGCTTATCCGGTGAAGTACGTAAATACAAAACAAAAGATCGCCCGTATAGCCTCGGCAGAGTGTTGGGGCAAGTGCTGGCGAGCGGCACCTATTAAGGGCCGTTACATTTTCCATCGTAAATAAAATCTACCAAGTCGATCCATTCCGGTTATATGACCACTCCCAGCTGAGCACAGAGAGTAAAGTACACTCACAGGCCACCACGGGAGGAAGCCACGTGTGGGAAAAGTTCATGACGGAGGCCAGGAGGAGGCGTTCGTGTTGAAGACGCGCAGAGCCCCACACTGGACATCTGTGAAAAGGAGTTTCACAGGCTCATCGGATTCCTCCTCCTCCAGTCTAAATAAAAGATTCCGATTCTGGAAGCCGATTTCACCGGGATAGGATCTCCGAATCGATCCGCCACCACTCGGAACACCAACGAGCTGGTCGGACCAAACTCCTCTCGCGCTCTCATCAAGCGAGCGGCGGACGCCGCTTAGAAGTTAGGCGGGCAGCAGAGGTCGCAAACGGGTTTTGATTCCTTACCCGTACCCGGCCGGGTACCCGTACCCTACCGGTACCCGGCCGGGTACGTGACTTTACCGAAAGAACCAAGAATATGAATCCCTGCAGTCACGAAAGCTTTAAATCGAGATTACAGTTAATTTTATTTGTACGTATTTAGGCAATTATTTTTTACCTTTCCTGTAACTTTCCACCCCTATCGTGCTTTTTGTATCGTTTGTTGTTCTTACGTTCTTACCCCGCGTCCCCCTACAGCACATCTGTGAACAAGTATAACCCGTAAAAATAAAGTTTTCACTATAAATCCTTTATATGCGTGGCGGCTAGAGTCCTCTCGTCCTCTGGCTTGAGATGGCTGCCACCTATGGGTCAGATGATTGCCTGCCACCATTAAGCAATTGGTAATTAAATATAATATTTTAGTCCTAAAAAGTGTTACATTTTTTAATTTTTTTTCACGAACATTTATTGCCACGCACAACGAGTCTGTGTGCAAAATGTAAGCTCGATTGGATCATGGGAAGTGGGTTAAAAAACGACCGAAAGATTTGCACGGTCGTAAGCGCGCAAGCAAGCAAGCGCGCAAGTGAACTTAATATAAAGGATATTAAAAAAATAGCTTCATAGCTCATCGGATTCCTCCTCCTCCTCCAGTCTAAATAAATATTCTCATTCTGGTGACGTGGAACTCACGGGTCCTGCGGCGTCGAGCGAGTCCGAGGTAGCCGGCGCCGACTCGGCAACCACGAACTGGTCGTCGTCGTCGTCGTCGTCACCGCCGTCGGAGTTCCTGCCTCCTTCCACTATGACGTTGGCCACGGCCTTGGCGCTCCCCGTCCTGAGCTCAGCAAATACGCGCACACACACAGAGATGAAGATACACGTACACACAGAGACCACCACACGCACACACACACACAGAATGATACACACACAGAGACAACAATACACGCGTACATAGAAATACGAAGATACACGTACACACAGAGACCACCATACGCACCACACACACAGTGAGAGAATGATGCACACAGCGACAACGATATTTTATTATTTCCCTTCTACATGACTTTACCGAAAGAACCAAGAAGATATAGAGCTCTTTTTCAGGCGCGACCTGCCGCACAAATGAAAACGCAACAAAGTTGCGTATCATCACGTGGAAATGTATACAGGTAGGAACAACAGGTTCCACACTGCCCACCAGGGATTATTTGTCTGTCCGTCGTGCACGAATGCGCTGTCCAACCAAGTTCCTACCTGCCCACTCCGAAGGAACGTGTTAGCATCAGCCAAATCTTCTAAACGTCTGTTTAAGGGGCTCTCGCACCTGCGTGCAGGTTCAAGGATAAACTCGGCCGAGTTTGTGGGGGGACCGCGAGGGTTGGGGTCGCCACGGCGATGCCTCGTTACCTCTCGGTCGGATGCGTCTCGGCGCTCTCCTGACGTCGGATTCTCGGTGCAGCCGGGCGGGCGCTGCTGGGGCGCGGGGGCCTCCTAGTACACACGCACACACACACACACACACACACACGCACACACACACGCACACACACGCGCACACACACACACGCACACGCACGCACGCGCACACACACGCACACACACGCACGCACGCACCCGCACGCACACGCACGCACGCACACACAGCACACATGCACGCACACACACACGCACACGCGCACACACACGCACGCGCGCACACACACGCACACACACGCACGCACACACACGCACTCACGCACACACACACACACACACGCACGCACGTACACACGCGCACACACACACACACACACACGCACACACACACACGCATCACAGAGCGCGCAAACAAAGACAAAGATTCCCCTTATAGCCTTAACAGACTGTTAGGGCAAGTGCTGTTAGCAAGCACTTATGAAGGCCGACACGGCACACAAGGGGGTGGTTGGCCAGCACCACGCCCGACCAGCTTTGTCTCCCCAGTGGGGATGTTTTTACACACCGCACCAGGTACTTATTAGAGGTTGAGTGGACCTAAGGGAGGCCCAGGGCCGGTTCAGATAACCGTGAGCGGGAATCGCGCGTGTGTACGCAAGTCCGTACCCTCATGTGTCCGCACTCATGTACGCAAGTGTGTACGTGCTGGTGTGTGCGCTCTCGTGTACACTAGTGTGTACGCTCTCGTGTCCACTAGTGTGTGCGCTCTCGTGTACACGAGTGTGTACGCTCTCGTGTACACTAGTGTGTGTGCTCTCGTGTACACTAGCGTGTGCTCTCTCGTGTACACGAGTGTGTGCGCTCTCGTGTGCACTAGTGTGTACGCTCTCGTGTACACTAGCGTGTGCTCTCGTGTACACTAGTGTGTGTGCTCTCATGTACACTAGTGTGTGCTCTCGTGTACACTAGTGTGTGCTCTCGTGTACACTAGTGTGTGCTCTCGTGTACACTAGCGTGTGTGCTCTCGTGTACACTAGCGTGTGTGCTCTCGTGTACACTAGCGTGTGCGCTCTCATGTACACTAGCGTGTGCTCTCGTGTACACTAGCGTGTGTGCTCTCGTGTACACTAGCGTGTGCTCTCATGTACACTAGCGTATGCGCTCTCATGTACACTAGCGTATGCGCTCTCATGTACACTAGCGTGTGCGCCCTCGTGTACACTAGCGTGTGCGCTCTCGTGTACACTAGTGTGTGTGCTCTCGTGTACACTAGCGTGTGTGCTCTCGTGTACACTAGCGTGTGCTCTCGTGTACACTAGCGTGTGCGCTCTCGTGTACACTAGCGTGTGCACATGCGTCCGCACCTCTGTAGCGGTAGCACAGCGACATCAGCAGCCTCGCCGTTCACCCGCGCTCCCTCCTCCTCCTTCTCCTCCTTCTGCGCGCCCTCCGCCTCTGCGATGCGGGAACGATTCACTCGCTTTGGCTCACGAGCGACAAGCCTGCCGCCGAAGCGACTCGCGTTCATCCCCGTTAACCCCTACGCGGGAGCACGGCCCGGTACGCCCTGCCCCGGACGCTGGGGATGAATGCGTTTGCAGGCAACGACAGCAATACTACCAGTTTACGTGGGGGATTCGTCCCTGAAAGGTGTGACTGACGGATATCGAAGCGCTTTAAAGGGGAATAGTAGTGAGGGAAAAAAGTATTTTATCCCCTGCTGATTTTGGTCAAATACTTATTTCCCTCGTTAAAATGCAAATCAATTCATAACATTTTTGACATGCGTTTTTCTGGATTTTGTTGTTGTTATTCTGTCTCTCACTGTTCAAATAAACCTACCATTAAAATCATAGATTGATCATTTCTTTGTCAGTGGGCAATCGTACAAAATCAGCAGGGGATCAAATACTTGTTTCACTCACTGTACGTGGTGGAGGCAAAGGTTGAGAGGCGACGGATAACGACAAAGGACGCACGATGCTGCAAGCGATGCAATTGCGTTGTTAGAATACACGCAGCAATCGTCGCAACCCCGACGACTGCGAAAAAAACTTCGTGGGACCCTCCTGAAAGAGAGCTGTGAGACTCCCGGGTGCCTGAGCCTCGCAGCGGCGCCAACGTTCGCTCGCCGTGCACGCCCCACCGTGAGGCCAGCCGCACCGGTGGCCTCCCGGGGCCCCACCTTCGTCGGCGGCGGCGGCGGCGTCGTTGGTGACGGCGTCGCGGTGCCGTCTACGGTGGCCCTTGGCTGTGGGCGGCCGCACCACCCGTGCCGGGCTCCCCGCCTGCGGCAAAACACGGCAACAGAAAAGTCGCACGCGGCATGACCGTCACCGAGTCCCAGAGGTCGCAATCGGGTACCCGATACCCGTACCCTACCCGATACCCGGCTACCCGTACCTGGCTGGGTACGGGTACCCGTTTGCGACCCTGGTGCGGCCAGGTACGGGTAGGCCGTGAGTCACTGGTGAGTCACCGTTTGTCACTCATTTCCCAACGTCTTGTCTCTTCTCACAATTCAAGTTCTTAGAATCAACCCACCCGCGCCTGCAACATGGCTTCATCCCAGAGGTCGCAATCGGGTACCCGTACCCTACCCGATACCCGGCCGGGTACGGGTAGCCGGGTATCGGGTAGGGTACGGGTATCCGATTGCTACCCTGGTGCGGCCGGGTACGCGTACGGGTAAGGAATCAAAACCCGTTTGTGACCTCTGCCGAGTCCCGGGCACGGTCGGGGACGATACAGCACGTCGTTACCGGTAAGCAACTGAAGACGGCGAAGATAATGTTCAGCTTTGCCACGCCGCACGTATCGTGAAGATGTACCTATGTACAGTAAAAGCTTGGCTTGCGAGTCACTTGGTCTGCGAGTGTTTTGCAAGACGAGCAATTTTTTAAAATAAATATTAATTTGATAAACGAGCGAGGTCTTGCAATACGAGTAGTACGTGTGTACGCTTTGTCTGCCGAGTGTTTTGATAAACGAGTGCTTTGGATTACAAACATGTTTCCAGAACGAATTATGCTCGCAATCCAAGGTTTTACTGTATGTTGAACGTCTTTCGCACTGTACGTAGACAACCGTGGATAAATATAATCGGAGATGCGGGGGGGGGGGGGGGGGGCAAGGACAACAAACTAAACACGAAACGCAGTTCTAAACGTAAACAAACTAAACACAAACCACAGTTTTAAACGGAAACAAACTAAACACGAAAAGCCGACAACGGGTGCACTACGGAGACAACGGCGTAAGAACGTGCTCAACGGAAGACCTGGCCCCAAAGAACGACGCGTTATTATCTCGCGAGAAGACAACGTGGGGCCTACGCAACGCGAGCCGTTCCAACGCACGTTCGAATGCTCGCTGAACATTTCAAATCTAAACGACACAGCAGCCACGTCGCTGTCAGTGCTCCACCACGGCACCCCCTTGAGGCGTTACAGCCATGCTGGACAGATGCCCTTGCGATAATTGGTTTTTTACCCTTTTATCTGGCAACAAAACTGACACCTTGTTTTACGAGGAGTCATGTTTGCATAGACCACAATACCTGCAGTCATAATGCAAAAAAACTCCGATAATGTATGCGCTGTCCTTGAAGTTGATTGGTCCACACCTGAGACAGCTTTTCTTAGAGCCTAGTCTCACATGGTGTTGGACCAGATGACGCCAAAAGGCGCACAACTCAAAGACAATGCACCATCAGAGTATGAGAGCTCGGGGTAAGCATTGCCTCCACCATCACCTAGAGCTCTTTTACACGCTTTCTATTAACTCACTCTGTCTGTTGTTGTCGTATCCTCAAATCTTGTAACTCAATTTTAACCCACTTCCCAATGTGGTATCGACTGCAAACTTGGTATACTTATGTCATACTGATGACAATACCATATTCTATAAAAAAAAATCTAAAACATATTTTAAAACATCATTTTACACACTTTTGATAAACTAACTGTCTGTTGTCGTATCCTCAAATATTGTAACTCAATTTTAATACACTTCCCAATGTGCTGTCGACTGCAAACTTGGTATACTTATGTCATACTGATGAAAATACTATATTCCATCATTAAAAATAAATATTTTTAAACAATCTTTTTATATGTTATGTTTCGGCTTGGGTCTAATTGTCCACGCTTAACTGACGTTGGCTGTAATTAGCCACGGGCCCCTTACGTTGTGGCAAGCTTCGGGGCCACTTCCTGGAGTCGTGGAGTTTTGCCATTACGAGCGCGGTACATTTCATTAAAGCGCGTTTTTCAAAAAGTATTTAAAAATATTACTTATTTTTTTCAGAAGCGACCTGGCTATTACAAATGGCCGCTCAACAAAGTGGCGTATCACGTGGAAATGTACAGCAGACAATATATCAAATCTCTGCACCAGATCGAGTTAAAACATGACATCACCCTGCTGCTGCTCTATTTAAGACCGGGAGCAAGTGGAGGGCTTCACCATTCTGGCAAATTGCCCGATGAAGCCGGATGTAATTACCAGCGAAACGTCGTACTCAAAATTTTAAATGATGTTCATTCACTCTTCAACACACACCGGTGGGCTAAAGTAGTGAACTATTTGTCCTTTGTAAACGTGACACTTTTTTACTGTTTGGCCGTGTCGGGTTGTGGAGGGTTACGACACATTTATAAATAACCAAAAAACCTTTATTATGAATATCATGGGACTTTGTTTCCCATTATCAAAGTATGACCATGAATAAGAATGGGGTTTGCCCTTCAGAGCGTGTTTGTTTACATGTTCACCACGTGTGGTTAATGCAGACTCGACTCCTTGCAAAAGGTTTCTATTTGGTGTTTGAACATCCTGCACCGAGCAGCATAACACAGCGTGGTCAAACAACCCCCAATGACAGACCCAGCATGGGCAGGCCTTTTTCAAGGTGCCGAGTGAGAAGCGGTTGGAACTTATCGACAACATCGGTGTAATGGAATGGCTTAAAACACAGTTTGGGTCGCGTCTTCCTTTGAATTCAAGGTGCAGATGGTGAAAGGAAAATACCTCAAAATCCACAGCATCGGCAGGCTCAGACGCAGGCTTGCGACAGAATGAGAAAGGCACGCACGCATGCACGCACACTCGTCTTAACACTGGGTTACTTGAAGCCGTGAAATGATCAGCAATGGTAAAAGCTCCAAGAACAAAGCGTGTGAGATACGGACCCCAATAGAAATGTGCCAAATGCATTCACGGAGCGTTGGGTAAGGAGGTAAGTGTCCCAGGAAGCCTCCCTCCCCCTTGCAAGCCACGGTCACTTACCTCCAGCCCTCGTGCGTCTTCTGAAGTAGCTGCAGTCGGCGGCTCCCTGTCTCTGGACTGGGTCACACAACACAGCAATTGGCAGCAGCTCACAGTGGCGAAATGTTAGCTAGCTCGCCTGGTATACAGGAGGTCGTGGGTTCGATCCCAACCCTCACCTCTGATTAGCATGGGAATGGCCAAGTACGGTGTGAAGGAAGTTGAACATACATTACATTCTATTTTTGTGTACGACGGAAATAGTTCAGCGGCTGAGCAAGTAAAACTCGGTGCACGGTTTATTTACGAGGTAAAATCAGTGGAAAGATGCATATATTGATAAAAAAAATATAAGTGTATCAATGAGAAGGTTGCGACGCACGCTTCAAATCCTGTACGAATTAATGTTTTTTTTCTTCAAGCAATTCGCATCCGTTTCATGAGTCGGGTTCACAAAACAACGCTGCGGGTTGCTGCCATTTTTGCGGCAATGTTAACAAACAGAATCTGCCCAAATCACCGCGGGACCGTGGGCACCGGGCCTCGTCGCTCACGGAGCAGGCTGTAACCCCCTGTCGGTGCTCTTGTTCAATATGAAAAAAACGATAAAAAACACACACCAGAATTCCTGAATCGAATTGTGACACCGAACCGTGACGTGGGAGCGATGTGCAGCGCTGGTGGGGGGGAGGGGGCGGGGTGAATAGCACCGCTCCCCGGTTCGATCGTCAACAATCCGGTGAACCGATCGATAGTGAATACAGCCGAGGTTTTTTCGGTTCCGGACAATTTGTTTTTGACATTAAACCGGAACATCCGAAGGCTGCACGGGCACCGAATGCCATTCCCTTTTCGGGAAAGTCAACAAATATCGTTAGCAACCCATCTAAATATCGATTTAAAGCTTTCGTGACTGCAGGGATTCATCTTCTTGGTTCTTTCGGTAAAGTCACGTAGAATGGAAGTAATAAAATAATAAAAATAAAACATAATAAAATAATTCTCACGACGTTTCGGCCACAACGCAAGCAGCCGTCATCAGGTGAAGACCAGGTCTGTCGGGGAGACAGCGTCTGAATGTAACAGCACCATGCTTGGAGCGTATATTTAAGCTGGGTTGGAAGGGGGGGGGGAAGGGGCGCCTTGACAAAAGAATTTGCATATCAAGAGGTCGCTTCCTGAAAAATAGCTCAAGTGGGCCTCACCTGGTAAACCTTCAAATAGTTTTAATTTCAATCCCATTTTCTTGGCACAGCAGCTCTGCAGTCACCCTCCGTGGAGCGCCAGCTCGTCTGTTTTGCCGGCCGGAGTCACCGTTAAGTTGCCTTGGCCTGGTTTGCATTGCTCAAGTGCCGGAGGGGGAGGGGTGGTGGTGGCTGGGGGGGGGGGGAGGCCTTGTAACTCAAAGGCCCTCACCCAGGTTAAATAAATAAGAGGCTCGCTCCGTTGATCCCATTAGCTGCCCGCAGGGGTGTGACCGCAGCAATGCAAAACTGAACTGTTAAACTATTTTAAATGTTACCAGGTGTAATGCCCACTTGAGCTATGTAGCTCTTTTTCAGAAGCGATCTGGCCATCACAAATGACAGCGCAACGAAGTGGCTCATCATCATCGCGTGGAAATTTATAGTGGCCAAATACTCGAAACGCGTGATGTTGATTCTAAACGTGGAGGGGAAAACCGGAGGACCCGGAGAAAAATCCGCTCGACAACAAGGGGAGAGAGACACGCAAACTCCAAATATACAGGCCTCGGGGGGGTTGGGATCGAACCCACGACCTCCTGTATAGCAAGCGAGGTCGTGAACATCTCTCCACCGTGAACCTCGCTTCACTGATCCCATTAGCGGCCCGTGGGCTGTGACCGCAGCTATGGTGAGGGCAGACAGGGTGACTTCTCGACCGAGTGCGCAGAAGCCGACCTGAGTTTTTCTTCAGGTTATTTATAGTCTCTTTTTTTAAATCAACGTTCATATATACGGGCCCGATGGTCTGTTTGCGGGAGAGGTGGAGCGGTGGGTTACAACGCTGTGCTGTAAACCCAGTGACCCGAGTTGGATTCCTGGGCACTGGAGAATACCAGTGGCGAGGGATATCTGAAGCGGACCTGGTCTTCCCCTTCACACAGCTTTGGTGTACGGTGTTGTTTTCTGCAATATTTTGCTGTCTTTTCTTGGATTTTCTGTTTGCACTCAGTCACACATTCACTTTAAGATGTTTTTTTGTTCATGTTTTTGTTTTTTGTTTGTTGCGGTTGCACCCGATTCAAGAGCCGAATGGCTCACAGGGCTATACCTAATACATGAACTTGAACTTGATATCGTGCACTCACCAACGTGAAGGATTGTTAACCCTTTCAACATTCCGATGACGTACGTGTACATAATCGGAAGAAAAACGAAAATAAAATAACGTTAACGGGACCGAAGCACCCACAAGGCCATGTGGGAGGGCGTGTGGCAGAGTCTGGCGCCAGCTATAATAATGTGGCGGTCGTGTCACTACAGTTCTCCGCATTGAGTACAATCTCTTAAAAAATATCGCCGCTATGCCTCTCGAAATAAAATTAAGCCGAGTCGCTCACGCGGTCCGAGATTCGGCGGTGAACGGGACCCCCCCACCCTGCAACTGGCAGAAGTCTCGGAACGGGAAAGGATTAAATAACGCCAATGACAACAAATACAGCATGGGAAGGCCTTCAAAAAGGGCCGAACATTTTAAAACGTATTTTGTTTCGATTTAAAGCTTTCGTGACTGCAGGGATTCATCTTTTTGGTTCTTTCGGTAAAGTCACGTAGAAGGGAAATAATAAAATAAAAAAAAATTATAAAATTATTCTCACGACGTTTCGGCCACAACGCAAGCAGCCGTCTAAGACCTGGTCTTCACCTGAGGACGGCTGCTTGCGTTGTGGCCGAAACGTCGTGAGAATTATTTTATTATGTTTTTTATTATTTTATTACTTCCCTTCTACGTGACTTTACCGAAAGAACCAAGAAGACTTATTTTGTTGTTGTTACTATTTTGTACGACCCACCACAAATCAGGTCGCTGTACCGAAACATTTGATAGAGACAGTCATAGGCAGAGTGGAAGAGTAAGGGGTCCTGGAGCCTGCACTTGAACACAGAGAACTAATTGACAGCGGGGTCAGCTGCAGAGACGAAGCGACCCCCCACTCCCAACCTCCCCCACCCATCGGCTGCAGCATACGTCCCCGCTCACCTTTTTATCTTTTTTCTCTTCGTCGCGCTGCTTGTCCCTCCGCCTGTCCTTGTCTTTGCTGCTTCCCGCGGCCACCCGGTCTCCTCGCTCGTCCCTGTCCTTCCGCTCCCCGCCCCTCTCCCCCCGCTCCCCGCCCCTCTCCCCCCTCTCCCGCTCCCTCGCCCCGACCCTCTCCCGCTCCTTGGAGCCCTCCGCGTTGCTCTCCTTCTCCCGCCTCCGCTCCGAGTCTCTGTCGCGGTGGCCGTCCTTCGTCCTCTCTCGGTCCCTTTCGCCGTCTTTGGACGCGTGCCGCTCTCTTTCCCTCTCCCTGCCCTTGCCGTCTTTGTCTCCCTCCTTGCTCTTGTCCTTGTCCCTGTCGCGATGGTGCCTGTCTTGCGAGGAGGCCTCCTTCTCCTGGCGTTCGCGGCTGCCCGAGGGCTCCTTGAACTCCACCTCCTTCTTGGTCTGCCCAAGAGACGCGGACGGAAACGCGAGCCGGCGGACGGCGTCAACCATCGACGCGCAGAACGCGTCGCGTGCGGGCGGCAACGGATTTGACACGCGCGGCGCCGCCGAAACGCCCACGGCACGGTAGGTGACGGCAGCTTGGGCGTCAATTTCACCCAGCCAGCAAAGCTGGCGATGGCTGGCTGGGGGGAGGAACGGACGGATGGACGGTCACGTCCAAAGAACTTGTGTGGGCTTGCTAGCTATCCTCTAAGCACAATGTCAGAGCGTCTTCCAACTCCCTCTGTGGTTGGGCAGCAAAGGCAATGCAGATCAATCCAATTGTTGTACTGTACTTGTTTGCTCCCCACCTTCATCATCCCTCACTTGACAGCGTGGTGAACCGTGGTGAAATAACCTCCACCACCCAAAAGGTGTGGGGGGGGGGGGAGGCTATCATCTCGCAGTAGATTGACAAAGAGCTATACAACATGATAATTGGTTTTTTACCCTTTTATCTGCCAACAAAACTGACACCTTTTTTACGAGGAGTCATGTCTGCATAGACCACAATACCTGCAGTCGTAATGCAAACAAAAAACACAACTCTGATAATGTATGCACTGTCCTTGAAGTTGATTGGTCCACACCCGAGACAGCTTTCCTTAGAGCCTAGTCTCACGTGGTGTTGGACCAGACGACGCCAAAAGGCGCACAACTCAAAGACAATGCACTATCAGAGCATGAGAGCTCGGGGTAAGCAAAAGGTGTCAGTTTTGTTGCCAGATAAAAGGGTAAAAAAACAATTTTCATATTTTTCTACTGGCAAATGAGGTTTCCAATGGAGCTGTACAACAGTACACTGGAACAAAAATCCAATCAAAAACAAAAAAATATAACTGCATTGTAGTTTCCGTGCAGCGGTGGAAAGATACGCTCTCGGTGTGACGTTCACCTCCACTCACAGCCTTGAGCTAGCCGCGGAAACTCCACATTTCCACGGCGAGGACCACTCCATCCAAGCCGTGCCGATTTTGACAAACCCCCAGAGGACGGGGGGGGTGTGGGGCGGGCTGGCGATGATCATCGGATTCCTCAAGGACAGTCCGTTCTCCTATAACGCCGCGTGTTGTTTTCAAAACGCGAGTTGGATGTAACGCGACTAATGTACCATTGGAACCTCATTTGCCAGTAAAAATATGATAATTGTTTTTTTACCCTTCTATCTGGCAACAAAACTGACACCTTTTTTACAAGGAGTCATGTTTGCATAGACCACAATACCTGCAGTCAGAATGCAAACAAAAAACATAACTCTGATAATGTATGCACTGTCCTTGAAGTTGATTGGTCCACACCCGAGACAGCTTTCCTTAGAGCCTAGTGTAATTAGGGAACAGGTTTTGTTATAACGCGGATGCAAATTGAATATAACGCGATCGAGTGAACGGAACCACGTCGCGCGAGTAGGAATAAGCGTTGGTAACGGCTACCTCGGCGTAGCCTCACACATGCCACTAGTTGATGCTTCTGGATGCTACCCACGCACCTCAGTGTTTGTTCGGCCTGCGTACGAATGTCACGCATTGTCGCGCCCTGTGCTTTACCCCCTATATTATTACATTCCTCATTATAACGCCATTTTTCCATCACGCGGTGTTTCTTCTTGAACGCAACTGCGACCGAGTCGCAAGGGATCAAACCGTATAAATATATTCCGATTCTAGATTTGAAGCTTTCGTGACTGCAAGGATTCATATTCTTAGGTTTTTTCGGTAAAGTCACGTAGGTGAAAAAATGAAAAAAAAAATATTTAATTTTTGTTATGAAATTAAAATTAATAAAAATAAAATGACTCTTAGTTTTTTCGGTAAAGTCACGTAGATAAAAAAATGAAATTTAAAAAATAAAAATAAAATAATAAATGCATTTTATTTTTTATTCATTTTAATTTCATTTTTTCACCTACGTGACTTTACCGAAAAACACTAAGAGTATGAATATTCCCATTCCAATTGTCCGGAACGTCCACCACGACCCAGCATCAGAACCTCGCGGGCATCTGGCACCACCACCACCGCCGTCACCGCCGCCGCTGGTAAGGCGACCGCCGCACGGAGTAGAGCAGCGGCGGTGACGGGCGGTGACGGGGCGGTGACGGGGCGTGATGCGGCGTTGAAGGGGCGGCACACCTCTCGTTGCCGCGACGGGCGCTCGTCGCGGTTCTCCTTGCCCTGCGACTTCACCGGTGCGGCGCCGCTCTTAGCGTCGCTCTTGGCGTCGGGCTTGGCGTCGGGCTTCTCCCCGGCGAGCACGCGTCTCACTGCGTCCTCGCTCGGCAGCTGCGGTGGGGGGGGGGGGACACAACAGCGCCATGCGCAGGCTCGGCTGAGGGCAGCGCGGCAAGATCCAGCGTTGTGCTGTGCTGCTACTACGACACACGACATGAGGACACTACTTGAGCAGAGTGGTACAAGGCGGAGGAAAGTGGAAACAATTGACGAAATGTGCAGTGGATACCGATGGCCTATCTGGCCATGGATCGCGATCATGATGACGACGACTGGGATGCAATGACTACGACGCCCGCCGCCTTGGACCGACACTGCACAACGTGGCGACGTACTGCTTTCTTCAGGACTTGTTTTTGTGTTGAGTTTGTTGTTATTCACAAATGTGGTGAGATGTTAACTCTCTCGCCCGGTATGCAGGAGGTCGTGGGTTGAATCCCGACCCTGTCACCTGTATATTTAGAGTTTGCATGGTCTCTCTCTCTCTCTCCCCGTGGTCGCGTGGATTTTTCTCAGGGTCCTTGGGTTTTCCCCTCCACATTTAGTAACAACACATGTTTGGAGTATTTGGCCGCTATACATTCGCACGTGATAAGACAATTCGTTGAGCTATCATTTGTGGCCGCCAGGTCGCTTCTTAAAAAGAGATTTTTTAGCTCAGAGGGGCCTTACCTGGAAAAAGAATGAAAAAAATTGTTTCATTTAAAAGTTTAGAAATTAGTTTGTTTCAGCCTTGCATCGCGAGCCTGAATGGGGAGAGACAGATGACCAAATCGTGAGGAGGGAGGGAGGAAGCCGGGGGGTGTGGTGATTCGTCACAGCACTTCCAATATGCACCGTTGGCTACGTACGGTGCGAAAGAAGTTCAATGTACGTCCGTCCGTACGGTCAAATCAATCCCGACAATCCTCCCCCCCCCCCACCCCCCCAACAGGGCACGGGACGATACTCATTCCGCTGTGGTAGCAGATTATATTAGACACGTATTAGCGTGCATTAAAAGGTAATGCCATAAACGTGCGTCCCCGTTGTTGATGCGGCTAAACTATTTTTTATTTTACCAGGTAAGTCCCACTGTACTGTATAGCTCTTTTTCAGAAGTGACCTGGCCACAAATGATAGCCCAACGAAGTGGCTTATCGTGCAAAAATGTATAGCGAGCAAATATTTGAAACGCATATTGATTCTACATGTGGAGGCAAAAACCAGAGGACCCGGAGAAAAATCCATGCGACCACGGGGAGCGAAAAAGAGAGGGAAAGGCAAACTCCAACTATACAGCATCGAACCCACCACCTCCTGTATACCAGACGAGGTAGTTGACATCTCCTAGCCACCGCGATGATGATGAGAGACGCAGACTCCAAATATACAGCAACAGGCGTCGTCAGGGTCAGGGATCGAACCCACGACCTCCTGTATACCAGGCGAGGTAGTTAACATCTCCTAGCCACCGTGATGATGACGAGCGAGAGAGAGACACGCAAACTCCACATACAACAGGCGTCAGGGTAAGGGATCGAACCCACGACCTCCTGTATACCAGGCGAGGTAGTTAACATCTCCTAGCCACCGTGATGATGATGAGCGAGAGAGAACACACAAACTCCACATACAACGGGCGTCAGGGTCGGGGATCGAACCCACGACCTACTGCGTACCAGGCGAGGTAGTTAACATCTCCTAGCCACCGTGATGATGATGAGCGAGAGAGAACACACAAACTCCACATACAACGGGCGTCAGGGTCGGGGATCGAACCCACGACCTACTGCATACCAGGCGAGGTAGTTAACATCTCCTAGCCACCGTGATGATGATGAGCGAGAGAGAACACACAAACTCCACATACAACAGGCGTCAGGGTCGGCGATCGAACCCACGACCTACTGCGTACCAGGCGGGGGAGTTAACATCTCCTAGCCACCGTGATGATGAGCGAGCGAGAGGGGAACACACAAACTCCACATACAACAGGCGTCAGGGTCGGGGATCGAACCCACGACCTACTGCGTACCAGGCGAGGTAGTTAACATCTCCTAGCCACCGTGGTGATGATGACGAGCGAGAGAGAACACACAAACTCCAAACATACAACAGGCGTCGTCATGGTCGGGATCGAACCCACGAGCTCCTCCTGTATACCAGGCGAGGTAATCAACATCTCGCCACCGTTGCTGCGTGACGCTGCCATCCTACCGCCCCCACCTTGCTGAGGCAGCACTGTGCGAGCGCTTGCAGGAACTCGTTGGTTCTCTCCGGCTCGTGACCGGCCACGATCTTGGACGGACGCACCGGCACGGCCTCCCCCGACGCCATCGCCACCACATCGATGGCCTTCTGCAGGAAGGTGATCTTGGCCTCCCTCTCCTGTGCAACGATAAAGTTTGGCGCGATACGATGTGCTACTACGCATGCACGTGCGGTGAGATCGCGGGACGGATAATTGAGTTGCTCACTCCGAGCTCTCAATGTCCTGATAGTGAATTGTCTTTGTGTTGTTCGCCTTTTGGCGTCCTCTGGTCTGACACTGTTTGAGATGAGGCTCTAAAGAAAGCTGCCTCTGGTGTGGACCAATCGGTTTTCAAAAACAATGCAACCAGAGTTTTTGTTTGCATGCTCACCACAAGTATATGTGGTTAATGCAGTAACATGATTCCTTGCAAAAGGTTTCTGTTTGGTGTTTTAACATCTTAACACAACTGTTTTATTGCCAGAAAGGGTAAAACCTATTGTTACATCTGGAAGAACTGTGTTACAGCGAAAACACGTTGTAATGCGAACACCATGCGTTGCGCGAGGAGTTACCGTGTAGCGAGCGGTGTACAATGAGGGCTCGCTCCGATGCCTACATTTAAGCAATCATTTGAATCCCAATAAAACCCAATTACGCTGTAGGCATCGTAACTAAGCATCCATTTTCTGGCCATTAAACACAGCCTCGCGTCACGTCACAAAGGTGACCTTGGCCTCCCTCTCCTGTGCAACGATACAGTTTGGCCAGATACGATGTACGACTTCGCACGTGCAGTGAGATCGCGCGACAAATAACTCGTACTGCATCATTCCGCTGTACCGTATCGCACCGCTGAACACGCGTTAAAGCGAGGGGTTACAATATAGTCAGCGGTGCACAATGGGGTCACACTCCACTGCCGATATTTAAACAATTATTTAATCCCCATAAAACCCCAATTACAATGGGGACTAGGCTCTAAAGAAAGCCGTCTCGGGTGTGGACCAATCAACTTCAAGGACAGTGCATATTATTATCATTATCAGAGTTGCTTCTTTTTGTTTGCTTTTTTGACTACTTGTGTTGTGGTTATTGCAAACATGATGCCTTGAATAAAGGTGTCAGTTTTGTACCAGTTTAAAAGGGTAAAAACCTACTACTATATTTTTCCACTGGTAAAACAGATCTCATAGTGTAAATGCTTACCCCGAGCTCTCAATACTCTGATATTGCACTGTGTTTGAGTTGTACGCCTTCTGGTGTCATCTGGTCCAACACCAATGGGGACTAGGCTCTAAAGAAAGCCGTCTCGGGTGTGGACCAATCAACTTCAAGGACAGTGCATATCATTATCATTATCAGAGTTGCTTCTTTGTTTGCTTGTTTGACTACTTGTGTTGTGGTTATTGCAAACATGATGCCTTGAATAAAGGTGTCAGTTTTGTACCAGTTTAAAAGGCTAAAAACCTACTACTACGCCGTAGGAGTCTTAACTAAACATCCCTTCCCGGCCATTAAACACGGCCTCACGCCATGTCAGTCAAAGGCCACTGGACGATTGCTCCACCACTCAAACCCTTCTGGAGAGTAATCCTCCACTGACCTCGCTCACTCAACACTGAAGGGCCACCAGCTCAACGCTGCAAGTCAGCCAGGGACACGGAAGGGAACTGGACGGGGAACAGTTGGCAAGCTTCGATTTAAAGCTTTCGTGACTGCAGGGATTCATCTTCACGGTTCTTTCGGTAAAGTCACGTAGAAGGAAAATAATAAAATAATAAAAATAAAACATAATAAAATAATTCTCACGACGTTTCGGCCACAACGCAAGCAGCCGTCCTCAGACGCTGTCTTTCCGACAGACCTGTTCTTCACCTGAGGACGGCTGCTTGCGTTGTGGCCGAAACGTCGTGAGAATTATTTTATTATGTTTTATTTTTATTATTTTCCTTCTACGTGACTTTACCGAAAGAACCAAGAAGAAGAAGAAGTTGGCAAGCTGTCATCGGAGGAAACGGAAACGAGGAATTGGTGTGTACCTTCACGTTGTCCGATTTCATATCCGACTCGCCGTAAAGTCCCTTCATGAACCCGGTTGTGCGGATCACCTGCAGGATGAAATAAAAAAAAACACACAAAAACCAGGTCAAGGTCAGACGGATGGCATTGTTCATCGTTGTTGCCTTTGCGCGTATCATAACGATTGTGGGTTTTTTTACTAGTGAAATTAAGGGGTTTGAAAATCATTCAGCGTTACGAAGACTTCGACTGCTCAACCTGTGCCACTATCATCACCACCAAAAATAAAGATCTCCCCTGTATAGCCTTAACAGCTTGTTGGGGCAAGTGCTGTTAGCGAGCAGCAGCGATGAAAACCGGCACGGCATACAAGGGCGGTCAGGCGTGTTGGCCAGCACCACACGTCCGACCGCCTCCATCTCCCCAGTGGCGCTGGTCACACACCGCAACGGGTACTCATTTGAGGCTCAGTCGATCTAGGGGAGGGCCCAGGATCGGTTCAGATAATAAGTCACCGATGTTGTATCACAACGATTGTTATAATACAGACAAACGGAAACAATTGCACGCGCTGTGTAAGACAGCAGCCAAACCCACACATTTAAGTGGAAGGCCGTTAGACATTTGACCAATTTAACACGCAGGTTTTCGCGACCAATATTATTCATAAACGAAAAAAGTTTTGGGTTAGATCGCGTAAATATGAATGTGTCATTTACCCACCACCACCACCACCAGGCATAGCCAATAAGTAAAAAAAAACTTTGGAAAAACATTTTAACCCATATGGATTTAAAAGCAAAAGTAGAACGATTGGCTTTTTCATTATAGTAGGTGGTTTACTAATCGACAGCCTAACACTTGAATCACTGGGGTCGGCCAGTGTGCAAGAGGCACGAAGATCAAGTCATTCGTGACCGCTGCTATAAAAATAAAAATAGGAAGAGATGACTCTCAAAAAACGCACACCAATGTTGTTAAATATTAGCGACCGTTGCACGGATCATCATGTTCACAACCTTTCTGTACGAACTGTATGGCTGAAAGGTTGTTTAATCAGTATCCCCACACAATATGTATCGTGAATATATTTTTGACTTGCCTTTGTTGATTTTTATGAATGAGTTGTTTGTGTGTCACACCGAGATTATTTTATATCTCTCCACACTGCAGAAAATTCCGTCACAGTTCCTACGATTGCTTTTTCATTGCTTTCATGGCTTTATTTTGGTGATTGCGAAAAGTGTATTGGTTTAGCCATGTTTGTTTGTTGTAGTACAGAGTTAGACTGATGGCCTAAATCTAAGTTGTCTTGTGGTTGTTGTGGTTGTTATTTGACTTGCATCCCACTGGGATTTTTGCACACAGCGTTGTTGTACGGTGTTTTTTCTGCAATATTTTTCTGTCTTTTCTTGGATTTTCTGTTTGCACTTAGTCACATAGTCACTTTAAGATATTTTTTGTTTATGTTTTTGTTTGTTGCGGTTGCACCCGATTCAAGAGCCGAATGGCTCACAGGGCTACACCTAATACATCAACTTGAACTTGAGATGCTCCCCCCTTTCAACAGGAACTTCTGTCTCAATGGACACACACATCTGGTAATAAAGTTCTTTTATGGATGGACCCAACTAAACTTTGCTGCCTTATTACACATCATCATCATCCAGTTCTAGATTTGAAGCTTTCGTGACTGCAAGGATTCATACTCTTAGTTTTTTCGGTAAAGTCACGTAGGTAAAACATGAAATTAAAATTAATAAAAATTAATAAAAAATTAATACAAATTTATTTCATTTTTTACCTACGTGACTTAACCGAAAAAACTAAGAGTTTCATCATCCAGTGTCAAAGCTGGCATGAGTCTACGTTAAAATTAAACAAATATATTTTGTGACACTACTTTTGTAGTGGTGTACAAGTGCAAACAACAAAAACTCAAAGACATTTGCCGATTATACATGTTATTTCCTTACGAGGCAGTTATTTTACGAATGTGTTACGTTATTTTTCTCTTATTTCTGCATTAAAAAGTTCACTGCCGGCCGCATCCCTCCTACTTCAGTGCATACACGAGCGGTAACGATTTGAAATCGGCTACAAATCTTCCGAGCATACAGTCAAGAAGACTCACAAATGGGATGCCCGAGTTATTTCTTGAACGCGAGCCTGCAGGACAATTTGGATGATTACGAACCGACCGCTTGACTCACAAGGGCCGGATAAACTTTTCAATTGCGCTCGATCAGTCCGGGATAAAGCCTACGCTACGGCCACTTGAGGACAGGGTAGAACAGCTGTCTCTCCGAGCAGCGCGGGAGAGAACGAAGCCACGTTTTGCAACATGCCTTGTCCCGTTACGGAGCTAGCCAAGAAGAAGCAATTAGCGAAGCCACATCAACACTGTTGCTAGTGCCAACACGGTTTGTTGGTAGACGTGTTTCGCCAATTGTTACGCAACGGCCACCAAACGCATTCCTCTTCATCTGAATCGGGAACACGAACGAACACACAGAAGGACACATTCTCACTTGGCTTCATTAGTTCCTTCTCTGGAATATCGTACGAGTGCCTCCGATCTGTTTGCTCCTCACGTAATCCTTTTTATCTGAGCTCGCAATGTCATTTATTTATGCAAGCTGACGAGAACAACATCCACGCAATGATGCATCGTGAGAAGACGCAATGTACGTTTGGACGCACTGCTTCACCAATTAAAATGTATTCTTGAGTCCAGGATAGGGTGAATTGAATCTTCCGCATGATAAAATGATTGTCAATTCTTCAGAGGTCGTAAGCAATTCATTATAAGAGTGGACGAATTTCACTAAATTTGAGTCATCGTGATTACGGATTACTTTAGGTTGAATTTATCGATTAATAATCGATTACTATCTCGTGGTACCAGGTAAAAAATGAGTAATCGTCGGGTACATTAAAGGGGCAAGTCTAACACTATCCCACTCAAAACCGCCCTTCAAAGACGTAATAAAATGTGGTTGTCCTGTGAAGAGACTGGCCCCACTATAGCAATGTAGAATCTCCACCACTGGCTTAATTGCGTCCAGGGAGATGATCGCCACCTCAGACTCGATTGAGCGGAGAGAGACGACCTGACTCAAGACTTAGCGCAGCACAGTCCAGCTATTCATAATCAACGATTTTTGGGTTTAGATCGCGTTTATTTATAAATGTGTCGTAACCCTCCACCACCCGACACGGCCAATCAGTAAAAAATGTGTCACGTTGACAAAGACAAATAGTTCACTGCTTTAGCCCACCGGTGTGTTGAAGCAACAACATTCACAATTTGAGTACGACGTTTCGCTGGTAATTACAACCAGCATCATCGGGCAATTCGCCAGAATGGTGAGGCTCTCCTGTGTCTCCCGTTCTTATATAGAGCAGCAGCAGGATGACGTCATCATTAACTCATTAACTCATCAGGTGCAAAGATTCAAGGGGGGAGTGATTGTATTATATACTAGATTAGTAATCAGGCTATTGTTACGATGCGAGTTGTAGATTAGTAATCATTTGGAATGTGTTTTATTGTGATTATGCTACATTAGTAATCTGTTAGTGGTTGTTTCCCTTATAAGTAATTGTAATGTATCTTATTTAATAATACGCTTCCAGGCCGCACTAAGCCTGTAGCTGTCTGAGCGATTAAAGTTATTTCTGTTTCTCTCAATTTCAATCGATTCTCTAATTAGTCTTTGCCAGTAGTAACTAGTTTTACACAACACTTCCACGTTGTCAAAATCAATTGAGTGTCCCTGTTGGCATGCATGTTCTGCTACTGCCGACAGTTGTGTTTGTGATAGTTTAATATTTCTCTGGTGTTCTTTAAGTCTTACACTAACGTTACGCCCTGTCTGTCCAATATAGCATCTGCCACATACACAATTAATCCGATATACACCTTCTGTTGATAATTTAGGTAATTCGTCTTTAGTGCACGTTACTAGTTGTTGAATTTTGTGTACTGTACCAAATCTTACTGTAATGTTTTGCTTTTGCAAAACACGGGCTAATTTATCAGTTACTCCTGAGATAAATGGTATTTTTATTGTTTTAATAATCTGATCGCTTTCAGCAGTGTTGCTTTGCGATCGTGTTTTGGCTTTTAGTGCTCTGTTAATTTGAGCATTATTGTAGCCATTCTGTCTTAGTGCTTCTTTAACATGTTTAATCTCTCTCACTAGACTTTCACCATCTGACACTGTTTTAGCCCGATGTATGAGCGTCTTGATAAGAGAGGATTTCTGAGCTGGGTGATGATGCGAATCTGCATTCAGATAGGCATCAGTGTGCGTTGGCTTTCTGTAAACGCTGTGTGTTATTTTACCGTTTGGGCCATGCCCAAGTAAAATATCCAGGAACGGGAGTGTGTTATTCACCTCCATTTCCATGGTGAACTGAATGGCCGGGTTTTGTGCATTGAGATGATTTAGAAAATCGTTAAGTGTATCTTTACCATGTGGCCAGACAACCAAAGTGTCATCCACATATCTAAACCAAAAGGATGGTTTTAATGTGCTCGAGGCAAGTGCTCTGGTTTCAAAGTTTTCCATGTACAAATTTGCTATAGCAGGAGATAAAGGAGAGCCCATTGCTGCTCCCTCCCTTTGTTTAAAGAATTCGCCTCTCCATAAGAAGTAAGTGTTATTTAAACAATGGTCTGCGAGTTTCGGAATATCTTTTGGTAAACCTGTATTCTTTACCAGTGTATCAAGTAATTTAAGCGACTCGCTCACTGGAACCTTAGTGAATAGCGAAATCACATCAAAACTCACCAAAATATCATTAGGGTTAAGTTTAATATCTTTGATCATATTCACAAGATGTTCTGAATTTCTTATGAATGATGATGTCCTACCGATGTAAGGCTGAATTTGTTTAGTTACATATTTTGCTAATTTATAGGTGGCAGAGCCAATTGTACTGACTATAGGTCGTAAAGGGATGCCGACTTTATGGATCTGGTTGTAATTACCAGCGAAACGTCGTACTCAAATTGTGAATGTTGTTGCTTCAACACACCGGTGGGCTAAAGCAGTGAACTATTTGTCTTTGTCAACGTGACACATTTTTTACTGATTGGCCGTGTCGGGTGGTGGAGGGTTACGACACATTTATAAATAAACGCGATCTAAACCCAAAAATCGTTGATTATGAATAACATTGGTCGCGAAAGCCTACGTGTTAAACTGACAGTCCAGCTACTCGTCATGACAACTGCTGCATGGTGGATTATACAGCTTGGCATTGCCACCGTGCTCGTTAAAGTTTCATGCGGGACGACCCTCTGCGCATAAATAAACACGGCGTATAAGATCACGAAACCTCGCTTCGTCGAGTGGTGGAGGGTTATAGTTAACAATGAACCTACGTACCATACGTAGCTAAGCGTGCTAATCGGAGGTGCGGGGGAAGGACAACAAACTACCTACGTGATTCTAGATTTGAAGCTTTCGTGACTGCAAGGATTCATATTCTTGGGAATAATAATAAAAAGGGGGCCTGTCCTGGCTCCTCCCCCCTCAACCAGTATATATACGGGATCGGATCTCTTGGAAATTCTCATTTATTTGATACAGCAAGCGGGCTGTGACGGTTCCACCTGAAGACGGAAGCTTGTGTTGCCTCCGAAACGTCGTGATTTTTATTTTATTTTACTTTTATTTATTTTTATTTTTGTACCTACGTGAATTTACCGAAAAAACCCAAGAATACCTACGTGATCTAACCCAAGAGAAAGCAACTACGAATCGATAATTGACCTTTTTACATGTCAGGCATAAATCTGGGCAGATTTCACATCTCGTTTGAAGTGTACAACGTACACCGCCTGGGCCATTTTCCACATTGGTGGAGATGAAAACATCGGCAGGTTTACTCCTTTCGATAGTAGGAAGCCACGGGAGCTATGCACATGGTGGTGAGATGTTAATGACCTCGCTAGGTATTCAGGAGGTCGTGGGTTCGATCTGGACCCTGACGCCTTTATATTTGGAGTTTGCGTGTCTCTCTCTCCGTGGTCGCGTGGTTTTTTCTCCGGTTCCTCTGGTTTTTCCCTCCACATTTAGAATCAACGCGCGTTTGGAGAGTCTCGCCGATGAGCCCCCTCGGTGAACTATCATTTGTGTGGTCAGGTCACTTCTAATAAAAGAGCTATACATTATAGAGCGGTGGGCCTTACCTGGTTAAAATAAACAAAGTTTTTTTAATATAGTATATTGTTGCTGCAGTGCAGAATGAGTGTTCCAGTGTGTTGTTATTGTATGATTACACTGGTAGGAACCCACTGATTCCACCAGCCCACAGGGGAGTATTGTGTCCGTCCGTCGTGCAGGGAGGGGCTGGGTGGGGAGGGTGGGGCTGGGTGGAGAGGGAAGGGTGGGGCTGGGTGGGGGGGTGGGGGTAGGGCTGGGTGGGGAGGGGTTGGTCACCCCGTGGTGCCCTTATAAAACTCAACGTTTAACCTACTCACGCCGGCTTGTGCCCGCCCTCACAGTCGGGCATATTTGCGGAATACACCACGCCGCCGTTGACCCTGCAGGCCATTGACCGAGCAACCCAACGTTCCTACCAGCTCCCTCCGCAGGAATGTGTTGTAGTAGTTGTGTACAATGTAATTAGATTGTATAGCGAGACGCGCTTCTGTGATGACGTAGTGTATGCGAGCCTGATCAGTGTTAGAACACAGCGCGTTACCCTGTCGATAGTTACTGAAGCGTGCTGCACATGTATCACTATACAATGCTGTAATGCTGCAATGTTATAGTAGTAGTGTATAATGTAGAGATATTGCTACGTGAGATGGTATAGTAGTAGTAGTGTATAATGTAGAGATAATGCTACGTGAGATGGTATAGTAGTAGTGTATAATGTAGAGATATTGCTACGTGAGATGGTATAGTAGTGGTAGTGTATAATGTAGAGATATTGCTACGTGAGATGGTATAGTAGTAGTGTATAATGTATAGATATTGCTATGTGAGATGTATAGTAGTAGTATATAATGTAGAGATATTGCTACGTGAGATGGTATAGTAGTAGTGTATAATGTAATAGTGATGTTGTTATAGTTGTAGTGTATAATGTATTGATATTGTTATAGTTGTAGTGTGTAATGTAATAGTGATATTGTTATAGTTGTAGTGTATACTGTAATAGTGATATTGTTATAGTTGTAGTGTATAATGTAATAGTGATATTGTTATAGTTGTAGTGTATAATGTAATAGTGATATTGTTATAGTTGTAGTGTATAATGTAATAGTGATATTGTTATAGTTGTAGTGTATACTGTAATAGTGATATTGTTATAGTTGTAGTGTGTACTGTAATAGTGATATTGTTATAGTTGTAGTGTATACTGTAATAGTGATATTGTTATAGTTGTAGTGTATAATATAATAGTGATATTGTTATAGTTGTAGTGTATAATGTAATAGTGATATTGTTATAGTTGTAGTGTATACTGTAATAGTGATATTGTTATAGTTGTAGTGTATAATGTAATAGTGATATTGTTATAGTTGTAGTGTATACTGTAATAGTGATATTGTTATAGTTGTAGTGTATAATGTAATAGTGATATTGTTATAGTTGTAGTGTATAATGTAATAGTGATATTGTTATAGTTGTAGTGTATAATGTAATAGTGATATTGTTATAGTTGTAGTGTGTACTGTAATAGTGATATTGTTATAGTTGTAGTGTATAATGTAATAGTGATATTGTTATAGTTGTAGTGTATAATGTAATAGTGATATTGTTATAGTTGTAGTGAATACTGTAATAGTGATATTGTTATAGTTGTAGTGTGTAATGTAATAATGATATTGTTATAGTTGTAGTGTGTAATGTAATAATGATATTGTTATAGTTGTAGTGTATAATGTAATAGTGATAATGTTATAGTTGTAGTGTGTAATGTAATAGTGATATTGTTATAGTTGTAGTGTATACTGTAATAGTGATATTGTTATAGTTGTAGTGTATAATGTAATAGTGATATTGTTATAGTTGTAGTGTATACTGTAATAGTGATATTGTTATAGTTGTAGTCTATACTGTAATAGTGATATTGTTATAGTTGTAGTGTGTACTGTAATAGTGATATTGTTATAGTTGTAGTGTGTAATGTAATAGTGATATTGTTATAGTTGTAGTGTGTAATGTAATAGTGATATTGTTATAGTTGTAGTGTATACTGTAATAGTGATATTGTTATAGTTGTAGTGTGTAATGTAATAGTGATATTGTTATAGTTGTAGTGAATACTGTAACAGTGATATTGTTATAGTTGTAGTGTGTAATGTAATAGTGATATTGTTATAGTTGTAGTGTATAATGTAATAGTGATATTGTTATAGTTGTAGTGAGTAATGTAATAGTGATATTGTTATAGTTGTAGTGTGTAATGTAATAGTGATATTGTTATAGTTGTAGTGTGTAATGTAATAGTGATATTGTTATAGTTGTAGTGAGTAATGTAATAGTGATATTGTTATAGTTGTAGTGTATACTGTAATAGTGATATTGTTATAGTTGTAGTGAGTAATGTAATAGTGATATTGTTATAGTTGTAGTGTATACTGTAATAGTGATATTGTTATAGTTGTAGTGTGTACTGTAATAGTGATATTGTTATAGTTGTAGTGTGTACTGTAATAGTGATATTGTTATAGTTGTAGTGTATACTGTAATAGTGATATTGTTATAGTTGTAGTGTGTAATGTAATAGTGATATTGTTATAGTTGTAGTGTATACTGTAATAGTGATATTGTTATAGTTGTAGTGTGTACTGTAATAGTGATATTGTTATAGTTGTAGTGTATAATGTAATAGTGATATTGTTATAGTTGTAGTGTGTAATGTAATAGTGATATTGTTATAGTGAATACTGTAATAGTGATATTGTTATAGTTGTAGTGTATAATGTAATAGTGATATTGTTATAGTTGTAGTGTATAATGTAATAGTGATATTGTTATAGTTGTAGTGTGTAATGTAATAGTGATATTGTTATAGTTGTAGTGTATAATGTAATAGTGATATTGTAGTCAGGCGAGGTTTGCCTACCGTGATGAGGCAGTGTATGCCAGCCTGATTGGTGCTACAACTCAGTCTGTTATCGTTATAACAGTTACACCCTGGCCACGCTAGTGTGTTACACAGCACACTATGATGTTATAGTCGTAGTGTATAATGTAATACTATTACATTATACACTACAACTATAACAATATCACTATTACAGTAATAGTGATATTGTAGTAATGCGAGGTATGCCTACCGTGACGAGGCAGTGTATGCGAGCCTGAACGTTGTTACAACTCAGTCTGTGATCGTTATAACAGTCACACCCTGGCCACGCTAGTGTGTTACACAGCACACTATGATGTTATAGTTGTAGTGTGTAGTGTAGTGAGATTGTTATAGTCGTAGTGTATAATGTAATAATATTGTAGTAATACGAAACTCGCCTCTGTGATGACGTCGTGTAGGAATCTGAACGGTGCTACAACTCAGTCTGTTATCGTTATAACAGTTACACCGTGGCCACTACAGTGTGTTACACAGCACACTATGATGTTATTGTCGTAGTGTATAATGTAATAGTGATATTGTTATAGTTGTAGTGTATAATGTAATAGTGTTATTGTAGTCAGGCGAGGTTTGCCTACCGTGATGAGGCAGTGTATGCCAGCCTAAACGTTGTTACAACTCAGTCTGTGATCGTTCTTAGTTACACAGTGGACACGCTAGTGTGTTACACAGCACACTATGATGTTATAGTCGTAGTGTATAATGTAATAATTAGATCGTAGTAATAATACGAAACTCGCCTCTGTGATGACGTCGTGTAGGAATCTGAACGGAGGTTTTCCGAGGAGTTTCTCCGTCAGCGGCGGCTTGCGGATAACGCGGCCCAGCGTCTCCTGGGTGCGCTTCACGGCGCTGGCGTCCATCGTGGGCTCGCGAGGGAGAAGTCAATCAATTATACGCGCGAGAGGCGACGTTTGTCGCTGTTCGTTTGATTGTTTTAGTCGCTGAGGAGAATTTTTTTCGGTGATTTCGACGGCGGCGACGACGGTGGAGCTGCGACCACAATGCAGCGCGCGAAGTGAGCGCGCGCGCGCGGCCCTCAACGCGGTTGCCTGGGCGACGCGTGACGTCATCCCCGGGTTACGGAAAGCCCCGTGGCTCGCGCGCTCGCCACTTTGTGCGCGTGCGTGCGCGTGTGTGTATTAAAAAAACGCGATTTTTGTTTACGAACAAAACTAAAACGCGCGACATTGCGCGGACGTTGCGCGAACGTTCGGCGAACGTTGGTCCAACGTTGAACCAACGTTAGCGTTAAATTTCGATTTAAAGCTTTCGTGACTGCAGGGATTCATCTTCTTGGTTTATTATATTATTTTATTTTATTATGTTTTATTTTTATTATTTTATTACTTCCCTTCTACGTGACTTTACCGAAAGAACCAAGAAGATCAACGTTAGCGTGTTGGCAGGCGAAGCAGGGCGCAGGGGCGGGGTTTACAACGTTGCTGCGACGTTGAACCAACGTTGGCTGAACGTCGGGGCAACGTTGCTCCGACCGTTGTCGTGTTGACCGGCGAAGCCAGAGCCCCCGTGGGAGGGGGGGAGGGGGGGGAGGGGCTGGTTACGCAATCGCCGCCGTGACAGCAGCTCGGCTCGAGACGAGGACGACGAGGAGGGGGCAGGCGGGGGGGGGCAGGGGGGGAGGAGGGGTAAGGGGGAGGAAGGGGAGGGAGGGAGGAGGGGGAGGAGAGGAGGGGGGAGGAGGAGCAGCAGGGGAGGAAGGGGAGGGGAGGGGGAGGAGGGCAGGGGGGAGGAGGGCAGGGGGGAGGGGGAGGAGGGCAGGGGGGAGGAGGGCAGGGGGGAGGGGGAGGAGGGCAGGGGGGAGGAGGAAGAGGGCGGGGGAAGAGGAGCGGGGACAGGCCGGGGGGTAGAGCAGCAGTAGTAGTGCAGCAGCAGCAGTAGTAGTGCAGCAGCAGCAGTAGTAGTGCAGCAGCAGCAGTAGTAGTGCAGCAGCAGCAGTAGTAGTGCAGCAGCAGCAGTAGTAGTGCAGCAGCAGCAGTAGTAGTGCAGCAGCAGCAGTAGTAGTGCAGCAGCAGCAGTAGTAGTGCAGCAGTAGTAGTGCAGCAGCAGCAGTAGTAGTGCAGCAGCAGCAGTAGTAGTGCAGCAGCAGCAGTAGTAGTGCAGCAGCAGCAGTAGTAGTGCAGCAGCAGCAGCGTAAAAGCAGTAGTAGTGTAGCAGCAGCAGTAGTGTAGCAGCAGCAGCGTAACAGCAGGAGTAGTAGTGTAGCAGGAGTAGTAGTAGTGTAGCAGCAGGAGTCATGTAGCAGCAGCAGCAGTAGTAGTGTAGCAGTAGTAGTAGCAGTGTAGCAATAGTAGGAGGAGTAGTGTAGTGGTGTAGCAGCAGGAGTAGTAGAGTAGTAGTGTAGCAGCATCAGTAGCAGCAGCAACACCAACACCAGCATCACCACCACAACAACAACATCATCATCATCATCCCGTGCCCGCGATGAACCCCGTGGCGAGCACCGACGCGGACGAGAAGAAGCAGCTGTGGGACTCGGACGAGGTGCGTGCCTTGCTGTCTCTGTGGGGCGAGGCGGGCGTGCAGGCCGCGCTGGAGGCATCCGTGCGGAACGAGAGGGTGTACGCACGCATCTCGGCTGAGTTGAGATGCTCGGGCATCATCCGCAGTCCCAAGCAGTGTCGCGAGAAGGTGAAGAAACTGAAGCAGGAGTACAAGAGGCTCAGCGAGGCGGCGGCTGCCGGTCGCAAGCGGAGCCGACATTATCAGATGCTGGACGCAGTGATGGGCCGTGGTGGTGGTGGTGGTGGCTGTGGTGGTGGTGGTGTCCGTGGTGGTGGTGTCGGTGGGGTTAAGCAAGAACAGCAGCAGACTCATCATCAACAGCAAGAACAGCAGCATACTCATCATCAGCAGCAGCAGGATCATCATCAACAGCAGCAGAATCATCAACAGCAGGATCGTCATCATCAACAGCAGCAGAATCATCATCAGCAGCAGAATCATCATCAAGAGCAGCATCATCATCAGCAGGATCATCATCAGCAGGATCATCATCAGCAGGATCATCATCATCAGCAAGATCATCATCGGCAAGATCATCATCAGCAAGATCATCATCAGCAGCAACAGCAGGATCATCAGCAGCAGCAGCAGCTTCAAGAGATGGTGGAGTCTCAAGAATCTGGTGAGTCCATGAAAAAAAAGTTCAACAATCACAGCAGCAAGCAGCAAACGCAATCTCCTTGGTGGCTAGGAGATGTTGACACGCGGTTGGAACTGACCACGTGTCAACATCTCACGGTGGCTAGGAGATGTTGACACGCGGTTGGAACTGACCACGTGTCAACATCTCACGGTGGCTAGGAGATGTTGACACGCGGTTGGAACTGACCACGTGTCAACATCTCACGGTGACTAAGAGATGTTGACACGTGGTTGGAATCGACCACATGTCAACATCTCACGGTGGCTAGGAGATGTTGACACGCGGTTGGAACTGACCACGTGTCAACATCTCACGGTTGCTAGGAGATGTTGCCACGTGGTTGGAACTGACCACGTGTCAACATCTCACGGTGGCTAGGAGATGTTGCCACGCGGTTGGAACTGACCACGTGTCAACATCTCACGGTGGCTAGGAGATGTTGACACGCGGTTGGAACTGACCACGTGTCAACATCTCACGGTTTTCTAGGAGATGTTGACACGTGGTTGGAACAGACCACGTGTCAACATCTCACGGTGGCAAGGAGATGTTGACACGTGGTTGGAATCGACCACGTGTCAACATCTCACGGTGGCTAGGAGATGTTGACACGCGGTTGGAACTGACCACGTGTCAACATCTCACGGTTTTCTAGGAGATGTTGACACGTGGTTGGAACAGACCACGTGTCAACATCTCACGGTGGCAAGGAGATGTTGACACGTGGTTGGAATCGACCACGTGTCAACATCTCACGGTGACTAGGAGATGTTGACACGCGGTTGGAACTGACCACGTGTCAACATCTCACGGTGACTAGGAGATGTTGCCACGTGGTTGGAATCGACCACGTGTCAACATCTCACGGTGACTAGGAGATGTTGACACGCGGTTGGAACTGACCACGTGTCAACATCTCACGGTGGCTAGGAGATGTTGACACGCGGTTGGAACTGACCACGTGTCAACATCTCACGGTGGCTAGGAGATGTTGCCACGTGGTTGGAATCGACCACGTGTCAACATCTCACGGTGGCTAGGAGATGTTGCCACGTGGTTGGAATCGACCACGTCCCAACATCTCACGGTGGCTAGGAGATGTTGACACGTGGTTGGAATCGACCACGTGTCAACATCTCACGGTGGCTAGGAGATGTTGCCACGTGGTTGGAATCGACCACGTGGCAACATCTCAGGGTGACTAGGAGATGTTGGAAACGACCACATGTCAACATCTCACGGTGGCTAGGAGATGTTGACACGTGGTTGGAACTGACCACGTGTCAACATCTCACGGTGGCTAGGAGATGTTGACACGCGGTTGGAACTGACCACGTGTCAACATCTCACGGTGGCTAGGAGATGTTAACTGCCTCGCCTGGTATACAGGAGGTCGGCCGCGTGGGTTCGATCCCAACCTTCGCCCCCACGGTGAGCACGGTTTTGGCTGAGGTACGGTGCGAAAGAAGAGGGGGCCTAGTAATAGGTTTATACCCTTTCAACTGGTACAAAAACTGACACCTTTATACAAGGCATCATCAACTTCAAGGACAGTGCATATCATTATCAGAGTTGTTCCTTTTTGTTTGTATCTTGACTGCTTGTGTTGTGGTTATTGCCAACATGATGCCTTGTATAAAGGTGTCAGTTTTTGTACCAGTTGAAAGGGTAAAAACCTACTACTATATTTTGCCACTGGTAAAGGAGATGTCTCATAGGGTAAAAGAGAGGGCCTGTTTGTTGGGCCAACGTTAGCGCGTGGGACGACGAAGATGCAGTGACGGATTCACCGCGTCCCGGTTTCCGTCGTAGACAGGGGCTGTCGAAATGGCTTAATGATGATGACTTCGGTGTCCACACACGATTATTCTTTGGTTCTTTCGGTAAAGTCACGTATAAAGATAAAATAATAAATTAAATAATAGCATACGACGTTTCGATTGCAACACAAGCAATCATCAGGTATAAATGAAATAGCGACACAAAATCTAACCAGAAAACTATAGACAGACATATAAGCAGACAGATATCACCAAGATACATAGAGAGTTACACAGGCACAGAGAGGGAGATCGTCTCTGTGGGGTGGCCTTAAATAGACAGAGGGGGGCGGAGGCAGATAGAGGGAGGGGTTAGAGACAAAATTTACATGTCAATGAGTACGAAGAGACGCGTAGTAAAGTACGGTAGGCTTGAACATTAAATTAAATAACCTAGCAAAATATCGAAATGTTATGTAATACACCACAGAGAGTCGGTCAACACACAATTAACGCATAGCCTGGTCGATTACTGCAGTCACGAAAGCTCCAAAATTAAGATTCCACACACGATGTTGTTTGGGTCACCTGGGCCGCATGAATGGACCACTGCCAGTGAAGACAACTTGATGTCGAAACCCGGTCCGGAGTGTGTTTTTTTGTGTGTGTCAACGTTGAAGCGACAATGCTGGTTGCAACGTCGCCTTAACTCGTGAAATAAAATAAATGAAAGATAGTTAAATGTCAGAATGTTTATTATCCGACGAGATGTGAAGCTCTTTCTCAGATGTTCAGTGAACGTTTCAACCGCGGATGTCCTTCGCGTTCGTAACTATAACCGGAGTCGTTTCGGGCTATGGCCCTTATGTTCGATGAAGAAGGATAATTGCCAATAACGTTGGCTTTCTTATAAAATATATATTTTCTTTAAAGGCCACACACGCGACCTCCCCGGGAGAGAATAGAGAACACACGAACTCAGTGGCGGCTCCTGCAAAATCTCTCAGGGGGGGCAAATGTCTGGATGATTGATAAGGATAAGGTCCACCCATGCAATGGATAAATTAACAGCTTAAGCATGTAAAGGCAACTTCACTTCTTTAATATTAATGAAAAATAAAGTAACTCTTACAATACATCTTGTTTGTTTCTATACTCACTATTAAAACAAACCAATAGGTGGCGACAAATTATATTGTTGGATGAAACGTGCTTACGTATGATAACGTAAGCACGTATGATGACGTAAGCACGTTAGGGCGAGCCCTCCCGGAAGCCATAGAGAATGCATTGCAGCGCCCCCGTTCGAAAAAAAACATCTTTGAATGTAAGTCTATGGGGCCACTCGGGGCGATTCTCAGCTGGAGGGAAATCGCCCAAAAAGAGGCGGTACTCCACAGAACGTAGCATGACGCTGATTGGACTATATCCAGAGGCACAGTGACGGCTAGCGTGACTCTGTGGTTCAATGACATTGGTGGTGCGTCGCCCAATCGCCCTAATGAAGAAACCGCCCCTGCACGAACTCCAACGTTACACAAGAGGCATCGTCAGGCTCTGGGATCAAACCCATGTCCTCCTGCATACCAGGCGAGGGGAGATGGGGTCTCCTCGCCATCGTGAGATGTTCGCGTGGAGTTTTCTCCGGGTCCTCCGGTCTTTCCCTTCCACATTTAGAATCAACATCACGAGTATTTGGCTGCTATACATTTCCAAGTGATCATGATGATGATCCATAATTAATTTGGAGCTTTCGTGACTGCAGGAATTACTCTTTGGTTCTTTCGGTAAAGTCACGTATAAAGAGAAAATAATAAATTAAATACTAGCATACGACGTTTTGATTCGATTGCAACACAAGCAATCATCAGGTATAAATGAAATAGAAACACAAATCTAGTATACTTAGAAATGTAATGTAATACAACATAGAGTCGCCTATGTATGTCTCTCTCTCTGTGTATCTCTGTGATATCTGTCTCTACTTATATGTCTGTCTATATGTCTCTGGTTCTGTGTTTTATCTTTCTCTCAAATTTAGCATTCTCAGGAAGAACGTAATCAACCAGGTAGGGTGTTGACTGTTGAATGTTATCCGACTCTCTGTTGTATTACATTACATTTCTAAGTATACAAGATTTGTGTTTCTATTTCATTTATACCTGATGATGATTGCTTGTGTTGCAATCGAAACGTCGTATGCTAGTATTTAATTTTTTATTTTCTCTTTATGCGTGACTTTACCGAAAGAACCAACGAGTGATGATGATCCACTTTGCTGAGCTATCATTTGCGAGAGCCAAGGTCACTTCTGAAATAGAGGGATGTAGCTCGGTGGGGCATTACCGGGTGCATTGAAAAATTATAATACTCCGATGGATGCTCCTGCTGTTGTGGAGTGACTCATGCAGCCAGCTATGGCTGCAGGGTTTTGGTAGTACATGTTGTTTATGCCATTTATTGTGAAAATTCCGTCACAGTTCCTATGATCACTGTTTCATTGCTTTCATGGCTTTATTTTGGTGATTTCGAAAAGTGTATTGGTTTAGCCATGTTTGTTTGTTGTAGTACAGAGTTAGACTGATGGCCTTAATCTAAGTTGTCTTGTGGTTGTTGTTGGTTGTTTGACTTGCATCCCACTGGGATTTTTGCACACAGCGTTGGTGTACGGTGATTTTTTTTCTGTAATATTTTGCTGTCTTTTCTTGGATTTTCTGTTTGCACTCAGTCACATATTCACTTTAAGATTTTTTTGTTCATGTTTTTTGTTTGTTGCGGTTGCACCCGATTCAAGAGCCGAATGGCTCACAGGGCTACACCTAATACATGAACTTGAAATGAACTTGAACAAAAAAATGTTCCGTTCTGCAGTTTTACGTTGTCAAGCCATGGGCCATGTCGGAAAGCATTTACAGAATCCATCCGTGTGCGTGTCATTTGTTTTCCTTGCTAGAGGACGCCTCGTCCGTCCACTCGGACGGCAGTGTTCTAATCGAGGATGTCCATGACGGCACATCGACCCCGCAAGCCGGACACTCGTCAGCGGTAAACCCGGGGTTGACGAGTCTCAAGACACTGCAGGGTAAATATCCAAGCGTGAGCTCTCAGATGAGATCAATGATTTATCTCGGGTGCCAATATCGCCCTCGATAAAGCAAGGAGGAGGCACCGGTGCACATTACGGCAGGACGGGGAACGGCGCAGGCGGTACGGAACGGCAGGAATGATAAAAGAAACCCCGTCACGGTCTTGGCGGCTAACACCCGTCTAACACCCATCTAACATCCGTCTAACATCGAGATGCCGATGTTGTCATCGTGTTGTTCCAAAGAGCAAGTGGGAAAAAAATGCAACTCTTGCCTCATTTTCTTATTCCCCATCCTGCATTGCCAGTTCTACTTAAAAGCCCAACACTCTGTAAATAATGAAGGAAACAAAAAAGAAACCCATCGCAAGCGGAGGATTATGAACGGGCTGGAATTTCGCGTGAAATGTCCTGGGAGTAACCACATTGCATGTGCATTGCATGCTCAGTAACACCTTGGATTGCGAGCATAATTCGTTACGGAAAGGTGTTTGTAATCCAAAGCACTCGTATATCAGTTGTGATCACGTGACGCTCGGCAGACAAAGCGTGTACACGTACTACTCGTATTGCAAGACCTCGCTCGTTTATCAAATTAATGTTTATTTAAAAAAATTGCTCGTCTCGCAAAACACTCGCAGACCAAGGTTTTACTGGACAATGCAATCAGCCTTGTCTACCTTGTAACCGCAGCGTATGTATTCACAGTTGCACAATGCGCACTGTTGTGCTGTTAATATGTTGTATTCATAATCAACGTTTTTGGGTTTAGATCGCGTTATTTATAAATGTGTCGTAACCCTCCACCACCCGACACGGCCAATCAGCAAAAAAAGTGTCACGTTGACAAAAGACAAATAGTTCACTGCTTTAGCCCACCGGTGTGTTGAAGCGTGAAACCACAACATTTACAATTTTTGAGTAGTACAACGTTTCGCTGGTAATTGCATCCAGCATCATCGGGCATAATAGTTCTATGCGATATGATATTTACGTCTCTTTTGTAGTAGTGTATTATATCGCTGCTGCTGCTGCTGCTGGCAAGTTGTATGAGTGTTATGTTTTGGATGTATGTTGAACTTCTTTCGCGCCGTACGTGGCCAACCGTGCTAATCGGAGGTGCGGGATGATGTGTGTTGAACTTACACAATGAGACCTCCTTTACCAGTGGCAAAATATAGTAGTAGGTTTTTTACCCTTTCAACTGGTACAAAACCAGTATAAAACTGACACCTAAGAAAAGCTGTCTCAGGTGTGGACCAATCAACTTCAAGGACAGTGCATATCATTATCAGAGTTGTTTCTTTTTGTTTGTATTTTGACTGCTTGTGTTGTGGTTATTGCAAACATGATCCCTTGTATAAAGGTGTCAGTTTTGTACCAGTTGAAAGGGTAAAAAAATTAACCCGTAAAAACAAAGTTTTTCACTATAAATCCTTTATATGCGTGTTCAATGGGCCACAACCCAGCCCACATTGGTCTTTGAAACGGGCGGCTAGAGTCCTCTCGTCCTCTGGCTTGAGATGGCTGCCACCTATGGGTCAGATGATTGCCTGCCACCATTAAGCAATTGGTAATTAAATATAAAAAAAAATCCTAAAATGTTGAAAATTTTGGAAAAAAAATTTCACGAAAATAAATTGTCACGCACAACGAGTCGGTGTGCAAAAATGTCAGTTCGATTGGATCACGGGAAGTGGGTTAAAAAACGACCGAAAGATTTGCACGGTCGTAAGCGATCAAGCAAGCAAGCAAGTGAACTTAATATAAAGGATTTAAAAACCTATTACTGTGTTGAACTTCTTTCGTAACCGTACTTTGCCAACCGTGTTAATCGGAGGTGCGGATTCCCCTCCGGGCATTTGTGTTGCATTTCTCTATTTTTCAGCCAAAAAGCGAAAAAGGGACGCGCCAGACTCGGTCGCGGAACTGGCGAAATGCATGCGGGAATCTGACGAAAGGTACATGGAGTTCCTCCGTCAAGAAATGCAGGCCGACCGGGAGCTTAAAGAACGGCAGATGAACCTGGACCGCGACCAGCGGGAACGGGAAACGGAAGTGTCGGCCTACGTCAACAGAGAACTGATCTCCGTTCTGAAACAACTTGGGCACGCGCTCCTAGCAAGGGAGGCAAGGGATCTGCCTTTGGATTGAGGAGAGTTTGTTTTCATTTGTCAATGTGTTTCTTCCGTGCGTGCAGGTTGTACATGAGAACAAACGCATAATCGTGGCATGCTCTTCCCCCCCTCCATCGCAGCTTAAATAGTCGCTCCAAGCCTGGGGTGTGTCATTCAGACTCTGTCTTCTCGACAGACCTGTTCTCCACCTGAGGACGGCTGCTTGCGTTGTGGCCGAAACGTCGTGAGAATTATTTTATTATGTTGTATTTTTATTTTTTTATTATTTCCATTCTACGTGACTTTACCGAAAGAACCAAGAAGATGAATCCCCGCAGTCACGAAAGCTTTAAATCTAAATGTACAGGGTGCTTCAAAAAAAGTTAACATTTACATGGGACTGTTTTTAATGGAAAAAACGGATAATGCACTAATATAATAACAAATGTGTGTTAAATTTTGATTTAAAGCTTTCGTGACTGCAGGGATTCATATTCTTGGTTCTTTCGGTAAAGTCACGTAGAAGGGAAATAATAAAATAATAAAAATACTAAACAATACAATTCTCACGACGTTTCGACTGCAACACAAGCAATCATCATCAGGTGTGAAATCCACAGCACTAACTGCTACACTACCGCTCCCCACACACCACCATCCTTTACTGTGGATTTCACACCTGATGATGATTGCTTGTGTTGCAGTCGAAACGTCGTGAGAATTTTAGTGTTTTATATTTTTATTATTTTATTATTTCCCTTCTACGTGACTTTACCGAAAGAACCAAGAATATAAATGTGTGTTAATCGCTTCAAAAAGTCAAGTCTCCACTTGCTCGCCATCGTTGTCAACGCGTGCCTGGAATCTTCTCCAGGTGGTCTCCAGAGCTCGGAGGCACATTTCTCGTGGAGTTGTTGCAAATTGTCAGAAGTGTTCACATTTTTTTGAAGCACCCTGTACATAAATCTGTTTTGTTAATGACACTGGTCAACACACTTTTAGTGGCATAAGGTATTCCAACGGTTTTAAGGTGATTTTGGGGTGCTGATTCCAAATCTGGCATCAGTTTTTGTCTATCACATCAGGTTTTTGAGATATCAAATATTGCATTATCAATAAAAACTGCAGAAGAATAATATTAAATAAATGTAGATATCTACATAAAATTATATTATAAACACACTATCCTAAAAATACAGCACCATATTTTAACACTAAAGCAGTCACTGACTCGCAACAACTTGCAATCATAAGTGACAGAGTTAATTTCGGGTAAAATCAATGAAAATGGGGTATGCCGATAGCGTAAAATGAGATGTGATAGAGCAAATCTGAGATCAGATTTGGAATCAGCACCCTGAAATTAGTCTAGAACAGCTGCAAAAGTCCAGGCCAGAATTGTTTTTTGTTGACCAGTGTGATAGGTTTCTTTATTCGCATACAAAACTGCTGAACGTGCATCCGTAAAAATATCACACGAAAAATATTGCAATGCGGGTACTTTAATGTTTGGTCAAGAAGTACAGGATTCTATGTCCCTCGTGTTCTATTCAACTGTCAAAACGTTACACAGTAAGGTACTTAGGAAGATTTCCATGAACATCAGCCGCTTCACCCTCACATCTTTTCGGTAACATGTCCAGGTTGAGCGCATTCCATTTGAGCAGTGGCGGCTCCTGCAAAATCTCTCAGGGGGGGCAAATGTCTGGATGATTGATAAGGATAAGGTCCACCCATGCAATGGATAAATTAACAGCTTAAGCATGTAAAGGCAACTTCACTTCTTTAATATTAATGAAAAATAAAGTGACTCTTACAATACATCCTGTTTGTTTCTATACTCACTATTATTACAATCCACTCAGTTTCTTTTATTAAAGATTCCACTAGGTGGCGACAAATAATATTGTTGACTGAAACGTGCTTACGTATGATGACGTAAGCACGTTAGTGCGAGCCCTCCCGGAAGCCATAGAGAATGCATTGGAGCGCCCGCCGTTCGAAAAAAAACATCTTTGAATGTAAATCTATGGGAACAACCAGAGTGAAATCGCCCAAAAAGAGGCGGTACTCCACAGAACGTGACATGACGCTGATTGGACTATATCAAGAGGCACAGTGACGGCTAGCGTGACTCTGTGGTTCAATGACATTGGTGGTGCGTCGCCCAATCGCCCGAATGAAGAAACTGCCCCTGCATTTGATTAACCTATTCGATGAAGGGATTGTTCGAGCCTAACCATGATAGAGGGGAAGATGCCTACTGGCTAGCATCGTTGTCGATAATTGTACCGCGCTATGGTGCAGAGTAAATGTCGACCGCCATTCGTACAGACATGCCACGCAGTTTTGCCTCGGAACTTTTATTTTGAAATGTCCCGCCAGTACAAACTTTCGCTGTAAATAAAAACCTCGTTAGTGTTAGACGTCTCTCGCCTGAGCCGATCGCGAGCATCTTGCAAGCTGCTCCCGTGTTGAGAACTGACCAAAGTGTTCGGGTGGCGAGCGGCGTTTGTGGGGGCGACTGCCATCTCCATCTCGGTGGGGCGGTGAACTCGTGTGGGAACCTGATGCGTAAGAATTCTCCAACCCCGCCTGCCACCACCCAACACGAAGAGCTCCCTGGCGAGAGATTCAAGTTTTTGAAACGAGGTGATGGGCCTCTGGTTCAGAGGCGGTGGCCTTGGCCAATATCGTCGATACGGCGGTGGCTGCTGTGATTCTGATCTTTTCGGAATCGGAATCTTTATTTATTACTGGAGGAGGGATCCGATGAGCTATGGATGTCCAGCAGGGACGGGTCACAATGTTACAACAAGAACAAACAATACAAAAACACGATTGGAGTGCAAAGTATAGCAAAGGAAAACAAATCACTTTAAAAGTACCGTATATACAAATTTAAAAGAGACATTTTTTTTATCTTATGTAAGGCCCCATTGAGCCATTAGCTTCTTTCGTCAGAAGCGGCCTGGCCACGAATGACAGCTCAACGAAGTGGCTTTTGTAAATCCACAAGTTTGTGTCGTTTAGCTGTCTGAGAACCCGAGAGAGACCAGGCTAAAGTCTCATTTGCAAGAGAGGTGACCTTGGCGGCCTGGGTCAATGTGAGCCAGTACACGGGATGGTTCGTGAAGTAAGCCTCACTGGCTTGCTGTCCTCCAGCAGCAATGAGCTTCATCCTCTCTCTGGCTCAGATCCAGATCCAGGGGCAAGAGGCAACAACGACGCATCATCATCGGATGGTGCTGGCATCTCAAACTTGCAACCCCGGTTCCGAGCTCGGACGATCAGGACCATCTTTCTTCTCCCCTCTCTTCCGGCCCCCTTCACCTGCCTCTGATGATGTCCACTACCTCTGTGCGATGTAACATCCGCCGTGTGGGAGCGATGTCGCTGTCTCTGCGGCGCGAGTGTCGGTGCGGTGTGATGTCACACACCGTTGGCACTGCTGGATAACGCACGATCAGGCGGTCATTGTTGGGGACTAGATTTGAAGCTTTCGTGACTGCAAGGATTCATATTCTTAGGTTTTTTCGGTAAAGTCACGTAGGTAAAAAAATTAAATTAATAAAAGTAAAATAAATTATTATTAAAAAAAATTATTTTACTTTTAGTAATTTAAATTTTTTACCTACGTGACTTTACCGAAAAAACCTAAGAATATTGTTGGGGACGTTGGGAGCTTTGGTATCGTGGGGTGCAAGCAGTGATGAGAAGGGAACTTGTACTTTGGACACATGTTGGATGGGCAAGAGGAAAATTGAAAGTGTTCAGAGAAATGGAAGGAACCTGAAAGAGGAAGACCTAACAAAGAATAGCTTATAATAATAGGATTTTTCCCCTTTTTTTGGCAACAAAACTGAAACCTTTTTACGAGGAATTATGTGTGCATTAACCACAATACTTGTGGTCAAAATGCAAACAAAAAACAAGAAATCTGTCTCTGGTGTGGACTAATCAGTTTCAAGGACAATGCATATATTATCAGAGTGTGTTTTTGTTTGCATTTTGACCACAAGTATTGTGGTTAATGCAGTGGCACTATTCCTCGTAACAAGGTTTCAGTTTTGTTGCCAGAAAAAAGGGAAAAAACCCTATTATTATATTTATGGTACTGGAAAAGGAGGTCTAATGATGATAAAGAAATGGCTTGAAGATCACATCCGAGATGGGCGCCAGAAAGATGTGCACCAATTGAGCACATTGGCACAAGGCAAGAGGAAAGTGTAAACAAATGAAGACATTTGCAGTGGACACCGATGGACCATCTGCCCATGGATCGTGATGATGATGATGGTGGCGTGTTGGGTGGGAAATCGATCTAGATTTGAAGCTTTCGTGACTGCAAGGATTTATATTCTTAGGTTTTTTCGGTAAAGTCACGTAGGTAAAAAATTAAAATGAATAAATGTTCACCTGAAGACAGAAGCTTGTGTTGCCTCCGAAACGTCGTGATTTGATTGTATTTTTTATTTTACTTTATTAATTTACTTTTTTTTACCTACGTGACTACCGAAAAAACCTAAGAATATGGGAAATCGATCCTGGAGAGAGATTTCGCGAACTCGCGATTGGTGTGAGCGTGGCCTCTTTATTTGCCAGTACCTCCGGTTTTTTACGTCGGGGATGCGTTCCTGACGACTGTCGAAACGACGTCAAATCAAAAGCGATTTTTTTTTCCTTCCACGAGAGCTAAACAGAGAGCGGAGGCGACAGGTGACCCCGTCTTAACGCGCACGTCTTCATCCCGGACGTACCCGCAACGTCGCGTTAAGTTACTAAAAATACTGTACTCGGCACTAGTGTGACAGCGGTAAACTTTGAACAAAAATTGTACAGGGTACAATACGATACACTACACTATAAAGTCGCGTAAATACCGTGCGTAAACAATATATTGTACTCTGCAGTACGGTACAATTCTTTACGCACGACGCCGCAATGGTAGTTCGTGTCCAGGTTGGTAGCTGGTGGCGATGGCCGAGAGGCGACGGATTTACGAGAAAAGACGGACGACGTGATTGTGGGTCGAGGTGACGCTGATTTGGTCGTGGCGGTATTAATACAGCGGCGACTACTCTACTTACGAACATTCGACTTACGAACTTTCAGAGATACGAACAAACCTGTCCGTATGTCCAGTTGCCTGTTCAGACCGAGAGTCGTAAGTTCAACCGTCGCGCAATAGATGGCGGTGGTGGCATCTACGTCTGTAGAACGTGAAGACCCAGCGGCATCTACATCTGTAGAACGTGAAGACCCAGCGGCATCTACATCTGCAGAACGTGAAGACCCAGCGGCATCTACATCTGCAGAACGTGAAGAACCAGTGGCATCTACATCTCCAGAACGTGAAGAACCAGTGGCATCTACGTCTGTAGAACATGAAGACCCAGCGGCATCTACATCTGCAGAACTTGAAGACCCAGCGGCATCTACATCTGCAGAACGTGAAGACCCAGTGGCATCTACATCTGCAGAACGTGAAGAATCATTGGCTTTTACGTCTGCAGAACTTGAAGAACCAGTGGCATCTACATCTGCAGAACGTGAAGAACCAGTGGCATCTACATCTACAGAACGTGAAGAACCAGTGGCATCTACATCTGCAGAACGCGAAGAACCAGTGGCATCTACATCTGCAGAACGCGAAGAACCAGTGGCATCTACATCTGCAGAACGTGAGAAACCAGTGGCATCTACATCTGTAGAACGTGAAGAACCAGTGGCATCTAAATCTGCAGAACGCGAAGAACCAGTGGCATCTACATCTGTAGAACGTGAAGAACCAGTGGCATCTACATCTGCAGAACGTGAAGAACCAGTGGCATCTACATCTGCAGAACGTGAAGAACCAGTGGCATCTACATCTGCAGAACGTGAGGAACCAGTGGCATCTACAAAACATGAAGAGCCAGTGGCATCTACATCTGCAGAACATGAAGAACCAGTGGCATCTACATCTGCAGAACGTGCAAAACCAGTGGCATCTACAGAACGTGAAGAACCAGTGGCATCTACATCTATAGAACGTGAAGAACCAGTGGCATCTACAGAACGTGAAGAACCAGTGGCATCTACATCTACAGAACGTGAAGAACCAGTGGCATCTACATATACAGAACGTGAAGAACCAGTGGCATCTACATCTACAGAACGTGAAGAACCAGTGGCATCTACATCTACAGAACGTGACGAACCAGTGGCATCTGCAGAACGTGAAGACCCAGTGGCATCTACATTTACAGAACCTGAAGAACCAGTGGCATCTACATCTGTAGAACGTGAAGACCCAGTGGCATCTACATCTACACAACGTGAAGACCCAGTGGCATCTACATCTACACAACGTGAAGAACCAGTGGCATCTTCATCTACAGAACGTGAAGAAACAGTGGCGTCTACAGAACGTGAAGAACCAGTTGCATCTACAGTACATCTACAGAACGTGAAGAACCAGTGGCATCTGCAGAACGTGAAGAACCAGTGGCATCTACAGAACGTGAAGAACCAGTGGCATCTACAGAACGTGAAGAACCAGTGGCATCTACAGAATGTGAAGAACCAGTGGCATCTGCAGAACGTGAAGAACCAGTGGCATCTGCAGAACGTGAAGAACCAGTGGCATCTACAGAACGTAAAGAAACAGTGGCATCTACAGAATGTGAAGAACCAGTGGCATCTGCAGAACGTGAAGAACCAGTGGCATCTGCAGAACGTGAAGAACCAGTGGCATCTGCAGAACGTGAAGAACCAGTGGCATCTACAGAACGTGAAGAACCAGTGGCATCTACAGAACGTGAAGAACCAGTGGCATCTACAGAACGTGAAGAACCAGTGGCATCTGCAGAACGTGAAGAACCAGTGGCATCTGCAGAACGTGAAGAACCAGTGGCATCTACAGAACGTGAAGAACCAGTGGCATCTGCAGAACGTGAAGAAACAGTGGCATCTACAGAACGTGAAGAACCAGTGGCATCTACAGAATGTGAAGAACCAGTGGCATCTGCAGAACGTGAAGAACCATTGGCATCTGCAGAACGTAAAGAAACAGTGGCATCTACAGAACGTGAAGAACCAGTAGCATCTGCAGAACACACATGTGTACACGTCCTTGATCCTGAAAATATGGCCGCATCCGGCAACACCATGTCCAGCGTGGCCTTTCGCTGTGGCAGAGGCAATCACTGGTCACGTGCCGACTCACGTCTAGAAGTGAGAAATGAATGCCTGTGTAAAGACAGTGCGTGGACTAGCGGCCACGAGTGGTAATTACAGGTGTGAAGACAATATAGAAGGCGAGCGGCCGCAAGTGGTAATTACAGGCGAGGTGACAGAGAAGGGAACGATCTGGAATCTCCAGGAAGGGTTCGGGAACTCGCCAGAGAGTTGGAGAAGTAAGGGGTCGTGGCCATGAGGCGGAGCGATGGCCACGCCGGGGATAAAAAATTAACCCGTAAAAACAAAGTTTTTCACTATAAATCCTTTATATGCGTGGCGGCTAGAGTTCTCTCGTCCTCTGGCTTGAGATGGCTGCCACCTATGGGTCAGATGATTGCCTGCCACCATTAAGCATTTGGTAGTTAAATATCTTTTCTTTTTCCTAAAAAGTGGAAAATTTTTGAAAAAATTTTTCACGAAAATAAATTGTCACGCACAACGAGTCTGTGTGCAAAATGTTAGCTTGATTGGATCACGGGAAGTGGGTTAAAAAACGACCGAAAGATTTGCACGGTCGTAAGCGCGCAAGCAAGCAAGCAAGTGAACTTAATATAAAGGATTTTAAAGGGAGCGAGGAGCGAGGTTCGGGGCTGCTGTGGAAGTCGGGGTCATCGCGGTCCGGGGGCGCTGTCTTCGCGTCGTCGCTGTCTGAGAGCCATCGATGTGAAGCGACCGATCAAAATAAAGAAACCCTCGACAGTCCGCGTGTCCGAGAGTCGTTACGCCTGCACGCGCACCTGCTTACACAAAGACAAATATCCCACCCGTGTAGCCTTAATAGACTGTAGAGGCAAGTGCTGTTAGTGAGAACTTATCAAGGCCCGGAACGGTACACGAGGGGGTGGGTGGTCAACACCACGCCCGGCCGCCTTTGTCTCCCCAGTAACGATGTTTACACACCGCACCAGGTACTCATTTGAGGCTGAGTCGACCTGGGGGGGGCCCAGGACCATTCCAGAAAATCGTCATTGGTGAGCGGGAATCGAAGCCGGGTCACCAGGTACGTAGCGCAGTGTAGCGCTAACCACTAAACCACCGCTCCCCAACAACAACAACAACTGCCATTCGCCACTAAGTGACGGTGACATCACCACGACGCACGTGCCAGGCTGGGTGCACGTTGAGGCCACGTGAAGTGTCGAACGCCCGCTGGCAGGAGGTCACGGGGCAGACCCAGCAGGTGCCATGGGTTGACTGAGATGACCGAGATGACTGGCTGATGCCCACCTGTGCCCCCTACTGTGCCAACTTGCTATGCTTTATCCACCCGGCGCTCTGCTCGTTGTTGTGAGCGTCGCTCCTCCGCCCTCCGCTGTTGTTGGAGGGCGACTGCCTCCAACTGCCCAGTAGCAGCGTCCTTCACGAGCCTCCTCTACAGAGGCCGATCTTGACACCACTGGTACCAGTCTGACTGACTGAGATGACCGAGATGACTGGCTGATGCACCACCTGTGCCCCCTACTGTACCAACTTGCTGTGCTTTAGCCACCCGGCGCTCCGCTCGTTGTTGTGAACGTCGCTCCTCCGCCCTCCGTTGTTGTTGGAGGGCGACTGCCTCCAACTGCCCAGTAGCGTCCTTCACGAGCCTCCTCCACAGAGGCCGATCTTGACACCGCTGGCACCAGTCTGACTGACTGAGATGACCGAGATGACTGGCTGATGCACCACCTGTGCCCCCTAACACACACACTGTGTACACACACACACGTGAAGTGTCGAACGCCCGCTGGCAGGAGGTCACGGGGCAGACCCAGCAGGTGCCACGGGTCGACTGACTGAGATGACCGAGATGACTGGCTGATGCACCACCTGTGCCCCCTTACACACACACACGTACATACTCGCTCGCTCGCTCGACCCCCATCCCTATTGCAATCGCCGGAGCATCGCGGCGAGCGCGGCTGAGAGGAGTCCAAGAGCGGAACGGGACGAGGACGCGGGAGGAGGGGCCCGTGATGGACTCCCGTCGTGCGCTCGTCCCCCGGAGGACGGTGTCAGCGACGTGCGGGGGGGCGGCTCCGCCGGCCTCGGGCACGACGCGTCCTCGCCACCGCAGTCCCCGCTGCCAGAGCCCCACTCGTCGCCTGCCGGGGGGGACACACACACCGGGGTAGGCCTCGGCAAGGTAAGGTAATTTACCCTTTAAAACCGGGTAAAAGGGTAACGGTAAAGGGTAAAGATGTCGACATGCCAAGGGGTAAGGTAAAGGGTAGGGTAAAGGTAGCTCGGAAGAATTACCCGGTAGGGTAAAGGAAGCGCGAAGTATTACTCGGTAAATACGGTGCCTTGTTTACCGCTAAAAGCTCCGTGGCGCAGTCCGTGGCCTCCATTTAATAAGTAATATTAAAACAAACTTTCTTAAAAACACGATTTTATTAAATGTACTAGTAATGGCAGAACTCCACGACTTCAGGAAGTGGCCCCGAAGCTTGCCATAACGTAAGGGACCGTGGTGATTTACTGCCAACGTCAGTTGAGCGTGGACAATTAGACCCAAGCCGAAACACAACATATAAACAAGGATTTTATGCTAGAATATAGTATTGTCATCAGTATGACATAAGTATACCAAGTTTGCAGTCGATACCACATTAGGAAGTTGGTAAAATTTTAGTTACAAGATTTGAGGATACAACAACGACGACAACAACAATAACAACAACAACTATGACAACAACGACAACAACAACAATGACAACAACGACAACAATGACAACAACGACAACAATGACAACAACAACAACAAGCGTGTAAAATTGGAATCATCGAGAGTATTCTATATGAATAAAGCGCTCTACCTAGCATTTACCGTTATAAACCTTTATCATGTGTAGTAGTACCCCAGTAATTACCCTGTAATCGGGTAATGTGTATGGGGTAAGGGTAAAAGGTAAGGTAAAAGGTAGGGTAAAAGGTAGGCTCGTTGTTTTTACCTTTTAACTTCTACCTTACCTTGCCGAGGCCTACACGGGGGGGGGGGGCACGCCATCTGGCGGTTCGGAGGTCGACCGAGGGCCTCGAACAATCAGTATCAAGGACGATGCATCGTGTTATCAGAGTGTGGGTTTTGTTTGAGCTTTTGACCGCAAGTATCGTGGTTAATGTAGTAACATGATTCCTCGTCAAAAGGTTTCAGTTTTGTTGCCAGAAAAAAGGGGAGAAACCCCCTATTCTTCTTCTTGGTTCTTTCGGTAAAGTCACGTAGAAGGGAAATAATAAAATAATAAAGTACTTTTTTATTATGTTGTATTTTTATTATGTTATTATTTCCCTTCTACGTGACTTTACCGAAAGAACCAAGAAGATAAAAAAAAAATAGATTTTTATTATTTTATTATTTTCCTTCTACGTGAATCCCTGCAGTCACGAAAGCTTTAAATCGAAACCCTATTATCATTATAAGAAGGGCTCCGAGCCTCAAGAGGCACCACCACCACCATTCCTTACTCATCAGGAAAGGGGGGCGCTAAAGGAGGGGGGCAACACAGGGGTTGGTGCGTCTGGGGGGGGGGGCAGTGCTCACTGCCAGTGGCGGCTCCTGCAAAATCTCTCAGGGGGGGCAAATGTCTGGATGATTGATAAGGATAAGGTCCACCCATGCAATGGATAAATTAACAGCTTAAGCATGTAACAGCAACTTCATTTCTTTAATATTAATGAAAAATAAAGTGACTCTTACAATACATCTCCTTGTTTGTTTCTATACTCACTATTATTACAATCCACTCAGTTTCTTTTATTAAAGATTCCACTAGGTGGCGACAAATAATATTGTTGACTGAAACGTGCTTACGTATGATGACGTAAGCACGTATGATGATGTAAGCACGTTAGGGTGAGCCCTCCCGGAAGCCATAGAGAATGCATTGCAGCGCCCGCCGTTCGAAAAAAAACATCTTTGAATGTAAGTCTATGGGGCCACTCGGGGCGATTCTCAGCCGGAGTGAAATCGCCCAAAAAGAGGCGGTACTCCACAGAATGTGACATGACGCCGATTGGACTATTTCCAGAGGCACAGTGACGGCTAGCGTGACTCTGTGGTTGAATGAGCTTGGTGGTGCATCGCCCAATCGCCCGAATGAAGAAACCGCCCCTGCTCACTGCTGTCGGCGAAGTGTGTGTCGTGGCCGTGGAAGGCTCCGTGGAGCTGGCTGGTCATGACGCGCAGCGCCATGATCTGCCGGCGGGACTGCAGGTCGGGCCGGGTGACGTCCACCTTCACCTCCGGGTTGTCCCTCTGCTGGGCCAAGCCATCGCCCACCACGTCGCGCAGATACCTTGCAGGGGGAGAGCGAGGGAGAGAGAGAGAGAGGCATCGTCGTCGTCGTCGTCATTGTTGTCATTGTCGTCATCGTCGTTAACGTCATTGTCGTCATCGTCATCGTCGTCATCATTGTCGTCGTCATTGTCATCATCGTCGTTATCGTCGTCGTCATCATCGTCATCGTCGTCATCATCGTCATCATCGTCGTTATCGTCATCGTCGTCATCGTCGTCATCATCGTCGTTATCGTCATCGTCGTCATCATCGTCGTCATCGTCGTCGTCGTCGACATCGCTCCTCTGGGGGTCGATGAGACCCAGTCGTACCGGTCTGCTTTTCGGGAGGTCAACCGCCGTGGTTGTCCTGCTACGAGGGGGGGTGTCCCTGGGGGGAGGGGGGGGTGGGTGACGGCAGAGGGAAGCAAGAGATGGCTCTGGGTAGGGGGGGGGGGCCTGGCAGATGGCTCTGGGTGGGTGGGGGGGGGGCCCTGGCAGAGGGAAGGAGGAGACGGCTCTGTGGGTAGGGGGTGGGTGACGGCCCCACCTGCCCTCCCCCTCCCCGTTCCAGCAGCGCTCCTCGCTGGAGATGTCCGCGGCGACGCCCTCGGCGCTGCACACGCTGAACGGCAGCGAGGCCCAGAACGACTTCATCCTGCGCAGGGTGTCCCTCGCCTCCCGCACCTGCACCACGGGGGGGGTGCAGTGGGGGGGGGTGCGGGGGGGGCAGTGGGGGGGGTGCAGTGGGGGGGGCAGTGGGGGGGTGCAGTGGGGGGGGGTGCGGGGGGGGGCAGTGGGGGGGGTGCAGTGGGGGGGCAGTGGGGGGGGGTGCAGTGGGGGGGGCAGTGGGGGGGTGCAGTGGGGGGGGGTGCGGGGGGGGCAGTGGGGGGGGTGCAGTGGGGGGGGGGGGCAGTGGGGGAGGGGGTGCAGTGGGGGTGCAGTGGGGTGCAGTGGGGGGGGGTGCGGGGGGGGCAGTGGGGGGGGTGCAGTGGGGGGGGGCAGTGGGGGAGGGGGTGCAGTGGGGGTGCAGTGGGGGTGCAGTGGGGGGGGGTGCGGGGGGGGCAGTGGGGGGGGTGCAGTGGGGGGGGGGGCAGTGGGGGAGGGGGTGCAGTGGGGGGTGCAGTGGGGGTGCAGTGGGGGGTGCAGTGGGGGGGGGGGGTGCAGGGGGTTGGGGGGGGGCACCACGTGGCTCAAATTCCGGTGCCCACGGAAAGGTGCGTTCGCCTACAAAGGCAAAGATCCCCGTGTAGCCTCATCAGACTGTTGGGGCAAGTGCTGTTAGCGAGCACCTATGAAGGCCGGCACGGCGCACGAGGGGGTGGGTGGCAAGCACCACGTTCGGCCGCCTTTGTCTCCCCAGTGTCGATGTTCACTACACACCGTACCAGGTGCTCATTTGAGGACGGATTCTGATAATCGTCACCGGTGTTAACCGCGAGCGGTGATCGCAGCGCCACGCGCTGACCGTTGCACACTAATGCTCCCCACTACTGCATACACACGCACGCACACGCACGCACACACACACGTTCATACACGCGCGCGCACACACGCACATACACACACTCACACATACGCACACACAGGCACGCACGTACACACAAGCACACACACTCTCACACATGCATACACACAGGTACGCGCACGCACACACGCACGCACACGCACACTCTCACACACAGGCACGCACGTACACACAGGCACGCACACTCTCACGCACACACACACGCACACACACACACGCACACTCTCACACACGCACACAAACACACGCACACTCTCACGCACACACACACGCACACACACACACACGCACACACGCACACACACGCGCACACACACGCACACACACGCACATACGCGCGCGCTCCGCCGGAGGAGTTACGGGCAAAGTAATTATGGCCAACGATCGCAGGCGGAGTGGCGAGCGGCGGTCACGGCGCTGATCTATGGAACGAGTCTGGGGACGGCGACACGATAATTAACGGCGCATCGTCAATCGTCAATCCGGCGCAGGAGACAGAGAGGAGGCGGGAGGGAGTGGATCGTGGGAGCATCGGGCTCGCGTTCGCTGGCATCTCTGTCTGCGCGCCTGCCTCGGTGTCGAGCTGGTGACCCCCGAACCACAAAGCCTCTCGCACTGCCGGGCGAACTCCATCTCAACTAGAGGCTGCTGGGGGGCGACTTGAACGACCCCGACCTGAACATCTCCACCCACGGGGGGGGGGGGGGGACCTGAACATCTCCACCCACGGGGGGGGGGGACCTGAACATCTCCACCCACGGGGAGGGGGGGGGACCTGAACATCTCCACCCACGGGGGGGGGACCTGAACATCTCCACCCACGGGGGGGGGGGGACCTGAACATCTCCACCCACGGGGGGGGGGACCTGAACATCTCCACCCACGGGGAGGGGGGGACCTGAACATCTCCACCCACGGGGAGGGGGGGGACCTGAACATCTCCACCCATCGGGGAGGGGGGACCTGAACATCTCCACCCACGGGGGGGGGGGACCTGAACATCTCCACCCACGGGGGGGGGGGGACCTGAACATCTCCACCCACGGGGGGGGGGGGGACCTGAACATCTCCACCCACGGGAGGGGGACCTGAACATCTCCACCCCTGGGGGGGGGACCTGAACATCTCCACCCACGGGGGGGGGACCTGAACATCTCCACCCACGGGGGGGGGGGACCTGAACATCTCCACCCACGGGGAGGGGGGACCTGAACATCTCCACCCACGGGGAGGGGGGACCTGAACATCTCCACCCACGGGGAGGGGGGACCTGAACATCTCCACCCACGGGGGGGGGGACCTGAACATCTCCACCCACGGGGAGGGGGGACCTGAACATCTCCACCCACGGGAGGGGGGACCTGAACATCTCCACCCACGGGGAGGGGGGACCTGAACATCTCCACCCACGGGGAGGGGGGACCTGAACATCTCCACCCACGGGGGGGGGGACCTGAACATCTCCACCCACGGGGAGGGGGGACCTGAACATCTCCACCCACGGGGAGGGGGGACCTGAACATTTCCACCCACGGGGGGGGGGACCTGAACATCTCCACCCACGGGGAGGGGGGACCTGAACATCTCCACCCACGGGGGGGGGGACCTGAACATCTCCACCCACAGGGGGGGGGACCTGAACATCTCCACCCACGGAAAGGGGGGACCTGAACATCTCCACCCACGGGGAGGGGGGACCTGAACATCTCCACCCACGGGGAGGGGGGACCTGAACATCTCCACCCACGGGGGGGGGGACCTGAACATCTCCACCCACGGGGAGGGGGGACCTGAACATCTCCACCCACGGGGGGGGGGGACCTGAACATCTCCACCCACGGGGAGGGGGGACCTGAACATCTCCACCCACGGGGAGGGGGGACCTGAACATCTCCACCCACGGGGAGGGGGGACCTGAACATTTCCACCCACGGGGGGGGGGACCTGAACATCTCCACCCACGGGGAGGGGGGACCTGAACATCTCCACCCACGGGGGGGGGGGGACCTGAACATCTCCACCCACAGGGGGGGGGACCTGAACATCTCCACCCACGGAAAGGGGGGACCTGACCATCTCCACCCACGGGGAGGGGGGACCTGAACATCTCCACCCACGGGGAGGGGGGACCTGAACATCTCCACCCACGGGGGGGGGGGACCTGAACATCTCCACCCACGGGGAGGGGGGACCTGAACATCTCCACCCACGGGGGGGGGGGACCTGAACATCTCCACCCACGGGGAGGGGGGACCTGAACATCTCCACCCACGGGGAGGGGGGACCTGAACATCTCCACCCACGGGGAGGGGGGACCTGAACATCTCCACCCACGGGGAGGGGGGACCTGAACATCTCCACCCACGGGGGGGGGGACCTGAACATCTCTACCCACGGGGGGATGAACTTGAACGACCTTGACCTGAACACCGAGGGGGGGGTTGTGGGTGTGGGGGGTGGCCCACGGCCTCACCAGGTGGACGATGGTGGTGCTGGGCGAGGCGGTGGGAGCCGGCGGGCGACTCGTGCCGACCCTCCCCCTGCCGCCGTAGCCGGACGGCGCCGCGCCCCTGCCGGCCTGGTGCGCCCTGCCGGGGTTGGGGATGCCGCACTCCGCGAAGATCTGGGGGCGCGTGGGAGCGTACGCACAGCTAAGGCCCTCGCTGAAGCCGTCAGCAGGAGCAGCAGCAGCAGCAGTAGCAGCAGCAGTAGCAACAGCAGCAGTAACAGCAGCAGCAGTAGCAACAGCAGCAGTAGTAGCAGCAGCAGAAGCAGCAGTAGCAGCAGCAGAAGCAGCAGCAGTAGCAGCAGCAGCAGTAGCAGAAGCAGCAGCAGTAGCAGCAGCAGCAGTAGCAACAGCAGCAGTAGTAGCAGCAGCAGCAGAAGCAGCAGTAGCAGCAGCAGAAGCAGCAGCAGTAGCAACAGCAGCAGTAGTAGCAGCAGCAGAAGCAGCAGTAGCAGCAGCAGTAGCAGCAGCAGCAGTAGCAGCAGCAGTAGTAGCAGCAGCAGAAGCAGCAGAAGCAGCAGCAGTAGCAGCAGCAGCAGTAGCAGCAGCAGTAACAGCAGCAGTAGTAGCAGCAGCAGTAGCAGCAGTAACAGCAGCAGCAGTAGTAGCAGCAGTAGTAGCAGCAGGAGCAGCAGCAGGAGCAGCAGCAGCAACAGGAGACGCCAGCCTGATGAGCGCCGCGCTCAAGCAGAGACACTGCCGACCGCGAATTATGCAGCTACGGCGAAGTTGGGCGAACCCGGGTCACCAGGTACGCAGCGCAGCGTAGCGCTAACCGCTGCACCACCACTCCCCAACAACAACAACCGCCATTCGCCACTAAGTGACGGTGACGTCACCACGACGCTTGTGCCAGGCTAGGTGCACGTTGAGGCCACGTGGGGCAGACCCAGCAGGTGCCACGGGTTCGACTGACTGAGATGACCGAGATGACTGGTTAATGCACCACCGATGCCCCCCTAACACACACACTGTGTACACACACACGCACATGCATCACCGTACCGCGTACTGCATCACTGTACCGCGTGCTGCATCACCGTTCCGCGTACCGCGGCGTGAACACGGCGCGCCAAGCGGCCGAATTCTTTCGAGTGTCGCCCTGTGAACAGATCGTGGCGATCGCCCTCGTGGTTTGCGCTTGAGAATCACCTGCGTGGACACCTGGACGCTGTTTTCCTGGAGGTGCATGATCGCGTCCGAGATCCTCACGTCGATCGGAGCGAGGACCGTCTCCACGTTGAAGGGACCCTCCAGTCGCTCCTGTCAGCTGCAGCATCGCGTCTGCGTCGTGGGGTGGGGAACGGTGGCGCAGCGGTTAGCGCGCTCTCGGCCCGGCAAGAAGGGGTCTCGGCTGATGGCGCGCGGCGTGAACGTTCGGCGGAACGGGCGAGTTGGGAGTCCCGGATAGGACGCGCGGTTGTGCACGAGCCAGGGCGCGGTGATTCCGCCACCGGAGCGGATCGTCATCATCGTCATCATCGTCGTCATCGTCACCATCGTCGTCATCGTCGTCATCATCGTCGTCATCGTTGTCATCGTTGTCATCGGCATCACCATCGTCGTCGTCATCGTCACCATTGTCGTCATCGTCGTCATCATCGTCGTCATCATAGTCGTCATCGTCGTCCTCATCGTCGTCATCATCGTGATCGTCATCATCATCGTCATCATCGTTATTATCATCATCATCATCGTCATCGTTATCATCGTCATCATCGTCGTCATCATCATCGTCATCGTCACCATCAGCAGCAGCAGCGAGGGAAGGGCAGCAGTTTGCAGGATAATCGGCTGAGGCACCCCCCCCCCCACAGCGAGGTCATTCCTGCAAGTTTATGTAGCAGGGTGATTGTAATCAGTGCAATGGATCGAGGGGGGGGGGGGGGGGGAGAATTGTCGGAATTAATCAGTGAAATGAATCAGTGTAATGATTCAGTGGAATGAATCAGAGAAGGCACGAGAGGAATTAATCGGGAGAACGATTCGGTAGAATGAATCGGGGGAATGAATCAGTGGAACGAATCAGGGAATGAATCAGTGGAACGAATCAGTTGAATTAATCAGAGAAGCAACCAGTTGAATTAATCGGGAGGACGATTCAGTGTTACGAATCGGTGGAATTATTCAGTGGAATGACTCGGGGAATGAACCAGTGGAATGAATCGGGGGGAACGAATCATGGGAACGAAGGGCAGGGCTGGCCCGCGTGGCTCACCGATGAAGCTGTTCCAGGCTGATTCAGTGGAATGACTCGGGGATTGAACAAGTGGAATGAAACGAGGGGGGGACGATTCAGTGGAATGAATCGGGGGGAGCGAATCGTGGGAACGAAGGACTGGGCGGGCGGGCGGGGCTCACCGATGAAGCTGTTCCAGGCTGATTCAGTGGAATGACTCGGGGAATGAACCAGTGGAATGAATCGGGGGGAGCGAATCGTGGGAACGAAGAGCTGGGCGGGCGTGCGGGGCTCACCGATGAAGCTGTTCCAGGCTGCGTCCATGTCTGCGGTGTGCGCCAGGCAGCCCTTGAGCACGTTCAGGCAGTACGCGTGGCAGGGCGGCAGCGCCGCGGCGGTGGCGCCGCCGCAGTACGGGCAGTACCACATGCGCACCAGGGAGCGCACGCACTCGGCCGACAGGGGAGCCTGCACGGCGGGGAGAGACGCGGGGGGGGGGGGGAGACGTGGGGAGACGTGGGGAGGAGATGTAGGGGGGGGAGGAGACGTGGAGGGGGGAGACGTGGGGAGGAGTGGGGAGGGGGGGAGACGTGGGGGGGGGGGGAGACGTGGGGGGGGGAGACGTGGGGGGGGGGGAGACGTGGGGGGGGATGTAGGGGGGGGAGGAGACGTGGAGGGGGGGAGACGTGGGGGGGGGGGAAACGTAGGGGGGGGAGAGACGTGGGGAGACGTGGGGAGGAGTGGGGAGGGGGGGAGACGTGGGGGGAGACGTGAGGGGGGGAGAGACGTGGGGAGATGTGGAGGGGGGAGACGTGGGGGGGAGTGGAGGAAGAGACGTGGGGGGGGGAGTGGGGGGGAGTGGGGGGGAGTGGGGGGAGACGTGGGGGGGGGAGTGGGGGGGAGTGGGGGGGGAGTGGGGGGAGACGTGGGGGGGGAGTGGGGGGGAGTGGGGGGGGAGTGGGGGGAGACGTGGGGGGGGGGGAGTGGGGGAAGAGACGTGGGGGGGGGAGTGGGGGGGAGTGGGGGGGGAGTGGGGGGAGACGTGGGGGGGGAGTGGGGGAAGAGACGTGGGGGGGGGAGTGGGGGGGGAGTGGGGGGGAGTGGGGGGAGACGTGGGGGGGGAGTGGGGGAAGAGATGGGGGGGGGGAGGAGTGGGGGGGAGTGGGGGAGACGTGGGGAGGAGACAATCCAGCCTGCAGGTTAAACCCAGGATGGATTGTAGGCAGGCCAGCCTAAATGTTTCTAACCAGCGAAGATGTTCGATTATAGGGGTCCATGTTTCACAAGTGTAATAAAGGTCGCGGAGGCAACTTCTGGAATCAGGTTTGTTTATTAGCTTTCTTCCACAGCTCTCATCGTACGGACTCCTCTGCAATCTGACTCCTTCATACTGTTGACAGACACAGCGTGAGAGGGAGGGGTAGAGAGAGAGATGACTGTCGCTCCCGCGTGGCTTCTCCCTTCGTTCGTTCCAGTTCCGACCACGTGTTTCCCGTCTCCACCCCTTTTAATCCCTGGGTCACGTGGTGCCTCTCAGCCAGTCCTGGGTAACCTCCCTGGAATCTTCCAGATCCCATCCTACGGTCCCAGGACCACGCCCCTAACTCGTCTCCCCATTGGCTGTGGCTGAAGCCAGCAGAGCCAATCATCTCCTTCCAGGTGTAACCTTCGCATTAGTCAGGGCCACGCCCCTACACCTCTCCCCATTGGTTATGGGCCTGGACCGGTAGAGTCAATCATTATCAATCAGGTGTGACCACTTAATCACCCAGGTGCACCCTCACATTACACAAGCGTAGAGAAGAGAGGGCATGATTGTTGCTAAAAAAGACCTGAAGCTTCGTGCCGAGTGACAGACCAGGTAGCTTGCACACAGCGTTACGCAACTGATGAAGAGATAATGCCGCTCGACTGATTCGGAGTGAGACCTCTGTCAAACCATAGCTGCTCATGAGCACACTGCCCAGGTATGGGTAGCTCTCCACTCTCTCCACAACTGCCCCATCACCAATTGGGAGTTGTGGTGGGTGGAGTGTCCGAAGGTACAAAATACCCAGGCAGGTGCTTAGTTTTGGTGGGGCTGATGGTAAGGCCCCACCTCTTAGTGGCACGCTCCAGTTTCAGCAGCAGCGCCTCCAACTCCTCCTCTGAGTGAGCAGCAATTACCAGATCATCGGCATACATAACGTGGTTGACCAAGAGGGAGCCATCCCTTGACCGCACCCGGCATCGACCAGCCTCCCATTGTATCTGTATCAGATGGAAATTCCTCCGGTACAGTTACTGAAGGCATCACGAACTACGTGGTCGAAATAGATGTTAAATAATGTGGGAGCCATAGGACATCCCTGTCGCACCCCAAGGTGTACATGGAATGGCTCTGACTCCCGGCCATGTAGTTTTACTGGGGCCCGCTCACCATCATGAAGGTCCTTAATGATCGTGAGCAACCGATGAAAAGACACACAGACACACACACACAGAAAAACACACACACACGGACACACACAACAACAACAACAACCGCCATTTGCCACTAAGTGGTGGTGACATCACCACGACGCTTGTGCCAGGCCATGTGCACCTTGACACACAAAGATAAAGATCCCCCGTATAGCCTTAACAGACTGTAGGGGCAAGTGCTGTTAGCGAGTAGCACCTATGAAGGCCGCAACGGTACACGAGGGGGTGGGTGGCCAGCACCACGCCCGACCGCCTTTGTCTCCCTAGTGGCGATGTTTACACACCTCACCAGGTACTCATTTGAGGCTGAGTCGACCTACACACACGAACACACACAGACACACACACGCATGGACACACCCGCACGAACGCACACACACACACGGATACACACACGGACACACGGACACACACACAGCCCCTGACCGTGCGCGTGGCGTTGGCGACTCCGGCCGCGAGCCGCAGGCCTCGCGTGAGCGAGCGTGTGGCCAGCGCCGCCCGGCCCAGCTGCGCCAGCAGCTTGCGGGGAGCGGCGCCGAAGGGGCGCAGGCTCTCGGCGAGCTTGACGGCGCACTCGAGGTCACCGTCCGAGAAGCGGTACTGGGGGTTGAGGAGCTGCAGCATTCGCTCGAGTAGCTGCGACCAGAACTCCGACATCACCTCGGCCAGGTCGACGGCCGCGGTGGCGCGGGACGACGACGATAAGAGCGACGATGGGGTCAACGAGTGGGACGATGATGAGGATGGTGGTGGTGGTGGTAACGGTGAGGGTGAGGATGGTGAAGATGGTGGTGGTGGTGATAAGAATGATGGTGGTGGTGGTAATGGTGAGGATGATGATGATAGTGATAAGAATGATGGTGGTGGTGGTAATGGTGAGGATGATGATGATAGTGATAAGAATGATGGTGGTAATGGGGAGGATGAGGATGGTGAAGATGATGATGATGGTGGTGGTGGTGGTAATGGTGAGGTTGATGAAGATGATGATGATGGTGGTGGTGAGGATGATGATGATAGTGATACGAATGATAATGGTGGTGGTGGTGGTGAGGATGATGAAGATGATGATAATGATGATGATGAAGGTGGTGGTGGTGATGATGATGATAATGATGCGGTTGAAGAAAATGATGACGAAGATGCTGACGGTGGTGATGGTGATGATGATAAGGAGATGAAAATCGGTGCTTGGATGCCTGAAACAGAACAACGTTGGAAAGAGAAACCTCTCAGTGCCGATTCTGCGTTGAGAACATCGACAGCAAGCAGTTGGGGGGAAGCACAACCATCGATAATAATAAGGCTGAGTCGACCTAGGGGAGGCCCAGGACCGGTTCAAATAATCGTCACCGGTGTTGCTGGCCGTGAGCGAGGATTGGTCCCGGGTCACTGGGTTCGTTTGCGCGGCGCGCTAACCTCAGCACCACCGCTCCACGACTCGCTTCACTCACGTGCATCCTGGACCGCACCGCGTGACGACGGTTGCCGTGGCGACGGCTCACGTGACGACGGCTCACGTGACGACGGGTCACGTGACGACGGCTCACGTGGCGATGGCTCAGGTGGCGACGTCTCCCGTGACGACGGCTCACGTAACAACGGCTCACGTGGCGACGGATCCCGTGACAACATCTCCCGTGACGACGGCTCACGTGGCGACGGATCCCGTGACAACATCTCCCGTGCAGACGGCTCACATGACGACGGCTCCCGTGGCGACGGCTCCTGTGGCGACGGCTCACGTGACAACGTCTCACGTGACGACGGCTCCCATGGCGACGGCTGCAGGGCGACCGTCGCCCTCGCGCCGCTCGACGCCTCGTCAGCTCTCCCCTCTCCCAGCGTCCTCTCCGCCTCCGACCCACGTGGGTGGATGTTGGGGGCCTCCCTCCTCTCCCTCCTCCTCGTCCTCCCGTCCGGCTCCGGCCGTCCACCGTCGTCCGCCCGCCGCGACCCCTCCTCCCCGCGTCGCCCCCCCGCCCCGGGAGATCTCCCTCCCCGGTCGGCGAGCGGCACCGCGTCCCTCTGCCCACGACCGCCGGTGCCGGCGTCGGCGTCCGATCCGCGCCGAGACCGCCGGGACTCGGGGGGGGGCCCGCCGGGGGGCCGGCGGTGGGGGGGCGGTGGTGGGGGGGCGGGTGGGGGAGGGGCGCTCACGCCGGCGTACAGCCGCAGCTGGGAGAAGAGCCACAGGAAGAGGTCCGCGTTCTGGGTGTAGATGACGCCGTAGGAGCGCACGAACATGTCGTGCAGCGAGGCCTCGGCACGCCGCAGCAAGTCGCCCATGTAGTCTAGCGGAGGGGGGGGGGTGAAGGAAGGGGTAGGACAGAAGAGAGAGATGATGATAGACAGTCGTGCTAATCTGTGAATGGTTTTGAAAAATGTTCGCGCAGCAGGAGAGGGAGCACGAATGGCATACGGACACAGAGATCCATAGACTCACACAGAGACCCATAGACGACGCAGAGACCCATAGACTCACACAGAAACCCATAGACTTACACAGAGACCCATAGACTCACGCAGAGACCCACAGACTCACGCAGAGACCGATAGACTCACACAGAGACCCACAGACTCACGCAGAGACCCACAGACTCACACATAGACCCATAGACTCACACAAAGACCCATAGACTTACACAGAGACCCATAGACTCACGCAGAGACCCACAGACTCACGCAGAGACCCATAGACTCACACAGAGACCCATAGACTCACACAGAGACCCATAGATGCACGCAGAGACCCATAGACTCACGCAGAGACCCATAGACTTACACAGAGATCCATAGACTCACATAGAGATGCATAGACTCACACAGAGACCCATAAACTCACACAGAGATCCATAGACTCACACAGAGATCCATAGACTCACACAGAGACCCATAGACTCACGCAGAGACCCACAGACTCACACAGAGACCCACAGACTCACACAGAGACCCACAGACTCACACAGAGACCCACAGACTCATGCAGATACGTATAGTTTAATGTCCTTTTCCCCGCACCTCCGTTTAGCGGGGTCGTCTACATCCAGTGGTACAAACTGAGATCAACAACAACAACAGCAGCAGCAGCGTGCCAAGTGGCCAACCGTGCCAAGTGACCAAACCGTGTCAAGTGTACAAACTGTGCCACGTGGCCAAACCGTGTCAAGTGTCCAAACCGTACCAAGTGGAAGTGGCCAAGTGACCAAACCGTGCCAAGTGACAAGCCGTGCCAAGTGTCCAAACCGTGCCAAGTGGAAGTGACCAAACCGTGCCAAGTGACCAAACCGTGCCAAGTGTCCAAACCGTGCCAAGTGACAAGCCGTGCCACGTGGCCAAATCGTGCCAAGTGGCCAAACCGTGCCAACTGTGCCAAGTGGCCAAACCGTGTCACGTGGCCAAACCGTGTCAAGTGACCAAACCGTGCCAAGTGACCAAACCTGTGCCAAGTGTCCAAACCGTGCCAAGTGTCCAAACCGTGCCAAGTGTCCAAACCGTGTCAAGTGGCCAAACCGTGCCAAGTAGCCAAACCGTGCCAAGTAGCCAAACCGTGCCAAGTGACCAAACCGTGCCAAGTGGAAGTGGCCAAGTGACCAAACCGTGCCAAGTGACAAACCGTGCCAAGTGTCCAAACCGTGCCAAGTGGAAGTGGCCAAGTGACCAAACCATGCCAAGTGACCAAACCGTGCCAAGTGGCCAAACTGTGCCAAGTGACCAAACCGTGCCAAGTGACCAAACCGTGCCAAGTGGAAGTGGCCAAGTGACAAACCGTGCCACGTGGCCAAACCGTGCCAAGTGGCCAAACCGTGCCAACTGTGCCAAGTGGCCAAACCGTGCCACGTAGCCACGTGTGCCGCGCGCCGCAAGCCGCGTTACCGTCCATCTTGCTGTACTGCAACTGGAACGCGGCCAGCGGGAAGTGGCTGCTCTCCTCCACGAGGCGCTGCAGGTCCAGCCGGGCGGCCGGGCCCAGCTGGGCCTCCACGGAGCGCGAGCAGCAGGAGAGGGCACGCGGGCGGCACACCGACAAGTGATGGCCTTGTGGGGGTGGGGCAGGGTGGGTGGGTGGTGGGTGGGGTGAGAAGAAGAAGAACAACAACAACAGCGGGGTCTACTTCCTGTCATGCCCCCCCCCCTTCCCCCCCCCTCTCTCCCCCCCTTACTGCTACTATATAACCTCGTGCCACGGCAGACCTCTTGCCAGAGGTCGCAACCGGGTACCCGATACCCGTACACTACCCGATACCCGTACCCTACCCGATACCCGATACCCGTACCCTACCCGATACCCGATACCCGTAGCCTACCAGATACCCGTACCCTACCAGATACCCGATACCCGTACCCTACCCGATACCCGTACCCTACCCGATACCCGTACCCTACCCGATACCCATACCCTACCCAATACCCGATACCCGTACCCTACCCGATACCCGTACCCTACCCGATACCCGTACCCTACCCGATACCCGTACCCTACCCGATACCCGTACCCTACCCGATACCCGTACCCTACCCAATACCCGATACCCGTACCCTACCCGATACCCGTACCCTACCCGATACCCGTACCCTACCCAATACCCGATACCCGTACCCTACCCGATACCTGTACCCTACCCGATGCCCGGCTACCCGTACCCGGCCGGGTACGGGTACCCGTTTGCGACCCTGGTGCGGCCGGGTACGGGTACATAAGGAATCAAAACCCGTTTGCGACCTCTGCCTCTCGCCTGCTTCAGCAGTTTGTTTCTTGCTGTGGTTGTCCCACCTGATGACGATTTGCTTGTGTTGCCATCGAAACGTCGTGATCTAGTGTTTTTCAACCCACGTGACTTTACCGAAAGAACCAAAGAGTGTGGATTCCTGCGGTCACGAAAGCTTCAAATGAAGATTGAAACAACAACAAAGTTCCCCCGCTCCCACCCCCCCCCCCCTGAGGTACCGATTGGGGTCTCCCTGGTGCGTATTTTTGAGGCTGAGTCGACCTGGAGGTATTCGCCTCTATTGCTTGGGAGGCAAGCGGGAATCGGACTCGGGCCGCCAGGTTCGTAGCACCGGCGCGCTGCCACACCACACACACACACACCACACACCCCACACGCACACACCACACACACACACTACACACACCCCACACACCACACACACACACCACACACACACACCCCACACACACACCCCCCACACACACACCCCACACACCCCACACACACACACACCCCACACACACACCCCACACACACACACACACCCCCACACACACACAAACCCCACACACACACGCCACACACACCCCACAAACACACACACACCCCACACACACACGCACACCCCATACACACCCCACACACACCCCACGCACACATCACCCCACCATACACACACCCCACACACATACACACCCCACACATACCCCACACACACACACACCCCACACACACATACCATACACACCACACACACACACACACACCCACACACACCCCCCCCACACACACACCCCACACACACACCCCACACACACACCCCACACACACACGCACACCCCCCCCCCCACACACACACCCCACACACACACCACACACACAGGCACCACACACACCCCACACACACACACCCCCACACACACACACCCCACACACACACACACCCCACACACACACCCCACACACACACCCCACACACACACCCCACACACACCCCACGCACACAGCACCCCACACACACACACCCACACACACACACACCCCACTACACACACCCCACACACACAGACACACCCCACTACACACACGCATAGACAGCCATCAATCAATCGACGGCAGTGCCGTGTGCAGACGCGAGGCCTTGCGTCACCCCCCCCCCGGCCCCCGCCCCCCGAGATCGATTCCCTCCCCTGGTCCCCGGGGGGTCGGGAGGACCCTCATCATCATCATCATCCTCCTCATCATCATCATCATCATCCTCCTCATCATCATCATCATCCTCATCATCATCATCCTCATCATCATCCTCATCATCATCATCCTCATCATCATCATCCTCATCATCATCATCCTCCTCATCATCATCATCCTAATCATCATCATCATCATCCTCCTCATCATCATCATCATCCTCCTCATCATCATCATCCTCATCATCATCATCATCATCCTCATCATCATCATCATCCTCATCATCATCATCCTCATCATCATCATCATCCTCATCATCATCATCATCCTCATCATCATCATCATCCTCCTCATCATCATCCTCCTCATCATCATCATCATCCTCATCCTCATCATCATCATCCTCCTCATCATCATCATCCTAATCATCATCATCATCCTCCTCATCATCATCATCATCATCCTCCTCATCATCATCCTCCTCCTCATCATCATCATCCTAATCATCATCATCATCATCCTCCTCATCATCATCATCCTCCTCATCATCATCATCATCCTCATCATCATCATCCTCCTCATCATCATCATCCTCCTCATCATCATCATCCTAATCATCATCATCATCAAGGCGGCGAGCGCCGAACAGATGGAGGAACTCAGAATTTGGCGCTGCCGTGAACTGAACTCGCTGCTTCCACGCTCCGAGTTAAAGCACAGGGGTGGAGTAGGGGGGGGGCTCTCTTGGCCGTGGGGGGCTGTTGACAAGCTGGGTCAAGGGGGGGTTGGGGGGGGCTAGGAATATATGACGGGGGAGAGTTCGCTGGTGACGGAGCACTCAGGGAGTCTGTCAATATCACTGGTCAACACACTTTTAATGGCATAAGGTATTCCAACGGTTTTAAGGTATCGATTTAAAGCTTTCGTGACTGCAGGGATTCATTTTCTTGGTTCTTTCGGTAAAGTCACGTAGAAGGGAAATAATAAAATAATAAAATTTTAAACATAATAAAATAATTCTCACGTTTCTTCACCTGAGGACGGCTGCTTGCGTTGTGGCCGAAACGTCGTGAGAATTATTTTATTATGTTTTATTTTATTATTTTATTACTTCCCTTCTACGTGACTTTACCGAAAGAACAAAGAAAATGGTTGTAATGTAATTTTGGGGTGCTGATTCCAAATCTGGCATCAGTTTTTGTCTATCACATCAGGTTGTTGAGATATCAAATATTGCATTTTCAATAAAAACTGCAGAAGAAAAATATTAAATGAATGTGGATATCGACATAAAATGATATTATAAACACACTATGGCTATTAGGGAGACAAAGGCGGCCGGACGTGGTGCTGACCACCCACCCCCTCGTGTGCCGTGCCGGCCTTCATAGGTGCTCGCTAACAGCACTTGCCCCTACAGTCTGTGAAGGCTATACGGGGGGATCTTTGTCTTTGCTTATGAGTTTGTGATTCCTACTCAGGGTCACCAACACCAGCGGTGATTATCTGGACCGGTCCTGGGCCTCCCCTAGGTCGACTCAGCATCAAATGAGGTACAGTGGTCCTTCGTATAACAATAGGTTGAACCCTTGCTAGCAATTCAACAGTTGTGTTAAAATGTTACGACACCCAACAGAAACCTTTTGCAAGGTATCGTGTCTGCATTAAGGGGCCGTCCATAAATGACGTCACGCGATTTTAGACGATTTTTCACCCCCCCCCCTCAGATATGACGTCACAAAGCTCTGTCCCCCCCCCCCAAAAAAAATAAAACGTGCTTCAAATCGCTTTAAACTATTGTCATTGTAGTGCGTATTTAATGTGGCGCTGCACTCTGATGTTGTAGGAGAAAACATTTATTACAAAGTCTATTTAATTAAGTAGAACGTGTTGTCTATATTTATTTAAAGTTGCGCATTTTGATGTGACGTCACATTTCTCAACCCCCCCCCCCCCCCTCGTCACACATCGTCACAAATGTCTGACCCCCCCCCCCCCAGGTGCGTGACGAACACATGCTCTGATAGTATATCGATTATCTTTGAAACCTTATTCTTATATTTTGCTACTGGCAGTGGTCCTTTGGTTTACCAGCCGTCCTCAGGTGAAGAACAGGTCTGTCGGAAAGACAGCGTCTGATGACGGCTGCTTGCGTTGTGGCCGAAACGTCGTGAGAATTGTATTATGTTTTATTTTTATCATTTAATTATTTCCCTTCCACGTGACTTTACCGAAAGAACCAACAAGATGTTTGGCTGCTGTTAGCGAGCACCTATTAAGGCCGGTACGGCTATAGAGCGGCAGATTTTGGCCATCACCACGCCCGGCAACATTTCGTCTCCCTGGTGGCGATGAGTTTTTTGCGTATTCTTAGGTTTTTTCGGTAAAAAAATAAAAAATTAATAAAAGTAAAATAAAAATAAAATAAAAATCACGACGTTTCGGAGGCAACACAAGCTTCCGTCTTCAGGTGTAACCGTCACAGCCACGACAGCCGTATCAAGTGTTTGTTGTTGTTACGCACCACACCAGCCACTCATTTACGGCCGAGTCGACCTAAGCGAGGCCCACGGCCGGTTCAGACAACCGCCGCTGCCTGTTGGCGGCCCGCGAGCCGGAGAATCGAACTCGGGTCGGGGGGCGGTGACCTGGCAGAAGGAAGGGAGCGATGGCGGTTGCACCAGCGTCCAGGGTCTCAACTCGACCTCGAATCGCTACAAACCCTTGGGGGCAACTTCAGATGACGTGGGGACCTGGTCTGACCCTCGATTCCTCCAGGATAGACAAAGCAACGCGAAGCTGATTCTGACTCAATTTCTGTAAAAGCTCGCCTCTCTCCCAAGGCGCCCTCCCCCCCTCCCCACCAACACTCCCCCGTTATTTACAACCTACTTTTGTTTATTGACTATTTGCGGAATCTCGGGGTGTTCTAAGCGGCGGAGCCTCGTGCCAGGGTCGCCGCTACCTTCGCCGGGACTCTGGGCGAGGTTATTGGAGTCTCGGCCGGAGTTGGCATCGATCGCCCCCTCGCCGCGGTGAGCGTTGAGAGCGATTGAAGAGGATGAGTAGGATGAGTAAGATGAGGAGGATGAGGATGATGAGGAGGATGAATAGGTTTTTTCGGTAGTTACGTAGGTAAAACAATTAACCCGTAAAAACAAAGTTTTTCACTATAAATCCTTTATATGCGTGGCGGCTAGAGTCCTCTCGTCCTCTGGCTTGAGATGGCTGCCACCTATGGGTCAGATGATTGCCTGCCACCATTAAGCAATTGGTAATTAAATATTTACATTTTTTTCCCTAAAAAGTGTAAAGTTATGGAAAAAAATTTTGACAAAAATAAATTGTCACGCACAACGAGTCTGTGTGCAAAATGTCAGCTCGATTGGATCACGGGAAGTGGGTTAAAAAACGACCGAAAGATTTGCACGGTCGTAAGCGCGCAAGCAAGCAAGTGAACTTAATATAAAGGATTAAAAAATACGGGTTTCTTGGGATTTCTCTCACTTGATGCAGCTATCGTGCTGTGACTGTTCCACCTGAAGACGGAAGCTCGTGTTGCCTCTGAAACGTCGTGATTTGTATTTTATTTTTTATTTTTCTTTTATTAAATTTTTTTTTACCCACGTGACTTTACCGAAAAAAACCTATGAATATGAATCCTTGCAGTCACGAAAGCTTCAAATCTAGAGGATGAGTAGCATGAGAAGGATGAGGAGGATGAGGAGGACTGTGCATGGACTGTGGCACACCTGGCACCGGCCTGGCAAGCACTTCAACGGCCCCCGCTGCGCCCTGGTTGGTCACCCTGCGAAACGTCGGACACGAGGGCTGGTCCGCTCCCAGGCAGGAACCGGCGGAGATCAGCGCCCAGAGCAGCCCCACGACGCAGTGGCGCGTCATCTCGCACGTGACGAGTGTCCGGGCGGCTGTCGGAGTTGATAACATCGGGAGGGGGGGGGAGAGTGGGGGGGGGGGGGCAGGAGGGGTGGGAGGAGGGGGGGGGGTGAAGAGTGGGGGGGGAGGAGGGGGGGGTGGGAGGAGGGTGGGGGTGAAGAGTGGGGGTGGGAGGAGGGGGGGAGGAGGGGGGGTGAAGAGTGGGGGGGGGGGCAGGAGGGGGGGAGGAGGGGGGGGGGTGAAGAGTGGGGGGGGGGCAGAAGGGGTGGGGGGGGAGGAGGGGGGGAGGAGGGAGGGGTGAAGAGTGGGGGGGGGAGGAGGGGGGGTGAAGAGTGGGGGGGGGAGGAGGGGGGGAGGAGGGGGGGGTGAAGAGTGGGGGGGGAGGGGGCAGGAGGGGCGGGAGGAGGGGGGGGTGAAGAGTGGGGGGGGGGGGGCGAGGGAGGTGAAGAGGTCACGGCTCAGAGACATTGTTGCTGGACATCCGCGCTGAAGAGCTTCACAGCTCATCGGATTCCTCCAGTAATACATATTCGGATTGTGCATTCGCGCACTGACGGGGAGGTCACGGGGTCAACGCCGTTGCGTTGGGATCGAGGCCACGGGCTGAGAACGGCAACAGCCGTCAGGGTCAATCCACTGCTGGATGAGGGCCTGGTCACGTGGGAGGGGGGGGTACCCGTCTCGCAAAGACAAAGGTGACCCGTGTAGCCCACGCAGGCTCCGTGCGGCAAGTGCTGTTAGCGAGCACCCATTAAGGCCGTGACGTCGCAAGCATTATAAGGCGGTGGGGTGGTTAGCACCACGCCCGGCCGCCTTTGTCTCCCTCGTGGCGACGTTTACACACACACACTTCAATCTAACACAATGCATCTCACACATACACACACACTCATCACACACACACTCATCACACACATTCATCACACTCATCACACTCATTACATACACATATACACACACACACTCACTCATCACACTCATCACACACACACTCACTCATCACACACACACTCATCACACACACACTCATCACACACACACTCATCACACACACTCATCACACACACACACATCACACACACACACTCACTCATCACACACACACTCATCACACACACACATCACACACTCATCATACACACACACTCATCACACTCATCACACACACTCATCACACACATCACACATACATTCATCACTCACACACACACAATCACACACTCTTCACACACACACTCATCACATACACTCTTCACACACACACTCATCACACACACTCACTCATCACACACACACTCATCACACACACACACTCATCACACACATCACACATACATTCATCACTCACACACACACACTCATCACACACTCATCACACACACACTCATCACACACACACTCATCACACACACATCACATACACACACACATCACACTCATCACACACACACTCCCATCTCTTACAATACATCTCACACACACTCACCACACACACAACCCTACTCTCTCACACATTTCATCATACATACGTCTCTCTTACACACAAATCAACACACATACACGCCATCTCAAATACACGTGGATAATTAAAAAACATAGACTCTCACACACACACATGCAGTGCCCTACACACAATACACATTAAAATACCCATTAAAATATTGACTCAAGTGTTGTTAGCGAGCACCTATTAAGGCACACGAAGGGCTGGGGTGTGGCTAGCACCGTGCGCGGCCGCCTTTGTCTCCCCAGTGCTAATATCCACACACCAAAGGCGTCTACTTATAAGGCTGCGTCGACCTACAGACAAAGCCTTCACAGACTGTAGGGGCAAGTGCTGCTATCGAGTAGGGGGTGGGTGGCCAGCACCACGCCTATTCGCCTTTGTCTCGCGCGTGAGCGATGATTACACACCACACCGGCTGAGTTGACCGACACACACACAGACACAGACAAAGATCCCCCGTATAGCCTTAACAGACTGTAGGGGCAAGTGCTGTTAGCGAGCACCTATGAAGGCCGGAACGGTATACGAGGGGGTGGGTGGCCAGCACCGCGCCCGACCGCCTTTGTCTCCCCAGTGGAGATGTTTAAACACCGCACCAGGCACTCATTTAAGGCTGAGTCGACCTAGGGGAGGCCCAGGACCGGTTCAGATAATCGTCACTGGTGTTGGCCGTGAGCGGGAATCGAACCCGGGTCGCCAGGTTCGTAGCGCAGCGCGCTAACCGCTGCACTATCGACACACACACACAGACACACACACACAGACACACACACAGACACACACAGACACACACACAGACACACAGACACACACACAGACACACACACATACACACACATACACAGACACACACATAGACACACACACACAGACACACAGACACACACACAGACACACACACAGACACACACACAGACACACACACACAGACACACACACAGACACACACACAGACACACACAGACACCCACTCACATCCCAATGGAGGTACTGAATTCAACAAAAACGCCCAAGACTCATATAGCCAGAGACTAAGGCACATTAAACAAAAACTGTACAAAAAATATTTTGTTTGTAACATGCATATACACACACAGCGCTTACTGGTAATACATAACGCGTTATAATTTTTTGGTGTTAATTCAATACAATCTGCATTGACCAGAGCGGCGAAGTATGGCCAGCCAACACATCACACACACACTCAGTTTCAGTTCAATCCATCCAGCAGTGGATTTTCCAACCGGCCCATCACGACGATTATTGATGATCCAGACGAAATTTGCTCGTTAGACATCAAACATCATTCTCGGGACGCGATGTAACGGGTTAATATGATACAGTGGAGGAACCCTGCTCCAAGATTCAACGGAGACTTGCACAGAAATCATCACCGTGCTACTCAAAATACGAAGCGTCAATGATGTTACCAGTTGCAGCAAACACACACACAAATATAAATATCTAAATCTATCTAGAGACACCTACGCACACCTCTGCCGAATTGTCATCGTATCGTCCACAGCAGTCGAGATTATTAAAGTCAATCCGCACAGAGCGTGTTCAATGATTTCAAATTCAAGGCTATCTTCACCACCACCACCACCACCCCCCGCTTCTCTGTATTTACGTTTGTAACGATGCGAACGCGTCGTGACATTAGAAAGGTCTAGGTAAAAAATAAAATTTAAATTAATAAAATTAATTTAAAAAAAGTGATTTTTGGGATTTTTTTAATTTTTATTATTTCTAATTTCATTTTTTAGCTACGTGACTTTACCGAAAAAACCCAAGAGTATTACAAAGGTCACCGCGCGCGGGATTGCGATGACGTTTGCACGCCTTCCACAACACGCGGAGTGCACCGCCAAAGGGACGAGCATCTTAGATGATCGTAGCCATCCGGCTTTCGGCCGATGGAGAGCGCAAATTCGCCGACCTGACAGGAACGTCTTAGTCCGGCTTCGTCGGCGTCTCGTTCGAAGAAGACAAAGGCGGTCGGCTGCGTCTCGTTCGAAGAAGACAAAGGCGGACCGAGTGCTTACCACGTCCTGATCGTAGCCGGAGCGCGCACAAAGAGGTGGAGCCGATGGGATCTTGGATGAGCGCTTGGTGCGTGCAGACTTGTGTGATTGTGCAGACGTGTGTGTGTACACGTGTGTGTGTACATGTGTGTGTGTACACGTGTGTGTGTGTGTGTGTACACGTGTGTGTGTTGACGGTGTGCGTTAGGCGTGTGTGGAGCGAGCCATGAATGTGTGCGGGGGGTGTCTACGTCTGGGATCTGTGCCTTACGATGCAGCCCGTCACAGCTCACACGCGCTCATCAATACGCGCGCGCGTGTGTGTGTACACGCGTGTGTGTGTGTGCGTGTGTGTACACGTTTGTGTGTGTGTACACGCGTGCGTGTGTGTACACGTGTGTGTGTACGTGGTGGGGAGCGGTAGTGTAGCGGTTAACGCGTTGCGCTATGAACCTGGCGACCCGGGTTCGATTCCCACTCACGGCTAACACCAGTGACGATTATCTGAACCGGTCCTGGGCCTCCCTTAGGTCGACTCAGCCTTAAACGAGTACCTGGTGCGGTGTGTAAACATCGCCACTGGGGAGACAAAGGCGGTCGGGCGTGGTGCTGGCCACCCACCCCATCGTGTACCGTTCCGGCCTTCATAGGTGCTTGCTAACAGCACTTGCCCCTACAGTCTGTTAAGGCTATTCGGGGGACCTTTGTCTTTGTACACGTGTGTGTGTACACGCGCGTCTGGGGTTCGTGTGGGTAGCGCGCGTGGGGAGCGGTGGCGCAGCAGTTAGCGCGCTGCGCTAGGGAGCCCCCCCCCCCCGCCTACGAAGCCGAGTTCGATCCCCGCTCACGACCACCCACCACCAGTGCCGATTATCCTGAACCGGTCCTGGGTCTCCCCTAGGTCAACTCAGCCTCAAACGAGTAACCCGGTGCGGTGTTTAAATAGTGATTGAGCACCCCCCCCCCCCCCCCCCCCCCCCAGCATCCGGCCTGGCCCTGAGCCTCTTATCTTGACACGGAGAATTTCGACGTTTCGCGGCCACCCCATTGAACTCTCGCGCCTCGCCCCCCCCCACGATGTCCTCAGTTCTCTACCCCCCACCCCCACCTTGTGTGCAGATATATGCAAGCATACACACCCTACATCCTATAGAGTCAGTAGTACTGGCTCTATTGTAGTATCTACTAACTATATTGTAGTATCTACTGACTATTGTAGTATCTACTGACTATACTAGTATCTACTGACTCTACAGTAGTATCTACTGACTATACTAGTATCTACTGACTCTACAGTAGTATCTACTGACTCTATAGTGTCTACTAACTCTGCAGTAGTATCTACTGACTCTATTGTAGTATCTACTGACTCTACAGTAGTATCTACTGACTCTACAATAGTATCTACTGCCTTTATTGTAGTATCTACTGACTCTACAGTAGTATCTAGTATCTACTGACTCTACAGTAGTATCTACTGACTCTATTGTAGTATCTACTGACTCTACAGTAGTATCTACTGACACTACAGTAGTATCGACTGACTCTATTGTAGTATCTACTGACTCTACAGTAGTATCTACTGACTCTATTGTAGTATCTACTGACTCTATTGTAGTATCTACTGACACTACAGTAGTATCTACTGACACTACAGTAGTATCTACTGACTCTACAGCAGTGTCTACTGACTCTACAGCAGTATCTACTGACTCTACAGTAGTGTCTACTGACTCTACAGTAGTATCTACTGACTCTACAGTAGTATCGACTGACTCTACAGTAGTATCTACCAGAGGTGGGACAAAGTCATTGTTATGCAAGTCCAAGTCGAGTCTGAAGTCATCAAATTCATGACTCGAGTCTGACTCGAGTCCAAGTCACATGACTCGAGTCCACACCTCAGAGGTGGGACAAAGTCATTGTTATGCAAGTCCAAGTCGAGTCTGAAGTCATCAAATTCATGACTCGAGTCTGACTCGAGTCCAAGTCACATGACTCGAGTCCACACCTCTGGTATCTACTGACTCTACAGTAGTATCTACTGACTATTGTTTGTGTTGTGATCTATATTGGGTCACTACGGCGTTTAGCGCCAGCTACTGATAGAAGCGTGGAACTGCGAGTCTAAGAACCTCTCTCTGGCACCAAAGTATGCTAAGGCGTGAAAGGGGGCCCTAAGGAACATGGTTCTGGTGACTGTCAGAGAGAGAGGGGGCAGTTGAGGACGTGCCAGTCTGGTTGAACCCCAAGAGGGCACGTGACCAGGACAGGGTAAGAATGTGGCCCAAAGGTGGCGAGAGGGACACGTGGTGCATGGCCCAGAACCTTCTTGGAGGATCCAGAAGGGGCCACGCTCAGGGGCATAAAAGGAAGGTCCCGAGAGCTGATCGGGCTGTCTTCTGGAATGGAACCTCGCCTTGCTACGGTCTTCACGCTCGGCATTGTGGGTCAGGGGCAGTGGGTTAACTGACCCGGTTATATAGTAACCCCGTGGTGGTTACCACTATGTAGTTATCCCGTTGTACGTTTATATAGTTACCCCGTTTTGGTGAGAGAATAAACTTGTTGCCTCCTAAGTCAAGTGTGCGTCTCAAATGAAACCACTACATATGTCGAGGTAGGTATAAATGCCTAAAAATTTAAATAAAAACGGGAGGGTCGACAAATTTTGGAAACCTGTTTCGATCAACTTTTTACCCAGAAATAAAATATTTAATTGCCTCGGCCAGTTAGCATTATTTGGTAGCCTGGGGTACCGCCATAAGGATCATCTGTGATTGATCACCCTGTCGCTGGCCGCCTTTGGGGAGGGTGTATAGTGTGAAAGGCCGAAACACCCTAGGAACCAAAGGTTCACTACTGACGATGCGCTCCCCAAATTTCACCAGGCTCACTGTTCATGAACTCTTGGAAGTGCTTGCACAAAGGATAGTAACATCTCATCCTGTGTTCTTTGGAATCTGTGAAACAGGAACTTTATAGCTCATCGGATTCCTCCAGTATAAATATTAAGATTCTGATATATTTTAAAATCATAATTGACAGCTTATCCTCAGTCCAGTGCTCGTTGAAAGTGTCGCCATGCTGTTGGTCACGGGGGGTTTGTTTGACGATACTTCACCATTCTGGCGAATTGCCCGATGATGCTGGATGCAATTACCAGCGAAACGTCGTACTCAAATTGTAAATGTTGTGGCTTCAACACACCGGTGGGCTAAAGTAGTGAACTATTTGTCTTTTGTCAACGTGACACTTTTTTACTGATTGGCCGTGTCGGGTGGTGGAGGGTTACGACACATTTATAAATATCGCGATCTAAACCCAAAAACGTTGATTATGAATAACATTGGTCGCGAAAGCCTACGTGTTAAATTCACCACGGCTGTTCATTGCAGGTTGATGAATGGAGAGGCCCAAGCATGGCTCTGACATCAGGTCGCCACTGATGTTAGCCGTGGCCGGGAATCGAACTCAGGTGGCCGGGTTCACTGTGTTTGTATGTGCGTTGAACTTCTTTCGCGCCGTACGTAGCCAACCGCGCTAACCGGAGGTGCGGGGGAAGGACAACAAACTAAACACAAAAAGCAGCTCTAAAGAAATTAGTTTTTAATCTGGACGATTTAAAAGCGCATAGCTCCCAGCGGCTTTCTAATATCGGAAGAGCGTTCCAGACGGCCGCAGAAGCGCATCCGAAAGTGGCACGGGTGAAGCGCCGCTCAGTGTGTCACCGATGCATATGAATCCACGTACACAATTCAACACTTTCCCAAATGGAATTTTAATCAAGTGTAATGTTAACCGATGTGTACACTTCCACAAATACACGAATCACTTGAGTTAACGCAAGACTTCTGAAATTTCATCACCATTGTATGCAGCACGCGTGTCTGTTAGTAAGAAGAGGCGAATCTGTAAAAGAAGATAAATGATTGTAAATTGGGCGCCGCGATGGTGAGATGTTAACTACCTCGCCTGGTACGCAGGAGGTCGTGGGTTCAATCCCGACCCTGACGCCTGCTGCAGTATATTTGGAGTTTGCGTGTCTCTCTCATCATCATCATCACGGTGGCGAGGAGATGTTAACTACCTCGCCTGGTACGCAGGAGGTCGTGGGTTCGATCCCGACCCTGACGCCTGCTGCTGTATATTTGGAGTCTGTGTCTCTCTCATCATCATCATCACGGTGGCTAGGAGATGTTAACTACCTCGCCTGGTATACAGGTGGTCGTGGGTTCGATCCCGACCCTGACGCCTGTTGCTGTATATTTGGAGTTTTCGTATCTCTCTCATCATCATCACGGTGGCTAGGAGATGTTAACTACCTCGCCTGGTCTACAGAAGGTCGTGAGTTCGATCCCGACCCCTGAATATTTGGAGTTAGCTTGTTCTTCCCGTGGTTGCGTGGATTTTTATTCGGGTCCTCCGGCTTTTCCCTCCACATTACCACGTGATGAGCCACTTTGTTGAGCGATAATTTGCGGCCAGGTCGCTTCTGACAAAGAGCTACATAGCTCGGTGGGCCTTACCGGGTAAAATAAAACTAGTTTATAGTTCAGTTTAAATTGCACATCACATGTCTAAACGAATACACACACACACACTCACCGTCCGTATCGCCTACGCGAACGAAGATGGAACAAAGCAGAGAAGTTACGCAAACAACGGAGAGATGCACCCTTTTGAATATTACGCCGAGAGCCGGCAAAACGAGGGACATACGGAAGCGGGGAACAATCGATAATTCGAAAACTCCAGTTGACTGCGAAGAAAAGTACATGGGCCTGGGCTGGACACGATGCATGGAGGAACGGTGATGCTCTTGTCCTTCCACCCGAGACTCACACAGAGACCTATAGACTCACACAGACACCCGTAGACTCACACAGAGACACATAGACTCACATAGAGACACATAGACTCACATAGAGACACATAGACTCACATAGAGACCCGTAGACTCACACAGAGACCCATAGACTCACACAGAGACCCATAGACTCACACAGAGACCCATAGACTCACACAGAGACACATAGACTCACATAGAGACCCGTAGACTCACACAGAGATCCGTAGACTCACACAGAGACCCATAGACTCACACAGAGACACATAGACTCACACAGAGACACATAGACTCACACAGACACCCGTAGACTCACACAGAGACACATAGACTCACACAGAGACACATAGGACTCACACAGAGACCCATAGGCTCACACAGAGACCCACAGACTCACACAGAGATCCACTCACACATAGACCCATAGACTCACACAGACACCCGTAGACTTACACAGAGACCCATAGACTCACACATAGATCCAGACTCACACAGAGATCCATAGACTCACACAGAGACCCATAGACTCACACAGAGACACAGACTCACACAGAGACCCACACTCACACAGACATCCAGTCACACATAGACCCATAGACTCACACAGAGACCCATAGACTCACACAGAGACCCATAGACTTACACAGAGACCCATAGACTCATACAGAGACCCATAGACTCACACAGAGACCCATAGACTAACACAGAGGCCCATAGACTAACACAGAGGCCCATAGACTAACACAGAGACCCATAGACTCACACAGAGATCCAGGCTCAAACAGAGACCCTTAGACTCACAGACACCCGTAGACTCACACAGAGAACATAGACTCACACAGAGATCCACAGACTCACACATAGACCCATAGACTCATACAGAGACCTATAGACAAATCTCCACCGATCGCCAATCCCCGCTTCAAGAAATCTGGGCCGCAGTTTTGCTTGTACTGAACCAACGCTCACTAAAATTGCGCCCTCCCAGTAGACTGTGCGGCTAGCTGATGGGATGCGTCAAAAGTAACGTCATCTTGTTCCCGTGGAAGGACATGTACGTGAGCGAGTGAGGCGCGTTGTCAGCTTATTTGCAATCTTGCCTCCTGTGCTGGAGTACAGGCTCGGTTCACCAAGCCCCTTGCGTTGGTCTGTTCCCGTGTTCTACGTTGGGGAGCGGTGGCGCAGCGGTTAGTAGCCGGCTGCGCTGCGAGCCCGGTGACACGAGTTCGATTTCCGCTCACGGCCATCAACACCAGTGCCGATTATCTGAACTAAGCCGGTCCCATGAGCATCTGTTTGTCCAAACTCTTTGGTTATTTCGGTGAAGTCACGTAGGTAGAAAATAATATAAATTAAATCACGACGTTTCGATTGCAACGCAAGCAAACATCAACCACAGCAAGAATTTTTTTTCTGAAGTCTAGATTATCTTCTTCTTGGTTCTTTCGGTAAAGTCACGTAGAATGGAAATAATAAAATAATAAAAATGATACATAATAACATAAAATAGTGAGAATTGTATTTTATTATGTTTTATTTTTATTACTTTATTATTTCCATTCTACGTGACTTTACCGAAAGAACCAAGAAGATGAATCCCTGCAGTCACGAAAGCTTTAAATCGAAATCTAGATCATCCGTTTGTCGTAATCATCGCAGCTGGGGAGACAAACGTGGCCGGGCGTGGTGCTGGCCACCCACCCACCCACCCTCTCGTGTGCCGTGCCGGCCCTCATAGGCGCTACTTGTGAACGGCACTTGTTAGAGCTGTACGGGGGACCTTTGCCCTGTCTTCGTCTGTGTTGGAAGTTTGTGTTCGGGGTGCCGAGTGGACCACGCGCCGGGAACGGCTGCGCTGGAACAGACGACACTATCGCCGAGTGCTGCTCTGACTTCCACGACTGCTCGGACGAGATGATTTTGCACTTCCTGCACAGACACACACACAAAGACAAAGATCGCCCGCATAGCCTTAGCAGACTGTTTGGGGCAAGTGCCGATGAAGGCCGGCAGGGCACACGAGGTGGTGGGTGACCAGCACGGCACCACGCCCAGACACAAACACACACACAAGGCCGCTGGTGGTCACGCCGCACGTGACCTCTGAACCTCCAGCACCGTGGCGGCAGCAGCGAGGGTTGGCGGACCAACCGCACGGATGTTGCGAAACTCCCTTCCCGTAGGCGTCGAGTGGCACGCTATGGCTCGCCAGGATAAGGCGGTAAAACAGCATGGAAAATAATGTGGACTAATGTCCATCTGTCCCTTCTGTACGGGATAGAGTGTTGCGCCCTCGCGTGCGTGTGTCTACTCCGGAGCGCTCCCAGTTTTCCTCCGACGTGCACCAACCACTCATTGGCTGTCTGAAAGCATCTCAACACGTAGAGGACCACAGAACTCGGCCGCAAGCCTGCGGGCCTGCGGCCTCGCTTCTCACCCTTGGTGCTCTCGGTCACTGAGCCGCGGCCGGGGCTCCTGCCCGCGGGGGTGCCCCCGTGCGGAGACGACGGCGACGGTGGCGGCAGCTCCAGTCCCAGTTGCACGGTCGTCACCACCGCAGCCCCTGGCGAGGCTCGCTGGGATCCAACGCCGCTGCTGGTGACGGCAGCGCAGAGGCAGGGAGAATCGCAGTCTTTTACTTCGACTGGAGGAGGAATCCGATGGGTTATAAAACGTCTCCAGTAGGGGCACAGGCAGAGGTCGCAAACGGGTACCCGATACCCGTACCCTACCCGATACCCGGCTACCCGTACCCGGCCGGGTACGGGTAGCCGTTTGCGACCCTGGTGCGGCCGGGTACGGGTAGACCGTGAGTCACTGGTGAGTCACCGTTTGTCACTCATTTCTCTTCTCACAATTCAAGTTCCTAGAATCAACCCACCCGCGCCTGCCACATGGCTTCATCCCAGAGGTCGCAATCGGGTACCCGATACCCGGCTACCCGTACCCGGCTGGGTACGGGTAACCGGGTAGCCGTTTGTGACCCTGGTCCGGCCGGGTACGGGTAGACCGTGAGTCACTGGTGAGTCACCGTTTGTCACTCATTTCCCAACGTCTTGTCTCTTCTCACAATTCAAGTTCCTAGAATCAACCCATGAGCGGGAATCGAACCTTGGTTGCCAGGTTCGTAGCGCAGCGTAGCGCTAACCACTACACCCACCCACCCCCTCGTTGTACCCTGCCGGCTTTCATAGGTGCTCAATAACAGCACTTGCCCCAACAGCCTGTTAAAGCTATACGGGGGGAATCTACGTCACGTATATATATGTAGATGATACGTAGAAAACATCGACATTACGGTACCGGACTGATGATGCAGAGGATCTTGCAGAAGATAGTCGTGAGCTCTGCCTGCTGCTGGAAGATGACGATGACGTGGAAGACGATGGTGATGGCAGAGTGATCCCAGCCTGCGGCGTTCCCACGAGAAAAAAAATACAAACAAAAAGACTACATCATGGAACCTCCTTTGCCAGTAGCAAAATATACTAATAGGGGTTTTCCCCTTTTTTCTGGCAACAAAACTGACACCTTTTGCAAGGAAATCATGCTTACATTAACCACAATACTAAGTCTAAGGGTCTCTGTGTGAGTCTATGGGTCTCTGTGAGTCTATGGGTCTATGTGTGGGTCTATGGGTCTCTGTGTGAGTCTATGGGTCTCTGTGTGAGTCTATGGGTCTCTGTGTGGGTCTATGGGCCTCTGTGTGAGTCTATGTGTCTCTGTGTGAGTCTATGTGTCTCTGTGTGAGTCTATGTGTCTCTGTGTGAGTCTATGGGTCTCTGTGTGAGTCTATGTGTCTCTGTGTGAGTCTATGTGTCTCTGTGTGAGTCTATGTGTCTCTGTGTGAGTCTATGTGTCTCTGTGTGAGTCTATGGGCCTCTGTGTGAGTCTATGTGTCTCTGTGTGAGTCTATGTGTCTCTGTGTGAGTCTATGTGTCTCTGTGTGAGTCTATGTGTCTCTGTGTGAGTCTATGTGTCTCTGTGTGAGTCTATGTGTCTCTGTGTGAGTCTATGTGTCTCTGTGTGAGTCTATGGGTCTCTGTGTGGGTCTATGGGTCTCTGTGTGAGTCTATGGGTCTCTGTGTGAGTCTATGGGTCTCTGTGTGAGTCTATGGGTCTCTGTGTGAGTCTAAGGGTCTCTGTATGAGTCTATGTGTCTCTGTGTGAGTCTATGGGTCTCTGTGTGAGTCTATGTGTCTCTGTGTGAGTCTATGGGTCTCTGTATGAGTCTATGTGTCTCTGTGTGAGTCTATGGGTCTCTGTGTGAGTCTGTGTCTCTGTGTGAGTCTATGGGTCTCTGTGTGAGTCTATGTGTCTCTGTGTGAGTCTATGGGTCTCTGTGTGAGTCTATGGGTCTCTGTGTGGGTCTATGGGTCTATGTGTGAGTCTATGGGTCTCTGTGTGAGTCTATGTGTCTCTGTGTGAGTCTATGGGTCTCTGTGTGAGTCTATGGGTCTCTGTGTGAGTCTATGGGTCTCTGTGTGGGTCTATGGGTCTCTGTGTGAGTCTATGGGTCTCTGTGTGAGTCTACGTGTCTCTGTGTGAGTCTATGGGTCTCTGTGTGAGTCTATGCGTCTGTGTGAGTCTATGGGTCTCTGTGTGAGTCTATGGGTCTATGTGTGATTCTATGCGTCTCTGTGTGAGTCTACGTGTCTCTGTGTGAGTCTACGTGTCTCTGTGTGGGTCTATGGGTCTCTGTGTGAGTCTATGGGTCTATGTGTGATTCTATGGGTCTCTGTGTGAGTCTATGGGTCTCTGTGTGAGTCTATGCGTCTCTGTGTGAGTCTATGGGTCTCTGTGTGGGTCTATGGGTCTCTGTGTGAGTCTATGTGTCTCTGTGTGAGTCTATGGGTCTCTGTGTGAGTCTATGTGTCTCTGTGTGAGTCTATGGGTCTCTGTGAGAGTCTATGGGTCTCTGCGTGAGTCTATGGGTCTCTGTGCGAGTCTATGTTTCTCTGTGTGAGTCTATGGGTCTCTGTGTGAGTCTGTGGGTCACTGTGTGAGTCTATGGGTCTCTGCGTGAGTCTATGGGTCTCTGTGTGAGTCTATGTTTCTCTGTGTGAGTCTATGGGTCTCTGTGTGAGTCTATGGGTCTCTGTGTGAGTCTGTGGGTCACTGTGTGAGTCTATGGGTCTCTGCGTGAGTCTATGGGTCTCTGTGTGAGTCTATGTTTCTCTGTGTGAGTCTGTGGGTCACTGTGTGAGTCTGTGGGCCACTGTGTGAGTCTATGGGTCTCTGTGAGAGTCTATGTGTCTCTGTGCGAGTCTATGGGCCTCTGTGTGAGTCTATGGGTCTCTATGTGAGTCTATGGGTCTCTGTGTGAGTCTATGGGCCTCTGTGTGAGTCTAGGTGTCTCTGTGTGAGTCTATGTGTCTCTGTGCGAGTCTATGGGTCTCTGTGTGGGTCTATGGGTCTCTGTGTGAGTCTATGTGTCTCTGTGCGAGTCTAGGTGTCTCTGTGCGAGTCTCTGTGTGTATGTATGTTGAACTTCCTTCGCACCGTACGCAGCCAACCCTGCTCATCGGAGCTGCGGGGGCAGGGAAGGACAACAAACTAATCACGCACGCAACACAAAAACAACTCTGACGCATCGGCGCTACCTGCTGGAAGAACACGTTGACGTCTTCCGCGACCTCTGGGCTCTGGCCCAGGCTGTCGGACAGCAGGCGCGTCACGGCGCGTCCGAAGTCGCGGAGTTCGCGCAGCGCGACGTCTCTCTCGGCGAGCGTCGCATCGCGGCTCTTGGCGGCCGCACGCAACTCGCGGGACAGCTTGGAGCACTGCGGGCCGGCGCGGAGAGAGACGGGGGTGGGGGTGGGGAGAGTGGCGAAGAGCGAACGACCAAGGCTTTAGCGGTGGTAGCGTCGTCGTCAGTCTCAGTAGTCACATCATCGTCATGGTCATAAGTATCATCATCAGGGTCATCATCAGTCTCAGCAGTCGCATCATCATCAGGGTGAGCAGTAGCATCATCAGTCTCAGCAGTAGCATCATCATCAGGGTCATCATCAGTCTCAGCAGTCGCATCATGATCAGTCTCAGCAGTAGCATCATGATCAGGGTCATCAGTATCATCATCAGTCTCAGCATTAGCATCATCGTCATGGTCATCAGTATCATCATCAGGGTCATCATCAGTCTCAGCAGTCGCATCATGATCAGTCTCAGCAGTAGCATCATGATCAGGGTCATCAGTATCATCATCAGTCTCAGCATTAGCATCATCATCATGGTCATCAGTATCATCATCAGGGTCATCATCAGTCTCAGCAGTAGCATCATCATCAGGGTGAGCAGTAGCATCATCAGTCTCAGCAGTAGCATCATCATCAGGGTTATCATCAGTCTCAGCAGTCGCATCATGATCAGGGTCATCAGTATCATCATCAGGTTCATCATCAGCCTCAGCAGTAGCATCATCATCATGGTCATCATCAGCCTCAGCAGTAGCATCATTATCAGTCTCAACAGTATCATCAGCATAATCATGGTCAGCAGTAACATCATCATCATCATGGTCAGCAGTAGCATCATCATCAGGGTCATCATCAGTCTCAGCAGTCGCATCATGATCAGGGTCATCAGTATCATCATCAGTCTCAGCAGTAGCATCATCATCAGGGTCATCAGTATCATCATCAGTCTCAGCAGTTGCATCATCATCATCAGGGTCATCAGTATCATCATCAGTCTCAGCAGTAGCATCATGATCAGGGTCATCAGTATCATCATCAGTATCATCATCAGTCTCAGCAGTAGCATCATGATCAGGGTCATCAGCATCATCATCAGTCTCAGCAGTAGCATCATGATCAGGGTCATCAGTATCATCATCATCAGGTTCATCATCAGTCTCAGCAGTAGCATCATTACCAGTCTTAGCAGTAGCATCATTAACACATTGTCCTGCGGAGGGAGCTGGTAGGAACGTTGGGTTGCTCGGTCAATGGCCAGGGTCAACGGCGGCGTGGTGTATTCCGCAAATATGCCCGACTGTGAGTGTGGGCACAAGCCGGCGTGAGTAGGTTAAACGTTGAGTTTTATAAGGGCACCACGGGGTGACCAGCCCCTAGGGTAGGGTACAGGTATCGGGTAGGGTACGGGTATCGGGTACCCGATTGCGACCTCTGGGATGAAGCCATGTTGCAGGCGTGGGTGGGTTGATTCTAGGAACTTGAATTGTGAGAAGAGACAAGACGCTGGGAAATGAGTGACAAACGGTGACTCACCAGTGACTCACGGCCTACACGTACCCGTATCTGGCCGCACCAGGGTCGCAAACGGCTACCCGTACCCGGCCGGGTACGGGTAGCCGGGTATCGGGTAGGGTACGGGTATTGGGTACCCGGTTGCGACCTCTGACGCGACGGCTCCCCACGGCTAGGAATGGAACAGGGCTTGGGCCGCTCACCTGCTTCTTTCCCCGCTCGATCTTCTCCTGCTGCTCCCTGATCTCCTTCTGCAGCTGCTGCACGCTGCCGCTGTGCGCCTTCAGGTCCACCTCCTGCGCATCCCCTTCACTCAGCAGCTCGTCCATGCTCTCATTCATCACCTGCGCGACAGGAGGCGCGTGCGTGTGCGTGTACGTTGAACTTCCTAGGCACCGCACGTAGCCAGCCGTGCTAATTGGAGGTGCGGCGGCGGGGGGGAGGACAACACAGCTGAACTCAAAAAAGTAGTTGTGATCTTCTTCGTTCTTTCGGTAAAGTCACGTAGACAGACCTGGTCTTCACCTGAGGACGGCTGCTTGCGTTGTGGCCGAAACGTCGTGAGAATTATTTTATTGTGTTTTATTTTTATTGTTTTATTATTTCCCTTCTACGTGACTTTACCGAAAGAACCAAGAAGATGGATCCCTGCAGTCACGAAAGCTTTGAATCAAAATTTAAGTAGTTGTGAATGAATGAGTTTGTGGCAATCTAGATCAGGGGTGGGGAACCTTTTTTCTGCCAAGGGCCATACAAAATTATCAACTTATATTTGATTTAAGGCTTTCGTGACTGCAGGGATTTATATTCTTGGTTCTTTCACCTGATGATCATTGCTTGTGTTGCAGTCGAAACGTCGTGAGAATTTTTTATTGTTTTATATTTGTATTATTTTATTGTTTCCCTTCTACGTGACTTTACCGAAAGAATCAAGAATAAGAATATGTTATATTTGGTCAAACATTTAATTAACTCGCCCCTAATGCGATGGGCTGGAACTGCTTCTCTTTGGTGAGGCGTGTGATGTTGTTCGCTGGTATTGATGATGTTGCTGCTACTCGCAACTGCTTTTCCAGGTTTGCTCCTAGATTTATTGAATTTCGAGTCCCGCCTGCAGTTGCCTTGTGGCAGGGCCAGACCAAATGATTTCGCGGGCCTCATACGGCCCGCGGGCCAGACGTTCCCCACCCCTGATCTAGATCATGATTTAAACGTCCATAGCTCCAAGTGGCTTCCTAATATCGGAAGCAAGAGCGTTCCAGACGGCCGTAGAAGCGCATCTGGCACCCAAGTTGGCGGTGTGGAAAGAACCAAGCCCTGTGGCTGCCTTTGTCTCCCTCCAGTGTGTCGATGTGTTTCACAATCCAGCAGGTACTCATTTAAAGGCCCTATCAAGTAGGACCGGCGGCTTAGATATCAGGCAATGGATTTGTTTGTCATGCCCGCTAAATGGATTCAGTTCATCACCAACATCGTCATCATTTAATCAATTAATATTGATTACTAGCCTCACGCTTCGTTGAATTCGTGCATTCAGGAATCGATTGTGTGCAATTATTGCAAATTGCATGAAGATTATGTGTGAAATGTCACTGTTATGCAGTAAACAGGAGTGAAAAGCTTGGGAAAAATGTGAACGGATAAAAGCAAATACAAATTAAAGGGAGAAAAACAACAATTAATTTTTTCAATGAAATCACAACGGAGAATCGTGGCGATTCCATTGAATCACTGACGGAAAGAATAATTACACATCAAATCATTATCATCATTATGATCAAAACTAATCTATTGTGTTTGCCTTCTTGGTTCTTTCGGTAAAGTCACGTAGAAGGGAAATAATAAAATAATAAAAATTAAACATCATAAAATACAATTCTCACGACGTTTCGGCCACAACGCAAGCAGCCGTCCTCAGGTGAAGAACAGGTCTGTCGGAAAGACAGCGTCTGACGCTGTCTGTCATTCAGACGCTGTCTTTCCGACAGACCTGTTCTTCACCTGAGGACGGCTGCTTGCGTTGTGGCCGAAACGTCTTGAGAATTGTATTTTATTATGTTAAATTTTTATTATTTTATGATTTCCCTTCTACGTGACTTTACCGAAAGAACCAAGACGATGAATCCCTGCAGTCACGAAAGCTTTAAATCGAAATTTATTGCGTTTGTATTTTACCAGGTAAGGCCCACTGAGCTGTATATCTCTCTTTCAGAAGCGACCGAGCCATCACCAATGATAGCTCAACGAAGTGGCTTATCATCACGTGGCAATCTATAGCAGCAGACAGATACTCTAAACACGAGATGTCGATTCTAAATGTGGAGGGAAAAACCGTAGGACCCTGAGAAAAAATTCACGCGACCACGGGCAGAACACGCAAACTCCAAATATACAGCAGCAGGCGTCAGGATCAGGATTGAACCCACGACCTCCTGTGTACCAGGCGAGGTAGTCAACATCTCCTAGCCACCGTGATGATGATGAGAGAGAGAGACATGCAAACTCCAAATATACAGCAGCAGGCGTCAGGGTCGGGATCGAACCCACAACCTCCTGCATACCAGGCGAGGTAGTTAACATCTCCTAGCCTCCGTGATGATGATGATGAGAGAGAGACACGCAAACTCCAAATATACAGCAGCAGGCGTCAGGATCAGGATCGAACCCACGGCCTCCTGTATACCAGGCGAGGTAGTTAACATCTCCTAGCCACCGTGGCGCCCTTGATGATGATGATCAAGATCATCGTCCTCAACGGCATGTCTCTGAGGTCGAACAAAAATAAGGATCACCATTTCGTAGGCCCCCTTCGGAATTCCAACCTCAGGACCTCACCCTGGTGTAGGATTCCCCCTTCTCATGCGGGTCGAGCCAGCGGTCGGCTGAACCTAGCGGACGGCTGCCCCCTACGAGCCGTGACGGCGCAATCAAAACGGAACGCGACCAAATCACCGATGGTGCAGATGTTAGACGATCAAAGAGGGAAAAAAAAGGGGGGGGGGGCGATTCACAAGACTAAACTCATTTCTTGAGAACTGTGTTCAGTTTGTTTGTCCGATTATCATGGTCGGCAACGTACGGTGCGAGAGAAGTTCAACCTGCATGAGTACAATGGGACTACTGGATCGCGTGGATCGCTTGCCGATGGATCGACACGGCGAGGATTTAACGCGCGACGAATCGATGGATCAACCGTGAGCAGAATCGATGCAACAGACACCTCGATTGGGGCTACACAAGGCCGTACGTGGGCAGAGACATGCCCCTTACGGGCAACGCAATGCCCACTATCTTCCATACATGGGCTGATCTGTGGAGGAAGTCAGAGCGTTATAACGAAACGGCGCTCTACACGTCGCGTCTGTGTACATGTGTGTGCGTGTAGATTTGCGTATACACTTGCGTATGTATTTGTGTAATGTTGCGTAGATGTACGTGTGTGTGTGCGTTCGTGTGTATCCGTGGGGAGCGATAGTGTAATGGTTAACCCGGCCACCCGAGTTCGATTCCCATCTCACGGCCAACACCAGTGACGATTATCTGAACCGGTCCTGGGCCTCCCCTAGGTCGACTCAGCCTGAGTACCTGGTGCGGTGTGTAAACATCGCCACTGGGGAGACAAAGACGGTCGGGCGTGGTGCTGGCCTACCCACCCCCTCGTGTGCCGTTGCGGCCTTCACAGGTGCTCGCTAACAGCACTTGCCCCTACAGTCTGTTAAGGCTACACGGGGGATCTTTATCCGCGTGCGTGTGATCTCATCGCATCACCTGCAGGTCGTGCTGCAGCTCGCGGACTTGACGCCTCTTGAACTTGAGCTTCTCCTCCAGCGATCGCTTCTGCTCCTCGAGACGCAGCCTCTCCTCGTGTTCAGCGCCTGCGTGAGCGCACGGTACGCACGGCGGGAGAGGGGGGAGGAGAGGGGGGCAAGTGGGGGGGTAGAGAGACCCCTCGGTGCTGTGTCGGCTACAGCAGTCGCCCGTGGCGCTGTGCGGGCTCCGCCTGCAGCGACGCAACTTTTGCTCGCCGATTCAAACTCGTCTTGACGCTCGCCGCGCGAGCACCGGACCGCCTGCTTTAGCTTGTGCCGTACGTACCGCTCTGCGTGCATATACCACTGTGTACGTACTACTGTGTACACACCGCTGTGTACGCACCGCCCTGCGGGACCTTGCTGTGAGACCTGCGCAGCGCCGCGTTGCGCCCGTTCACCACCTGCACCGTGTTCTCCATGGCGCGGATCTCCTTCTCGGCGCGGCGGATTCTGGCATCGAGTTCGTCTCCCTCCTTCTGCATCTCCTCTTTCTCCTGGGCGGCCTGGGCACCCGAGGAAACCGACCGTGTCAACGACACCACGACTGTGCACCCCTACCCCCACCCCACCCTCTCCACGAGCATTTCATCGTGTCCAGGGGTCCGCATGTGGCTCTTTAAAGGACTGCAGTGAGGCATTTGAAAAAAAAACAAGTATAACCCGTAAAAGTTTTTCACTATAAATCCTTTATATGCGTGGCGGCTAGAGTCCTCTCGTCCTCTGGCTTGAGATGGCTGCCACCTATGGGTCAGATGATTGCATTGCACCATTAAGCAATTGGTAATTAAATATAATTTTTTTGTCCTAAAAAGTGTAAAATTTTGGAAAAAAATTTTCACGAACATTAATTGTCACGCACAACGAGTCTGTGTGGAAAATATCAGCTCGATTGGATCACGGGAAGTTGGTTAAAAAACGACCAAAAGATTTGCACGGTCCTAAGCAAGCAAGCGAACTTAATATAAAGGATTTAAAAATGGCTCTTCTTGTTATTTCGAATGCCAACCTCTGACCAAGAAGTTCAACATACATACCTGTATTTACACCATTGGAACCTCATTTGCCAGAAGAAAAAATATGATAATGGTTTTTTTACCCTTCTATCTGGCAACAAAACTGACACCTTTTTTTACAAGGAGTCATGTTTGCATAGAGACACGAGACAGCTTTCCTTAGAGCCTAGTCTCACATGGTGTTGGACAAGATGACGCCAAAAGGCGCCTTTTGGCGTCATCTGGTCCAACACCATGTGAGACTAGGCTCTAAGGAAAGCTGTCTCGTGTGTGGACCAATCAACTTCAAGGACAGTGCATACATTATGAGAGTTATGTTTATTGTTTGCATTATGACTGCAGGTATTGTGGTCTATGCAAACATGACTCCTTGTAAAAAAAGGTGTCAGTTTTGTTGCCAAATAAAAGGGTAAAAAAACAATTATCATACCTACCTGTGTGTGTGCGTGCGTGTGTGTGTGTTGAACTTCTTTCGCACCGTACGCAGGCAGCCGTGCTCATGGGAGGCGCGGGGACGCACGCGCGTACCCTCCGAGCCGCACGCACACGGGCCCGGCACTCACCTTGATCACATAGTAAGCCTGCGATTTATCCTCATCGCCCTCCGGGGGGGCCATGGCGACCGTCAAGATCTCGTACCTCTTGCGCATCTTGTCCACCTTCGAGAGCCTCTCGTGCAGCTCAGCGCTGGAAACGATCGCGACACAACAACAACAACATCAACAACAACAACAACAGCAACAAGAACAACAACAGCATTTTTCGATTTAAAGCTTTCGTGACTGCAGGGATTCATCTTCTTGGTTCTTTCGCTAAAGTCTTCAGACTCTGTCTACTTGATGGACCTGTTCTCCACCTGAGGACGGCTGCTTGCGTTGTGGCCGAAACGTCGTGAGAATTGTTTTATTATGTTTTATTTTTATTATTTTATTACTTCCCTTCTACGTGACTTTACCGAAAGAACCAAGAAGACAACAACATCAACAACAACAACATCAGGCGGGCGACGCAGGGCGCTTTAGGCTGCTGCGACGTTGGGGAACGGCAACCGGTAAGCAACAAAAAAAAAACCCAACACCTGATTCTATTCTTGTGCATGATGATGGTGGCAGCAGCAATGCGGTTCAGGAGCGCCACAGTGGTGAGATGTTAACGTCCTCGCCTGGTACGCAGGAGGCCGTGGGTTCGATCCCGACCCTGACGATGCCTGCTGCTGTAGATTTGTAGTTTGTGTGTCTCTCTCTCTCTCTTTCATCACGGTGGCTAGGAGATGTTAACTACCTCGCCTGGTATACAGGAGGTCGTGGATTCAATCCCGACCGTGACGCCTGCTGCTGTATATTTGTAGTTTGTGTGTCTCTCTCTCTCTCATCACGGTGGCTAGGAGATGTTAACTACCTCGCCTGGTATGCAGGAGGCCGTGGGTTCGATCCCGACCCTGACGCCTGCTGCTGTATATTTGTAGTTTGTGTGTCTCTCTCTCTCTCTCTCATCACGGTGGCTAGGAGATGTTAACTACCTCACCTGGTCTACAGGAGGTCGTGGATTCAATCTTGACCCTGACGCCTGCTGCTGTATATTTGTAGTTTGTGTGTCTCTCTCTCATCACGGTGGCTCGGAGATGTTAACTACCTCACCTGGTCTACAGGAGGTCGTGGGTTCAATCCCGACCCTGATGCTGTATATTTGGAGTTTGTGTGTGTCTCTCTCTCATCACGGTGGCTCGGAGATGTTAACTACCTCACCTGGTCTACAGGAGGCCGTGGGTTCGATCCCGACCCTGACGCCTGCTGCTGTATATTTGAACTTTGCGAGTCTCTCCTCGTGGTCGTGTGGATTTTTCTCAGGGTCTTCCGGTTTTCCCGTCCACATTTAGAAATGTGTGCGTCTGTGTATTTGGCTGCTTTAAGTTTCCACGTGATGGTAAGCCACTTCGTTGAGCTATTATTTGCATAGCTCAGTGAGCCTTACTGGGTAAAACACAAATAGTTTAGCTTAAAGCTCGATGCCCCAATGTGGAGGTCTTGCTGCTGCTGCTGCTGGCTACGGTGAGAGGGCTTCAGCAGAGAGAGTTCGTGTCGCTGTTCCTCCTCCTCCGTTGGAGGAGCACACAGACAACAATTGTTTACGATATGGTCCATAGGCTCACATTACCCATAGACTAACATTGCTCATAGACTAACATTGCCCATAGACTAACATTGCCCATAGACTAACATTGCTCATAGACTAACACTGCCCATAGACTAACATTGCCCATAGACTAACATTGCCCATAGACTAACATTGCCCATAGACTAACATTGCTCATAGACTAACATCGCCCATAGACTAACACTCCCATAGACTAACATTGCCCATAGACTAACATTTCCCATAGACTAACATTGCTCATAGACTAACACTGCCCATAGACTAACATTGCCCATAGACTAACATTTCCCATAGACTAACATTGCTCATAGACTAACACTGCCCATAGACTAACATTGCCCATAGACTAACATTGCCCATAGACTAACATTGCTCATAGACTAACATTGCCCATAGACTAACATTGCTCATAGACTAACATCGCCCATAGACTAACACTCCCATAGACTAACATTGCCCATAGACTAACATTGCCCATAGACTAACATCGCCCATAGACTAACACTCCCATAGACTAACACTGCCCATAGACTAACATTGCCCATAGACTAACACTGCCCATAGACTAACACTTCCCATAGACTAACACTACCCATAGACTAACACTGCCCATAGACTAACACTACCCATAGACTAACATTGCCCATAGACTAACACTGTCCATAGACTAACACTGCCCATAGACTAACATTGCCCATAGACTAACACTGCCCATAGACTAACATTGCCCATAGACTAACATTGCCCATAGACTAACACTGCCCATAGACTAACACTGTCCATAGACTCAACACTACCCATAGACTAACATTACCCATAGACTAACACTGCCCATAGACTAACATTTCCCATAGACAAACATTGCCCACAGACTGCTATTCCCAGACTAACTAATATCGCTCAAGACTACCATTGACCAAGCTGAGAGATTACCAGAGACAGGGCAAACGCAATATTAAAATAAACATCAACCCTGCGCTCCCAGCATCGCGCGGATACCAAACGTGATAAATTATTACGCTTCAATGTATTGCAAGGGGCAAGGGGAAACGTTCAAGGCCCAACGCAGATCTGTGTGAGTGACCTTGCCGACGCCATGATGTTTTGTTCCTTTTCAAGTGCCGTGCCGTGCACTTGAAACATTCGAGGCGTTAATCTTTGCGAGGAAAAGCACTCTCTGGCTTTCTGTCATTATCACATCTCCGGCTGTGTGTGAATGCGTCTTTGTGCATGTCTGTCACTCTAACTCTCTGCGTGCGCTTGTACGCGCGTGTCTAAATGTGCACATTTTTCCGCGTGTGCGTCTTTGTTTTTGCACGTCTGTCTGTGTGCACGTGCGTGCGCGTAGGGGAGTTTGTGGGGAGCGGTGGCATAACGGTGAGCGCGGTGCGCTACGAACCCGGTGACCGAGTTCGATTCCCGCTCACGGCCAACACCGGTGACGTTTATCTCAACCGGTCCTGGGCCTCCCCTAGGTCAACTCAGCCTCAAATGAGTACCTCGTGCGGTGTGCTAAACATCGACGCTGGGGAGAGAAAGGTGGCCGGGGCGTGGTTAGCTGGCCACCCACCCCCTCGTGAGCCGTGGCGGCCTTCATAGGTGCTGCTCGCTAACAGCCCGTGTCTTTTGCACGCGCGTGTGTGTGTGCGTGTGTGTGCGTGTGTGTGCGTGTGTGTGTGCGTGTGTGTGTGTGCGTGTGTGTGCGTGTGTGTCCGCGTGTGTGTGTGTGCGTGTGTGTGCGCGTGTGTGTGCGTGTGTGTGTGTGTGCGTGTGCATGTGTGTGCGTGTGTGTGCGTGCGTGCATGTGCGTGCATGTGTGTGTGTGCGTGTGTGTGTGTGCGCGTGTGTTGCCGGTGGGCACAGGTGGTGCATCAGCCAGTCATCTCGGTCATCTCAATCAGTCGACCCGTGGCAACTGGGTCTGCCCCGTGACCTCCTGCCAGCGGGCGTTCGACACTTCACGTGGTAGCCTCAAGGTGCGCATGGCCTGGCACAAGCGTCGTGGTGACGTCACCACCACTTAGTGGCGAATGGCGGTTGTTGTTGTTGTTGCCGGTGCCCCCACCTCAGCGCCTGCCTCTCCTGCTGCAGGCCGCGCTCCAGAGTCAGCAGCTCATGCTTGCGAGCGTCGTTCTCCAGCGAGCGCTCCTTCAGCGCCGTCTGCAGCGCCTGCTGCCGCTTCTCCAGCGACAGGACCCCGTCGGCGCTTGCGGCCACCAGCGCCCGCACGCGGCGGCACTCCAGCTTCAGCAGGCTCTCCTCCACCAGCAGCTCCTACGCAGACACAGATGCCCCCACAGCCACCCCCCCGTAGCCTTGAAACAGACTCAGTATAAGATCAATAAATATTACATTTCGATTTAAAGTTTTTGCGACTGCAGGGATTCATCTTCTTGGTTCTTTCGATAAAGTCACGTAGAAGGGAAATAATAAATTAATAAAAATTTAACATAATAAAATAATTCTCACGACGTTTCGGCCACAACGCAAGCAGGTGAAGAACAGGTCTGTCGGAAAGACAGCGTCTGAAATCAATCAGTAAATATTCTTCATCGGAATGTGTATTCATGCCGGAGGAATCCGATGGGCTATGAAGCTTCTTTTCTCGCAGAAGTCCAGGTAGGGGCGCTAATCTAATCGGAGCTAAAGAGGGGTCGTTGATACCATTATGTATATGGGGATGCGTTCCCGACAGCGTAATATCTCACCATTGGAACCTCATTTTCCAGTAAAAAATATGATAATTGGTTTTTTACCCTTCTATCTGGCATATTTGGCGTCATCTGTTCCAACACCATGTGAGACTAGGCTCTAAGGAAAGCTGTCTCGGGTGTGGACCAATCAACTTCAAGGACAGTGCACATTATCAGAGTTATGTTTTTTGTTTGCATTATGACTGCAGGTATTGTGGTCTATGCAAACATGACTCCTTGTAAAAAAGGTGTCAGTTTTGTTGCCAGATGAAAGGGTAAAAAAACAATTATCAGCGTAATATCTTTCGTATGAGCAATGTTTGAGGGCTGTTGCGTTCTTCACAGGTGTTACTCGCTAACAGCACTTGCCCCAACGGTCTGCTCAGGCTATACGGGGGATCTTTGTCTTTGTGGAATCAAACCTGCTTGGCGTTCGTGATTTTCTTCATTTCCTTCTCGGCTGAACTGTTTTCCAGGTCCAGCTGCTCAATCTTGCTCGTGAGTTCCGCCTTTTCAGCAGACGAGCGTTCCAGGTCTCTCCGAGTGTGCCTTATGTCATCCTGCGCATGCACGCACACACACACACAAAGATCCCCTGTGTAGCCTCCCATTAGCACGCTTGGCTATGTAAGGCGCGAACGAAATTCAACATACATACACATTCTAGATTTGAAGCTTTCGTGACTGCAAGGATTCATATTCTTAGATTTTTTCGGTAAAGTCACGTGGGTAAAAATAATAATAATTAAAATTAATAAAAGTAAAATAAAAATAAATAAAAAATCACGACGTTTCGGAGGCAACAAAAGCTTCCGTTTTCAGGTGGAACCGTCACAGCACGATAGCTGTATCAAGTGTATCAAGTGATACAGCAATCGTGCTGTGACGGTTCCACCTGAAGACGGAAGCTTGTGTTGCCTCCGAAACGTCGTGATTTTTATTTTATTTTACTTTGATTAATTTTAATTATTATTCTGGGTTTCTAGCCCTGGGTCTAGTGCCACTGTGGCTAGGAGATGTTAACTCTCTCGCCCGGTATGCAGGGGGTCGTGGATTTGATCCTGACCCCGACGCATGTTGTATAAATTTTGATTAAAAGCTTTCGCGACTGCAGGGATTCATCTTGTTGGTTCTTTCGGTAAAGTCACGTAGAAGGGAAATAATAAAATAATAAAAATAAAACATAACAAAATAATTCTCACGACGTTTCGGCCACAACGCAAGCAGCCGTCCTCAGGTGAAGAACAGGTCTGTCGGAAAGACAGCGTCTGAATGAAAATTCATCTGAATGAAAATTCAGACGCTGCGTTGTGGCCGAAACGTCGTGAGAATTATTAAATGTTTTATTATTATTATTTAATTATTTCCCTTCTACGTGACTTTACCGAATGAACCAAGAAGCATGTTGTATCCTTTGCGTGTTCCTCTCTCCCCGTGGTCACGTGGATTTTTCTCCGGGCCCTCCGGTTTTCCCCTCCGCACTTGGATCAACATCACGCGTTTAAAGTATGCAGCGCGGCACATGGCTGATGATGACGACGACCTCAAAGGCTTTACCTGTACCCTGCGGAGCTGTGCGCTCAGCAGCGCGTGCGTGTCATTCCTCTCGCTCAGCTGGGCCTTGAGCTTCGCCACCTGAGCCTCCAGCTGCTCCTTCTCCTCGTTGGAGATGTCCCCCTGCAGCTGGGCGAGGCGGCGCTCCAGCTGCGCCAGCTGGAAGTCCTGCAAAACGCGGGCGGCGCGAACGCGGCGGCGATGCGCGCACGCTGTGATCATTGTGCGAAATTGATTGCGTTTTATTTATTTGGATACTTGTAGCCGATTGGTCTAAATTGGTTATAGCTTTCTGGCACTGCCTCATCATCATCCCTCCTTTACACCATTGGAACCTCATTTGGCAGTAAAAAATATGATAATTGTTTTTTTACCCTCTTATCTGGCAACAAAACTGACACCTTTTTTACGAGGAGTCATGTTTGCATAGACCACAATACCTGCAGTCATAATGTAAACTGCTTTCCTTAGAACCTAGTCTCACATGGTCCTTGAGGTTGATTGGTCCACACCCGAGACAGCTTTCCTTAGAGCCTAGTCTCACATGGGTTGGACCAGATGACGCCAAAAGGCGCACAACTCAAAGACAATGCACCATCAGAGTATGAGAGCTCGCGGTAAGCATTTACACCATTGGTACCTCATTTGCCAGTAAAACTCTGATGGTGCATTGTCTTTGAGTTGTGCGCCTTTTGGCGTCATCTGGTCCAACCCATGTGAGACTAGGCTCTAAGGAAAGCTGTCTCGGGTGTGGACCAATCAACTTCAAGGACAGTGCATACATTATCACAGTCATGTTTTTTGTTTGCATTACGACTGCAGGTATTGTGGTCTATGCAAACATGACTCCTCGTAAAAAAGGTGTCAGTTTTGTTGCCAGATAAAAGGGTAAAAAAACAATTATCATCATCCCTCCTGTGAAGGTTTCCTAGCCTGTGTGAGACGTTGTATGTGTTGAACTTCTTTCGCACCATACGCAGACAACCGTGCTGATCGTAGGGTGCGAACTGCATTCTGGGATGTTGAGACTTAATCAACTAACTTCTCCGCTGTGATGACTTGTTTTTTGTGCTTTTCTTTCGGTGCTATTTCTTGATTTGTTTATTATTTTTTTTACAAAATCCCCCCGTGTGTCCCCTGCATCTCGCTTGCGTCCCCACGTGTCGCCCGTGCCTCCTTCTTTCTCTCCGTGTCTCCCGGCGTCTCGCCTGTGCGCGAACACAGCGACGCGTGCACGCTGGGACGATCGCGTCAGATTGACCACGTTTTTGACCCGATTGGTCGACATTAGTCGTAACTTTATGGCACTACCTCATCGTGAGAAGTTGTATGTGCGTGTGTGTATATGTTGAACTTCTGTCGCACCGTACGTAGCCAACCGTGCTTATTGGAGGTGCGGACTGTATTCTAGGATGTTGAGACTGAATGGACTAACGTCTCTGTTTGGTTGTTGTTGTTGTTGTTTGTGCCTCTTTTGTTTTGGGGCTATTTAATGATTTGTTTATGAATTTTTTATTTCCTGAGGTTTTCCTGTGCACCGCTTGCATCTCCCCCGTGTCCCCACGTGTTCCACGTGTCCCCCGTGCCTCTAGTGTCTCCCGGTGTCTCGCTTCTGCCACAGTGTGTCCCTGTGCCCCCCCACCCCACCCCCATATGTCCCCGTATCACCCCTTGCGTCTCTCCCATTTCCCCACATCGCACCCGCATCTCCCCGTCTCACCAGTTTCTGGGCACCTGCCCGCGTGTCTCCAGGCATGTCTTTCTACATCTCCCCACGTGTCCCCACATCTCACCTGTATCCCCGCGTCTCACTTGTGTCCCCGTGTCTCACCAGTGTCTGGGCACCTGCCCGTATGTGCCAGGCGTGCATCTCTGCGTCTCCCCGTACGTAGCCACGTCTCCCTGCGTCTCCCCACATCTCCCCGTGTCTCCCCACATCTCCCCGTGTCTGCCCGCATGTCCCCGCATCTCACCGGTGTCTGGATACCTCCCTGCCATTCTCCCCACATCTCCCCGCGTGTCTCCAGGCGTGCATCTCTGCATCTCCCCGTACGTAGCCACGTCTCCCTGCGTCTCCCCACATCTCCCCGTGTCTCCCCGCGTCTCCACGCGTCTCTCCAGGCGTGCGTCTCCCCGCATCTCCCCGCATCTCCCCGCGTGTCTCCAGGCGTGTGTCTCCCCGCATCTCCCCGCGTCTCCCCACATCTCCCCATGTCTCCCCGCGTCTCCCCGCGCGTCTCCCCGCGCGTCTCCAGGCGTGTCTCCCCGCGTGTCGTCCCACCTGGCTGTAGATGACGTTGCTCTGCTTGATGGCGTCCGCGTCGAGGCGCTGGAGTCTGCTGCCGAGGCCGGCCATCGAGGCCCTCGCCCCGGCCATCGCCACTTCGGCCTGCCGCTCGCGCACCCTGCCCTCCTGCAGCTGCTGCTCCCGCGCAAACTTCTGGTTCTTCACCTGCGCCAGAGTCTGTTCCAGCTCCTACGCAGAGACGAGGAGGATGTGGAGGAGGTGGGGGGGGGGGGGAAGAGGACTTGAGGTGGCGGAGTGAGAAGAGCTGGAGGGAAGGGTTGTGTTGTTGTGCTCCGTGGCTACACCAGTTCAAGTTCAAGTTAATTTCTTAGGTATTCGGTTCTTGAATCGGGTGCAACCGTAACAAACAAAAAACTAAAACATGAACAAAAAACATCTTAAAGTGAATATGTGACTAAGTGCAAACAGAAAATCCAAGAAAAAACAGCAAAATATTGTGCAAAAATCCCAGTGGGATGCAAGTCAAACAACAACAACAACAACCATAAGACAACTTAGATTAAGGCCATCAGTCTAACTCTGTACTACAACAAACAAACATGGCTAAACCAATACACTTTTCTAAATCACTAAAATAAAGCCATGAAAGCAATGAAAAAGCAATCATAGGAAATGTGACGGAATTTTCACAATAAATCGCTGTATCGGTGAAATTGACAACGGCTGAGAAGCAGGACATTGGGTGCAACGTAGCGCAAACAAGAGCGGCACCATCACAGGATTCGTTACGTTCACACAGCGGCACACAGGATGCACGAGCGTGGTGCTGGCCGAACCGACCCCCTCGTGTGCCGTGCCGGTCTTCAAGGGCGCTCGTGAAACAGCACTTGCGCTGAAAGTCTGTTCAAGGGTATCGGGGGGATCTTCATCTTTGCCTGTGTACGTATGGAGGAGGATCGTTTAGGACGCTACAGGGCCACTGATAGCGGGTGCCCTCCCAACAACAACTGGGGGAAGAGGAGCGACGCTGGCAACAACGAGCAGAGCCCCTGGCGGCAATTGGTGGCACATCTCAGTCAAATTTCGATTTAAAGCTTTCGTGACTGCAGGGATTCATCTTCTTGGTTCTTTCGGTAAAGTCACGTAGAAGGGAAGTAATAAAATAATAAAAATAAAATAATTCTCACGACGTTTCGGCTACAAAGCAAGCAGCCGTCTTCAGGTTGCTTGCGTTGTAGCCGAAACGTTGTGAGAATTATTTTATTTTTATTTTTTTTATTTTATTACTTCCCTTCTACGTGACTTTACCGAAAGAACCAAGAAGAGGCATCTCAGTCAGTCAACCGTAACACCTGGGCGTGTGCCGTGGTGATCTCCTGCACCTAGCCTGGCACGTCGGTCAACCCATAACACTTGGGTCTGTCCCGTGTCGTCCTGCCCGCAGGCAGCCTTCGACACCTCAAGTGGCCTCAAAGTGCACCTGGCCTGGCACAAGTGCCGTGGTGACGTCACTGACACTTCGTGGTGAACGGCGACTGTTGTTGTTGATTTAGTTGTATAACATTTAAATTTGTATTGTGTGCTCTCGTATATGTATGCATGTATACGTGTACATTTGCATGCGTGTGTATCCGCATATATTTGTATATTCGTGACATATTCATTTACATTTGTGTATATGTGTATTTGTGTACATTTGTATGCGCGCGTGTGTATTTGTCTATATCTGCACGTGTGCATATCCGCGTGTATCTGTGCGCACGTGTGTCCGGGTGCGTGTATGCGTGCACGTCCGCGCGATGTGTTTCCGCGACACCTTGATGCGCTGCTGCTCCTGAGCGAACATCGCGTCCATGCGCAGCGCCCGTTCCTCCGCGCTCAGCGCCGTCTCCTGACTCGACTTGAGCCGCTCACGCAGCGACTCCCGCTCGCCCTCCAGCGCACGCAGCCTGCGCGGGCACACGGCGTACAGCACACCCCATGCAGCGCACGGCATGCGCACCGCAGCCCCCCCTCCCGTTACCGTCCGCTCCATCCCGACTCCTGCTGTCTCAAGCCCTGAACTACAGGGCTTGGCACAGCAGCGCACCCTGACCCTGTCTGCTAGAGGACTCCGTACAGCAGCCACCCCGCCCTCCCGTCCCACCCTCACCGACCCTCTCCCACCCTAACTCCTGCTGCTGCTGTCACGGAATCAGAATCTTTGCCCGAGAGTGCAGGGAACCCATCCCGACCTCTCGCCCCGTGACCAATAACGAGACGGGGCCCAAAGTTGCGGCCATGGCATTGGGGCTCCCCCACCCTCCCCCACCCCCCCGGCACCTGGCGTTGTAGCTGCTGCTGCCGAGTCAACGGATCCACCGCTCGTTCGTGCATCGGGCGGTAAGAGGAGAGAGGCGGAGGCTGTAGACTACATTCCTCTAGAGGGTCTCGTCTAGAAGAGCTCCTCTACAGGAGACCCTCTAGAGCAGTGCTCTTCACTCATTTTCGGGGGGGGGGGCACTTTCGCCGATAAGACATCATCGGCGTGAGAGCTACTACCACGCATTTGAAACCATTGGAATTGACAGCACTTTGATGATGATGAGGGTGATGGGGAGCGTTGTCGCATTTGTGTATTGTCGGGGGCGGCACATCAGGGGCCACGCCAAAGGCCACCAGGGGCCGCCAGTGGCCCGCAGGCCCTGCAATCCAGACCACTGATCTAAGGGTATCTACACGAGTCTATGGGTCTCTGCACGAATCTATGGAAGTCTTCTTCACTCATTTTCAGAGGGGGGGGGGGCCACATTTCCGCCGATAAGACATCAGTGTGAGGGCCGCCATAGGGTTTGACAGCACGATGGGGGGGTCATCACGTGTTGTGCATTGTCGGGGGCCACACGTCAGAAGCCGCGCTAAAGGCCATCAGGGGCCGCTATTGGCCCGCGGGCCTTGCAATGAAGAATTTCGTGCAGATCGAACAGCTTGGAGCAGGGGTCGAAAACCTGCGGCTCCGGAGCCGCGTGCTAAATAGATTTTTGTATTTTTATTTTGGCATCTGTGTGGCTTTTTTTCGCAAGCTACCTAGGCCGCAAACCGTAGCAGCCCAACGGAAGCGGCCTATCGTCGTCGCGTGGGAATGTGTCGCGGCCGAACACTCTGAACGCAAGTTGATTATAAACGTGGAGTGAAAGACCGTGGCAACCGGAGATAAAAGACACAGAGAGAGACAGAGACATGCAAACTCCAAATATACAGGCGTCGGGGTCGGGAGAGAACCGATGACCTCCTCTCGACCTCTTTACGGACTGCTTCATGACGTTATTTATTCAGGACCGCCTCGTATTCACATGCATTGCGGCTCATTCAGTTTTTTTGATCGAATTAGAAAAAACATTGTCTGTTCTTGTTATTTTCGTTGCTGGCTCAGAGCATACAATCACCACAGTGCACAGCATCCGACAGACAGAATCGAGCGTACAGCCTTGAGCAACCGTAGCCAATTCACCAAACGTTGTGATTCCTTCTGGTGAATGTGAACGGGTACCCTGATCTCGCTCGAAAGCTGTGACCAAAAAAAATGACCTGCTTTGAGCCCAATAGTATTCTACAGAGCCATCTGTTGGTGGAGTTTACACCGTTTTTAAATCCTTTATATTAAGTTCACTTGCTTGCTTGCGCGCTTACGACCGTTGAAATCTTTCGGTCGTTTTTTAACCCACTTCCCGTGATCCAATCGAGCTGACATTTTGCACACAGACTCGTTGTGCGTGACAATTTATTTTCGTGAAAATTTTTTTTCCAAAATTTTCCACTTTTTAGGGAAAAAAAAAAGTCATATTTAATTTAAAATACCAATGTGATAAAAATGAAACTCTTACTCAAGAAAAACAGAAATGAATAATAAAATAAAACCGATGCCACGCATATAAAGGATTTATAGTGAAAATCTTTGTTTTTACGGGTAAATTTTTTAATTTTTAATTCCAAGTTGGGGGATTATTTACGTGGCATCAGCCCGGACGAAAACTGCTGTTCGCGCTTGTGCAAGTGTTCGTTCTCATGTGTCCTGAGACCAACACCAACATTATTGTGCCATTTCACGATCCAGGTATCGGCCGTCAAAGTCGGTCACACCTTACCCAAGGCTGTTTAATCGAAGGCATGCTTCAGCTGTGCACGATTTTACTTATCGAGGTACATTTTCCAGGGAACACGGAGTGCGAATTTTCGGCCGTACGCGGTTTGACGCTGCGAGGATTCTCATCTCTGCGTTGGCCAAGGAGTGCGCGGTCCGCCTGCAGATGGTGCCGATTCGATATTTCATCACCATCTTCGGTCCCCAACACACTCGAAGCGGTGGTCTCGCTCGACGCGTTACTCTGGAGAGGGCCCCTCAACCGATCATCCCCCTCCACCACCCCCACCAACATCATCATCACGATCTATAGCACCATACAAAGCAGCGCACGGTGTATCGTATAACACCGTACAGCACACGGTGTACACTAAAACAACATCTAGTCACCGTGGCGAGATGTTCACTACCTCACCAGGTATACAGGAGGTTGTGGCTTCGATCTTGACCCTGACTCCTACATATTTGGAATTTGCATGTTTCTCTCCCCATGGTCACGTGGATTTTTTCTCCGGTCCCCCCCCGGGTTTTTTCCCACACATTTAGAATCCACATCATGCGTTCAGAGTATTGTTGCTGCTGCTATACATTTCCACACGACGATAAGCCACATCGTTGAGCTATCATTTGTGTTAGCCAGGTCGCGTCAAAACAAAAACACTGTACAGCCCAGTGGGCCTTACCTAGTAACATAAAACATAGTTTTTAGTTGACTGCCCAGCACAGAGCGTGGTGCATGATACCATGCCAGCACTCTGAATCCATCAATAACGTGAGACAAATGTGAAGCACGCAGCGATCGTGTGCCGTGGGTGGTGCCGTAGTTTGCGCCCACCGGTTCGTCTTGTCCTGCACCTCCTTGCCTAGGTTCGACACCTGTGCCCGGGCGTTCTCCAGCTCAGTGGCCGTGCGCTCCACCGTGCCCTTCAGGGTCTCCAGCTGCACACCAAGCACAAGACACAGGCGAGAGACAGATATCCCCCACCCCCCCATGTACCATTAACGGGCGGTTCAGGAAAATGCTGTTAATGAAGGCCGGCACGGCACACGAGCGGGTGGGTGGCCAGCACCACATCGCACCAGGTACTCATTTGAGGCTGGGTCGACCTAGGGGAGGCCCAGGAACGGTTCAGGTAATCTTCACTGGTGTTGGTGGTCGTGAGCGGGAATCAAAATTTGGTGGCTGGGTTCGTAGGGCAGCGCGCTAAAGCACTACACTACTCCATTCACACATGCACAATACACACAATGTTATTTTAATTCATACTCTTTGGTTCTTTCGGTAGAAAACTAATAGATCACGACGTTTCGAACGCAACACAAGCAAATCGTCATCGGGTGGGACAACCACAGCAAGAAAAAATTAACCCGTAAAAACAAAGTTTTCACTCTAAATCCTTTATATGCGTGGCGGCTAGAGTCCTCTCGTCCTCTGGCTTGAGATGGCTGCTACCTATGGGTCAGATGATTGTCTGCCAGCATTAAGCAATTGGTAATTAAATATTGAAAAAAAATTTCCCTAAACAGTGTAACATTTTTGAAAAAAAATTTCACGAAAATTAATTGTCACGCACAACGAGTCTGTGTGGAAAATGTCAGCTCGATTGGATCACGGGAAGTGTGTTAAAAAACGACCGAAAGATTTGCACGGTCGTAAGCAAGCAAGCAAGTAAGCGAACTTAATATAAAGGATTTAAAAAAGCAGCAGTTTTTCCTTGCTTGTGTTGCCATCGAAACGTCGCGATCTTAAATTTTTCTACCTACGTGACTTTACCGAAAGAACCAAAGAGTATGGATTCCTGCTTCAAATCAAGATTTTATTTCAATTCGTTTCAATAGTATATATATATGTAATAAAGGACTTCGTCACACACACTGCTGATTTCCGTTGCTCTTTATTTAGCTTCTTGCTCGCACCCCGCTGGTCCCGACAGCGGGCCAGCGTCTCCTCACGCGCGCCCCGCACGCGCTCACTCGTCAGCTCCTCCGCTCCCCCACTCTGCACCCCGCTGACCGACGGTGTGCCGAAGCTCCTGCAGCCACGTGGCTGATGGCGCGGATCCCCTCCGGCTACCCAACGTGGTCCAGCTTCGTGACTCTCCCAACTGACCCGGAGCGCTTCCGGGCTGCCACCTATATCCCCTTCACCACGTGATCCTGTCTCCTCCCCTTCCGGACCGTCAGATCCGGCCTTCCCATAGCGCCCCGCTGGCTCCACCCCCGTTCACCTCGCTTCCGATTGGACCCGAGGTGAACGGCTGGCCCTCCCACACGCCCCCCATACCGGGATCCGCCCACCAATACCCCGGCCCGTGTGATTGGGCCACAGCCCAGCAGCGAACCCCGTTTACGCTCGCATTACACACGTCGTTAGTCTTGTAACTGCGATTCTTCAACACGCCATCGTTAGTTTTAATGCGACGGCGTCACGTGTCCGCCCTCCCCGCCGTGTCCGCCGCACCTGGTCGTGCAGCTGCTCCCGCGCGCCGTCCAGTTGCAGCAGTGCCCGGCGCAGCTTTGCGGCGAGGCGCTCGCTGCCCGCCGTGCGCCTCTCTAGCTCCGCGTTGTTCTCAGCCTCGCGCTCCAGGAACTCGCGCTTCTGCCGCAGCAGCTCCTTGCGTCCGCGCTGCTCCTGACGCGCTTCCGCCAGGTCCTGGGCGGCGGGAGGGCAGAGCGGGGGGGGGGGGGGGGGTCGCAGCGTGCCGCGTGGTAGCGGTGGCGGCAGGATGAGAGGCGGGGGTGGTGGGACAGGAGGAGCGGGACAGGAGGAGAGGTACAGGAGTAGTGGGACAGGAGGAGCAGTGGTAGTGGAAGAGAGAGAGAGAAGAGGGACAGGAGTAGTGGGACAGGAGTAGTGGGACAGGAGTAGTGGGACAGGATGAGAGGCGGTAGTGGAAGAGAGAGAGGAGAGGGACAGGAGTAGAGGGACAGGAGTAGTGGGACAGGAGGAGAGGGACAGGAGGAGAGGGACAGGAGGAGAGGGACAGGAGGAGCGGTGGTAGTGGAAGAGAGAGAGGAGAGGGACATGAGGAGTGGGACAGGAGTAGAGGGACATGAGGAGTGGGACAGGAGTAGAGGGACAGGAGTGGAGGGACAGGAGTAGAGGGACAGGAGCGGTGGGAGTGGAAGAGAGAGAGGAGAGGAGAAGTGGCAAAATCAGCAGGGGGCAGACGTAGGAGCACAGGGAGCATCAGAAGCAAAAGATGAAGGAGCGGAAACATTTTTTAAAATAAAGATTCAACAGAAGCAGAAGAGACAGGGGGGGGGAGCAGGGGAAGGAATAAAAGAAAAAACAGCAGCGGCAATGCGGAAGCAGCGGTAGCAGACAGTAGCAGCAGGAGGATAAGCGTAATCAGCGGTTGTATAACATCGGTGGAAGCGGCGGTGATAGGGGAAGACGCAGGTGCAGCAGAGGAGCGGAAGCAGTAAACAGCAGGAGCGGTGGAAGGAGGGGAAACAGTAGCGGCAGCAGCATTGGCAGGAGCCAAAAAAGAAACAGCAGAAGCAGTGGAATAAGTAGAAGCAGAGTGGGTAATGACGTCTAGCAGCATTAGAAGGGGATTCATCAGGGGCAGTGGACAAAGTCTAGACATGTGGGCGATGTGACTATAACGTAGTGGGTTTTCGCAACCAATATTATTAATAATAAAGGTTTTTTTGGGTTCGATCGCACAAGTATAAATGTTGTATTTCGATTTAAAGCTTTCGTGACTGCAGGGATTCATCTTCTTGGTTCTTTCGGTAAAGTCACGTAGAAGGGAAATAATAAAATAATAAAAATAAAACATAATAAAATAAAATTCTCACGACGTTTCGGTCACAACGCAAGCAGCCGTCCTCCGGTGAAGGTCTGTCGGAAAGACAGCGTCTGAATGACGCTGTCTTTCCGACAGACCTGTTCTTCACCTGAGGGCGGCTGCTTGCGTTGTGGCCAAAACGTCGTGAGAATTATTTTATTGTTTTATTTTTATTATAAATGTTGTGTCGTAACCCTCCACCACCCGACACATCCAATCAGTAAGAGATTTGCCACGTAAACAAAAGTCCATTTAGTTGACTATTTCAGCCCACCGGTGTGTTGGAGAGTAAATCCACGACATTCACAATTTGAGTAGTACGACGTTTCGCTAGTAATTACATCCAGCATCATCATCGGGCGATTTGCCAAATCCCTGACTAATTGGCTGTGTCGGGTGGTGGAGGGTTACGACACATTGATACTCTTGGTTCTTTCGCTAAAGTCACGTAGAAGGGATAGAATAAAATAATAAAAATAAAACAATAAAATTCTCACGACATTTCGATTGCAGCACAAGCAATCATTCTAGATTTGAAGCTTTCGTGACTGCAAGAATTCATATTGTTAGGTTTTTTCGGTAAAGTCACGTATTACTGCATTGATGCAGTAATTTTAGCTGTGACGGTCCCACCTGATGACGGAGACTTGTGTTGCCTCCGAAACGTCGTGATTTATTATTTTATTTCCATTATAACTTTTATTAACTTTTAATTGCATTGTTTTACCTACGTGACTTTACCGAAAAAACCTAACAGTATACAAGCAATCATCATCAGGTGTGAAAACCACGGCAAGATAATTTTTGAAAAAAGTGGCGTTTTTTTCTTAACGTCAGCAACACGGACAGCGACTGGCATTGTTCAGACGGACCGGGTCCATCGATGCTCGGAACAGAGGAGGGGGGAGAGAATGAGAATGGAACGCGGTCTGAAAGTCACCGTAAACGTGAACACACTCAATCAAGACCCGAAATGGTTCATCACATCCTTCCAATGATGATCGCTTGTGTTGCAATCGAAACGTCGTGAGAATTGTATTGTTGAATTTTTTACACTATGGGGACCTCATTTGCCAGTAAAAATATGATAATTGGTTCTTTACCCTTCTATCTGGCAACAAAACTGACACCTTTTTGCAAGGAGTCATGTTTGCATAGACCGCAATACCTGCAGTCATAATACAAACAAAAGAACATAACTCTGATAATGTGCACTGTCCTTGAAGTTGATTGGTCCACACCCGAGACAGCTTTCCTTCGAGCCTAGTCTCATATGGGTTGGACCAGATGACGCCAAAAGGCGCACAACTCAAGGACAATGCACCATCAGAGTATGAGAGCTCGGGGCTCTCATACTCAGAGTTATGTTCTTTTGTTTGTATTATGACTGCAGGTATTGCGGTCTATGCAAACATGACTCCTTGCAAAAAGGTGTCAGTTTTGTTGCCAGATAGAAGGGTAAAGAACCAATTATCATATTTTTACTGGCAAATGAGGTCCCCATAGTGTAGATGCTTGCCCCGAGCTCTCATACTCTGATGGTGCATTGTCCTTGAGTTGTGCGCCTTTTGGCGTCATCTGGTCCAACCCATATGAGACTAGGCTCGAAGGAAAGCTGTCTCGGGTGTGGACCAATCAACTTCAAGGACAGTGCACATTATCAGAGTTATGTTCTTTTGTTTGTATTATGACTGCAGGTATTGCGGTCTATGCAAACATGACTCCTTGCAAAAAGGTGTCAGTTTTGTTGCCAGATAGAAGGGTAAAGAACCAATTATCGTTGAATTTTTTGTTATTTTATTATTTCCCTTCTACGTGACTTTACCCAAAGAACCAAGAAGATGAACACCTGGTGCGATGTTTAAACATCCCTGCAGCCACGAAAGATTTAAATCGAAATTTAAGTAGTTGTGAATAATAACCCAAAAAAAACTTTATTATGGATGTCACTATAATCGCAAAGTGGCTTTTCACTTGGGCAGTGTGGTAAGTACGGCCAGATTCTTACCAATCCACTGCTCTCACACCAATCGCCCCTTCCCTGCTGGATGTGACATGTCCACTGACACGCACACTTGTGTATGTTTACGTTTAAGTGTGCAGATATCGGTTTGTCAACTGCGAGCACCTATGAAGGCCGACATGGCACATGAGGGGGTGGTTGACCAGTAATACGCCCGGCCGCCTTTGTCTCCCCAGTGCTGATGATTACGCAATGCACCAGGTATTCATGTAAGGCTGAGTCGACCTAGGGGACGCCCAGGACCGGTTCACATAATCGTCACTGGCGTTGGCTGTTTGACTGGTCATGAGCTAGAACCGAACTTTGGGTCGCCTGGTTGTGTAGCGCCGCGAACGGCACCACCGCTCCCCCCATAGGTACCTGTTCAAGGCTACATAGGTGACCTTTGTCTTTGTGTATAAACCACATGCGCGTAGACGCTGGCGTATCACCATCATCGGGGGAACGCGATCGAGCGAGCGAGCGATCGATCGATCGGGCGAGCGAACGAGCGAGCGATCAATCGATCAAGCGAACGAGCGAGCGAGCGAGTGGGGTAAGGTGACGGAGGGCGGCGCGCACCAGCGCACAGCGCTCGACGTCCCGGTCTCTCCGCTGCATCTGCTGAATCGTCTCCTCCCACTGCTGCAGCAGCTGCTGCCGCTCCCGATGGGCCTGGCGGAACTCTTCCGCGGCCTTGTCCAGCTCCACCTGCAGGAGGCAAAACGGGGAAGATGAAGAAAAGAAACCTCCGTCAGCCGGAGCCCCGGACGCAGTAGCAGGCAGCGCGAGAGCAAAGCCACCGCTGGTGGTATTTTATATTTGCTGCTTTGGATGTCCACACGATGAGCCACTTCGTAGAGCTCACACACAGACTGACACACACACTCTCACACACATGCACACACACTCTCCTCTCACACACACACACGCACACACACACACGCACAACAACAACAACAACAACCGGCATTCGCCACTAAGTGGCGGTGACGTCACCACGATGCTTGTGCCAGGCCAAGTGCACCTTGAGGCCACGTGAAGTGTCGAAAGCCCGCTGGCAGGAGGTCACGGGGCAGACCCAGCAGGTGCCATGGGTCGACTGACCGAGATGACCGAGATGACTGGCTGATGCACCACCTGTGCCCCCTACTGTGCCAACTTGCTGTGCTTTAGCCACCCGGCGCTCCGCTCGTTGTTGTGAGCGTCGCTCCTCCGCCCTCCGTTGTTGTTGGAGGGCGACTGCCTCCAACTGCCCAGTAGCGTCCTTCACGAGCCTCCTCCACTGAGGCCGATCTTGACACCGCTGGTACCAGTCATCGGCAAGTCCACTCAGCTCCACGTCCTCCTGTACCACATCACTCCATCTCTTCTCCAGCCCGTGCCGCGCCCGTCTAGCCCCCTCGATCCGGCCGAACAAAAGCTGTTTAGGCATGCGGTGGCTGGGCATGCGGGCTACATGACCCAGCCAACGCAGCCTTGCCTGCCGGAGGAGCTCACTGATGGGACTTTGCCCAGATCTTTCAAGGATTTGTGAGCTCCTCACACAATCCAGCCTGGTTAAACCCAGGATGGATCGTAGGCAGGCCAGCCTAAATGTTTCCAACCGGCGAAGATGCTCCACCAGGGGGGTCCACGTCTCGCAAGCGTAGAGAAGGGAGGGAATGACCGTGGCCGAGAAGACCTGAAGCTTCGTGCGGAGCGACAGACCAGGTAGCTTCCACACAGCGTTACGCAACCGATGAAAAGATATTGCCGCTCGACTGATTCGGAGTGAGACCTCTGCTGATAGACTGGAGCCGGTCATAAGCACACTGCCCAGGTATGGGAAACTCTCCACTCTCTCCACAACTGCCCCATCACCAATTGGGAGTTGTGGGGGTGGAGTGTCCGATGGTACAAAATACCCAGGCAGGTGCTTAGTTTTGGTGGGGCTGATGGTAAGGCCCCACCTCTTAGTGGCACGCTCCAGTCTCAGCAGCAGCGTCTCCAACTCCTCCTCTGAGTGAGCAGCTATTACCAAATCATCGGCATACATAACGTGGTTGACCAATAGGGAGCCATCCCTTGATCGCACCCGGGCGTCGATCAGCCTCCCATTATATCTGTACCAAATGGAAATTCCCCCGGTACAGCTATTGAAGGCTTCACGAACTACGCGGTCAAAATAGATGTTAAATAATGTGGGAGCCAGAGGACATCCCTGTCGCACCCCAAGGTGTACAGGGAAAGGCTCCGACTCCCGGCCACGTAGTTTTACCCGGGCCCGCTCACACACACACTCTCACACACACACTCTCACACACACTCTCACACACACCCACACTCTCACACACGCACGCACGCACAAAGTTGTGTTTGGAGAGTCACCTGCGTCATCACAGTCTCCGTGACTTCATTCTCGAGGGATCGTTTCTTTTGAGACTCCTCATCCGTGAGCCGGTCCAGTCTCAACATCAGCTCCTGCACCACGTGTCATGATGCGCAGAGGCACAGCAGTGAAGCCACCAGCAGCATCATCAGCATCATCAGCATCATCAGCAGCAAAAGTACCATTATCATCAAGTGGCAGAAAATGTATCATCAGCATCAATGGTGGCAGCATATTCATTCTTAAGTGGGCGCGTGCGTGAGTGGGTGTGTGAGTGTGTGTGCGTGGGTGAGTGTGTGTGCGTGGGTGAGTGTGTGAGCGAGTGAATGGATGAGTAAGCATGTAGGTGAGCGGGTGGCGGGCGAGCGAGTGCAGTGAGTGAGGGAGCGAGTGAGTGAGTGGATGAGTAAGCGTGAAGGTGAGTGGGTGGGCGGGAGAGTGAGTGCAGTGAGTGAGTGAGTGGATGAGTAAGCGTGTGGGTGGGTGGGTGGGCAGGCGAGCGAGCGAGTGCAGTGAGTGAGTGAGGGAGCGAGTGAGTGGATGAGTAAGCGTGAAGGTGAGTGGGTGGGCGGGAGAGTGAGTGCAGTGAGTGAGTGAGTGGATGAGTAAGCGTGTGGGTGGGTGGGTGGGCAGGCGAGCGAGCGAGTGCAGTGAGTGAGTGAGGGAGCGAGTGAGTGGATGAGTAAGTGTGTAGGTGAGTGGGTGAGTGAGCAAGTGGATGAGTAAGCGTGGAGGTAAGCGTGTAGGTGAGTGAGTGGGTAGGTGGGTCGGTAACCGAGCGGGTGGACGAGTAAGCATGGAGATAAGCGTGTGAACAAGTGAGTGTGGGAGCGAGCGAGCGGACGAGTAAGCGTGTAGGTGAGTCTGTGAGCGAGTGAGTGGGATTAGTAAGCATGTAGGTGAGTGGGCGGGTGAGTGAGTTAGCGAGCGAGCAAGTGGACGAGTAAGCATGTAGGTGAGTGTGTGAGTGAGCGAGTGAGTAAGTGTGTAGGTGAGTGAGTGAGCGAGCGAGTGAGTAAGTGTGTAGGTGAGTGAGTGAGCGAGTGGATGAGTAAGTGTGTAGGTGAGTGAGTGAGCGAGCGAGTGAGCGAGTGGACGAGTAAGTGTGTAAGTGAGTGTGTGAGCGAGCGTGTGAGACGAGTAAGCGTTTAGGTGAGTGTGTGAGCGAGCGTGTGAGACGAGTAAGCGTGTAGGTGAGTGGGTAGGTGAGTGAGCGAGCGAGTGAGTGGGTGGGTGAGTGAGCGAGCGAGTGGACGCGTAAGCGTGTAGGTGAGTGGGCGGGTGAGCGAGTGTGCGAGTAAGTGTGTAGGTGAGTGAGCGAGCGAGTGGACGAGTAAGTGTGTAGGTGAGTTAGTGGGTGAGTGAGCGAGTGGACGAGTAAGTGTGTAGGTGAGTTAGTGGGTGAGTGAGCGAGTGGACGAGTAAGTGTGTAGGTGAGTTAGTGGGTGAGTGAGCGAGTGGACGAGTAAGTGTGTAGGTGAGTTAGTGGGTGAGTGAGCGAGTGGACGAGTAAGTGTGTAGGCGAGTGAGCGAGCGAGCAAGTGGACGAGTAAGCATGTAGGTGAGTGAGAGAGCGAGTGAGCGAGTGAGTGAGCGAGCATAGGACAAGTAAGCGTGTAGGTGAGTGGGTGGGTGAGCGAGTGAATGAGTAAGCGTGTAGGTGAGTGGGTGGGCGAGTGAGCGAGCGAGTAAGCGTGTAGGTGAGTGGGTGGGCGAGTGAGCGAGCGAGCAAGTGAGCAAATGGACAAGTAAGCGTGTAGGTGAGCGAGCGAGCGTGCGAGTAAGCGTGTAGGTGAGTGTGTAGGTGAGTGAGCAAGCGAGTGAGCGAGTAAGTGTGTAGGCGAGTGAGCGAGTGGACGAGTAAGCGTGTAGGCTGGTGGGCGGGCGAGCGATCCTCACCCGGATCTTGCCCTCGTCGAGCCGTGCGTATCTCTGCAGCGCCTCGATGTCCTCGTCTCTGCGCGCCGCCTCTTCCAGCCACGCGTCGAGCGCCAGCTCGTCCCAGCGCAGCTCCGCTCGCTTCTCCTCCAGCCGGCGCGTCGCCCGGAACAGCTCGTTCTGCGGCCGCCACCAGCACCGCCAAAAGTTGTCATCGTCGCGGCTGTCGCGGTCATCCCCTTCATCGTCGTCGTCGTCGTAATTTGAAATGCCTTCATCGTCGTCATCATTGTCATTGCCTTCATCATCGCCGATACTTCCATCATCGTCATAAAATAATTATTATGCCGACGGTAATCAACCACACGCGGCTCTGGAGACGCTGGTTGCCGAGCCCTGTGCATGGCTATTCAAGCCATCGTAGCGTGTTCGCGTGTGCGTACGCACACGTGTGTACAAAGATACAAAGATCCCCCGTATAGCCTTAACAGACTGTTGGGGCAAGTGCTGTTAGCGAGCACCTATGAAGGCCAGAACGGTACATCGAGGGGTGGGTGGCCAGCACCACGCCCGACCGCCTTTGTCTTCCTAGTGGCGATGTTTACACACCGCAGCAGGTACTGATTTGAGGCTGAGTCAACCTAGGGGAGACCCGGGACCGGTTCAGATAATCGTCACTGGTGTTGGCCGTGAGCGGGAATCGAACCCGTGTCGCCAGGTTCGTAACGCGGCGCGCTAACCGCTACACTACCGCTCACGCACACACGCCAGCGCGCACGTGCGTGCGTGTGTGCGTGTGTGTGTGTGTGAGCTTGCACCTGCTGGTTGTTCTGCCGCTCCCTCGCGTCGCGCATCTCCGCGTCGAGTCGACGCAGCTCCTGCTTGAGGCGCCCGTCCTCTCGCTCGGCGAGTGTCGTGAAGTGCGACTCCGTCTCCAGCTCCTTCTCCCGCGCGCGGCACAGCACCTGCGAGCGCCAGCGACACGCGCCAACACAAAGGCTCGCCCCCCACCGCCCCCACCACCCCCACCCCCACCCACCCGCCACCCCCCGGATAGCCTCATCAGACCGTTGGGGCAAGTGCTGTTAGCGAGCACCTATGAAGACCCGGCGCACATTGGATTAGCGGTAGGTGTGGCCAGCAAGGTACGTGGCTTGGTTGTGGGTAAAGGAAGCCACCGACTGGAGTTGAACCGGGATTGCTATGCTAGTCGACAAGTGTGTGTTAACCGCGAACCCCCAAAAGACGAAAAAATCCCCGTATAGCCTTTAACAGGCTGTTGGGGCAAGTGCTGTTAGCGAGCAGCTGTTAAGAATGACACGCTACACGAGGGGGTGGGTGGCTAGCACCACGCTCCATCTGTGTTTGCCTCCCTAGTGGCGATGTTTACACATTGCACCAGATACTCGTTTATGGCTGAGTCGACCTAAGGGGAAGCCCAGCACTGGTTCGGTGTTGGTGGCCGTGAGCGGGAATCGAACTCGGCTCTGCCGGCTGGTTTCGCATTGCAGCGCGCTCACCGCTGCACTACAGCGAGACACACACACACACACGCAGCGAGAATACAACAACAACAACCGCCATTCGTCACTATGTGGCGGTGACATCACCAGAGCACTTGTGCCAGGCTATGTGCACTTTAAGTATGGCCTTAGAATGAGACTAACACACGCCTCGAACACACTCCCTCTTACTGCTTCCACTCCGGTGCAATTCTCAGCACCGCCCATCGTCACTTCCAGCGATGTGCCTTGCCCGAGCACATCATGACAATTTCTTAACGTCAAAATGAAGACTTTAACCTCGTATGTATTCTACAATCCACGCGTTCCTCTTTTGGTCTCTCAGAGTAATGTCTTTGTTATTAGCCGCTTATCATACAGATAAGGCTGCACTCACAGAAATTCAAAGGATGCCTCCCAGCCAGAATATGTGGCGCTAACGTCTGCTAATTTTACAGAAGAAAGCCACAGGGCATGAGTGTCTTAGGGCCACAGACATGTATCCTTTGTACGAGTCTGGCGAAAGGTATCGAAACTAAACTGTAGAACCCCGGCTGCTGTTATTGTGGGGCTCATCGACTCAATGGATAGCGAGGGCAAAGCTGAAATAGCCATTTGTGTATGAGCACAACGTGATTGCCTTATACGACGTCGATGTTTTCGAGCAAACCCGGCTGCGTTTGATATAGCGCTGCAAGATGGAAGACGTCAGAAGGCGAAAGTGCCTTCTGACTCCACTCGGCTCCCTGTCATAACTGTGCGCATCATTGAGTTTGCTTCATCCGTTCCACGGATGAAGATCCCGTGTCGCCAGGTGACGGGCTATGTTACAAGGGAGAGCCGTGGTGCTGTGTGAACACAGCAGCAATAAAAGACAAGGCTGGGCCATCGTCCTACTGTAGTGTGGTTTTGGCAAGTGTGTGAGTCTGTGGTTGAGCTTACGAATGAGTGAGTGAGGGAGCTAGTAAGGGAGCGTGCAAGTGAGCCAGGGAGAGGATTATATATCGAGCGAGTGAGTGGGCGAGTGACGGGGTGAATGGGATAGTGCTTTGGTTAGTGAGTGAATTAATACTGATAGGAACCCACTGGTTCCACCAGCCCACAGGGGATTATTGTGTCCGTCCGTCGTGCAGGGAGGGGCTGGGTGGGGAGGGAGGGGCTGGGTGGGGAGGGGAGGGTGGGGAGGGGCTGGGTGGATAGGTTGGGGCTGGGTGGGGAGGGGAGGGTTGGGAGGGGCTGGGTGGGGCTGGGTGGGGGTGGGAGGGGTGGGGCTGGTTGGGGAGGGGCTGGTCACCCCGTGGTGCCCTTATAAAACTCAATGTTTAACCTACTCACGCCGGCTTGTGCCCGCCCTCACAGTCGGGCATATTTGTGGAATACACCACGCCGCCGTTGACCCTGGCTATTGACCGAGCAACCCAACGTTTCTCCCTCTGCAGGAATGTGTTATGTGGGGGAATGACGGTGTCATTGAGGGGATGAGTGGGTGAGTCAATGAGCTAGTGACTTGAGTGGTTGAGTGATGGAGTGAGTTAACAAGTGAATGAAAGAGCGAGTAAGTGATCCGAGTGAATGAGTGAGCACCTGCGTGTTGGTGAACTCCTGTTTCACGTTCTTGAGATGCTCCACCATGGCGTGAAGTCGTTCCTCCTGCTCCATCCTCTCCCCTTCCATCGACACATTCTCCTGCAGTCGCTTCTGCAGCTATAGCAGCAGCACAAACCCGACAGAACCAAGCATTACTGCCACGCCAACACAAGAACACTGTTGTCATTATTACAGTCCTATCATTATGGGGGATGGTTATGCACACACAGTACACACACAGCACACACACAGTACACACACAGTACACACACAGTACACACGCACACCATGTAGTCTCACGTCCGACCGCATAGCCGCATCTGAGTGAATTCAAACCACGTCCCGTCCAGCGGATTTGTGGTAAAAACATGCTGGCCGAATATACAGCGCAAAATTACGCGCACATAGAGCGAGCGAAACCTGTAGACTTGCAATCCAGAAGTTATAGGTTCGATTCCATCTCCCGGAACGGCGGTTTAAACAATGCTGCACGTTTCTTAAACATCCCCGCCTCTGTCCACCCAGCAGCATAGACAGGCACACCACGGTTAGTCGACCCACAGGTACTGTGAGTGTGGTGCAGAGGTCGCAACCGGGTACCCGATACCCGTACCCTACCCGATACCTGGCTACCCATACCCGGCCGGGTACGGGTACCCGTTTGCGACCCTGGTGCGGCCGGGTACGGGTACGGGTAGACCGTGAGTCACTGGTGAGTAACAGTTTGTCACTCATTTCCCAACGTCTTGTCTCTTCTCACAATTCAAGTTCCTAGAATCAACCCACCCGCGCCTGCAACACGGCTTCATCCCAGAGGTCGCAATCGGGTACCCGATACCCGGCTACCCGTACCCGGTCGGGTACCCGGTCGGGTACGGGTAGGGTACGGGTACGGCCGGGTACGGGTACGGGTACCCGTTTGCGACCCTGGTGCAGCCGGGTACGGTTAAGGAATCAAAACCCGTTTGCGACCTCTGGTGTGGTGGGGTAAAGTGTGAGTACTCCCCGCGTAGTCCAAGACGATGAGTGAATGCATTCATTGACGAACGGATGAATGCAGATGTGAGGTTATGAACCCGCTTGCGCTGCAATCATTCATTTGGATAACCCGCGGATAAAGGATGCATTCGTTGAGTCGATTGACTCATCCGCGCAAAAATACGCCAGGCAATTTCAGTTAACGAATGCACTCATTGCATTCATACCAGACTGTACTCGGGGTAGAGTGTGAGTTATTGGGCAGCGTGGAAGAGGAGGCCAAACACCTTCTATAGCACCTCTATAGCGGAGGCTACTTTCACCAGCGGGTGTGCGTTAGAAAGCAATTGCATGGCTGCGCCTAAACTATTTACTGGGGGAAATAGGATGTTGTTGTGAGTGGCGTGCCCTTGCTGGACATCTGCGAAAAAGAGCTTCATAGCTCATCGGATTCCTCCTCCAGTATAAATTATTCCGATTCTGATGCATCTCGTAAACGTCACTTTCTAATGCACCTTAAAAACGCAACATTGTAAAATGTATTTCTTCTTGGTTCTTTCCTTAAAGTCACGTAGAAGGGAAATAATAAAATAATAAAACAATAAAATACAATTCTCACGACGTTTCGGCCACAACGCAAGCAGCCGTCCTCAGGTGAAGAACAGGGCTGTCGGAAAGACAGCGTCTGAATGACACTGAGAATTGCATTTTATTATGTTTTATTTTTATTATTTTATTATTTCCCTTCTACGTGACTTTACCTAAAGAACCAAGAAGATGAATCCCTGCAGTCACGAAAGCTTTAAATCGAAATGTATTACAAATGTAGATCGTACCTTATTACAGACTAATTCAGACCTTAGCGGTCACCCCGTGCCCTTATAAATAGCAACGTTCATCCTACAAAGTCCCATCGCAAGTGAGAAACACTCCCTTGTATTGAAACGGCTGTGCTCCGTACGGACCTGACAACTCCATTTCCCCTGTGCAAGAATACGGGCAAACCGTATGGGTTGACAGGTGTGTAGTATCATCATGGGATCTCCTTTGCCAGTATCAAAACATGATAATCGGGTTTTCCCCTTTTTTCTGGCAACAGAACAGGTGTTAAGATGTTAAAACACAAAATTGAAACCTTTTACAAGGAATCACGTCTGCATTAACCACAATACTTGTGATCAGAATGCAAACAAAAAACATGACTCTGATAATATATGAATTGTCTTTGAAACTGATTGGTCCACACCAGAGACAGCTTTCTTTTGAGCCTCGTCTCAAACGGTGTTAGACCAGAGGACGTTTTTTGTTTGCATTCTGACCGCAAGTATTGTGGTCAATGCAGACATAATTCCTTGTAAAAGGTTTCAGTTTGGTGTTTTAACATCATGACACAGCTGTTTCGTTGCCATAAAAAAGGGGAAAACCTATTCTCATATTCAGGTATGTAGCAGTGTAGTGTATAGTGTAGTGTATAGTGTAGTGTATAGTGTAGTGTATAGTGTAGTGTATAGTAGTGCAGTGTGCAAATGTATAGTGTAGTGTATAAGTGCAGTGTATAGTGTATTGTGTAGTGTGTAGTGTATAATGTAGTGTATAGTGTAGTGCACAGTGTAGTGTAGAGTGTAGTGTATAGTGTAGTGTATAGTGTAGTGTATAAGTGCAGTGTATAGTGTAGTGTATAGTGTAGTGTATAGTGTAGTGTATAGTGCAGTGTATAGTGTAGTGTATAGTAGTGTAGTGTGTAGTGTAGTGTATAGTGTAGTGTATAGTGTAGTGTGTAGCGTATAGTGTAGTGTATAGTGTAGTGTATAGTAGCACACCTGTCAACCCCTTATCAGTGCCCTACCTTATCACAGACCAATTCAGACCCTATTGATCACCTCATGCCCCTTTATAAATACCAACGTTCATCCTACAAACTCCCATCACAAGTGAGAGACACAAACAAATAGACACTTTTTTTGTGCCCCGCATTAAAACGGCTGTACGCGGCATAGACCTAAAAACTAAATTTCCTCCTGTACAAGAACACGGGGTGAAGCCGTACGGACTGTTAACAGGTAAATCACTCTATAGATATATATTTTAAATAATTCAAATGACAGGCTGCAAAGTCGAGGCCTACCTCCATCTCCAAGGCTTTGTTTTCCTCGTTTGCGACTGGGATCGCCATCCCCTCGTCCCATTGCAGCTCTGCGAGCACCGACTCGCTCATCTCGATGTCGGGGGCCTCACTCTTTATCGAGCGATGTGGTTTTTAAAAAAATGTTTTGTATTTTTTCGTTTAAAAATTAGGAACATTTAACCAAAGAGTTTGCGAACAGCGAGTAACCGAATTTGTATACACGCCGTTGCCTTGACGACACCGAGAGCCCCGCCTCCCCACTCGGTCACGTGGCGCGCGTCCTCCACCGCTATTGGCTGATGGGTGAGGGGGGAGAGTGTTGCTATAGGGTGGGGAGCGGTGGTGCAGCGGTTAGCGCGCTGCTGTTACCTGGCACGGCTTGTAAAACATCGCCATTGGGGAAGACAAAGGCGGCCGGGCGTGGTGATGGCCACCCCACCCTCTACGTGTGACACAGTGACGGCCTTCATCGGTGCTGCTTACTTTGCTAAGCTGCACTTGCCCCGAAGGTCTGCTCGGGGCTATGTGGGGGACCTTTGTCTATGTACACGCCCGTTGCCGTGGCGACACGGACTGAGCCCCCCGCCCCACCCTCTCTCCACTCGGTCACGTGGGGTGCGTCCCGCACTGCTATTGGCTGATGGGGAAGGAAGGGGGCGGTGCCAGCGGGTGGGGGGGGGGAGCGACGCTCACAACAACGAGCAGAGCGCCGGGCGGATAAAATACAGAAAGTTGGCTTGGCACATCTACCAGGTAGCACAGCCATTGCACCTTGTCCCGAGACCTGCCAGCGAGCCTTCGACACTTCACGTGGCCTCAAAGTGCACCTAGCCTGGCACGGGCGCCGTGGTGACGTCACCGTCACTTCGTGAGAAAATGGCGGCTGCTTTTGAATTGGAGCGGTGGTGCAGCGGTTAGCGCCCCGAGTTCGATTCCCGCTCACGGCCACCAACTAATATCCGAACCGGTCCCGGGCCTCCCCTAGGTCGACTCAGCCTCAAATGAGTACCTGGTGCGGTGTGTAAAATATCGCCGCAGGGGAGACAAAGGCGGCCGGGCGTGGTGCTGGCCACCCACCCCCCCCTCGTGTGCCACAGTGCCGGTAGCCTTCATAGGTGCTGCTACTCGCTAAGGGACCGTCCATAAATGACGTCACGCGATTTTGGACGATTTTTGACCCCCCCCCCCTCGTGACACGACGTCACAAAAAGTCAGCCCCCCCCTCAAATATGACGTCACAAAGCTCTGCCCCCCCCAAATAAAACATGCTTCAAATCGCTTTAAACTATTGTCATTGTAGTGCGTATTTAATGTGACGCTGCTGCACTCTGATGTTGTAGGAGAATTTTATTATTATTAAAACAGCCGTTTTAATTAAGTAGAACGTGTTGTCTATATTTATTTAAAGTTGCGCATTTTGATGTGACGTCACATTTCTCACCCCCCCCCCCCTCGTCACACATCGTCACAAATGTCTGACCCCCCCCCCCCCCAGCTTTAAATCGAAATATATATTTCGATTTAAAGCTTTCGTGACTGCAGGGATTCATCTTCTTGGTTCTGTCGGTAAAGTCACGTAGAAGGGAAATAATAAAATATAAAATACAATTCTCACAACGTTTCGATTGCAACACAAGCAATCATCATCAGGTGTGAAAAACCACAGCAAGTGACGAAACAGGAGGATTTCTCCATAAATCTGTCTCTCCGCCTGATGATGCTAGTTGTGATTACTGGCAAAACGTCGTACTCAGATTGCAAATGTTGTGGATTTGCTCTACAACACACCGGTTAGTGCTGTACTCGTAACGAATTGGGACGTTCTGTTTAGGTGACAAATATTAGAAATTTGCTGTGTCGGGTGGTGGAGGGTTTAACCACACATTTATATTTACGCGATCTAACCCACATTTTTTGAAATGGATGATAACACATTCCTGCGGGGGGAGCTGGTAGGAACGTTGGGTTGCTCGGTCAATGGCCAGGGTCAACGGCGGCGTGGTGTATTCCGCAAATATGGCCGACTGTGAGGGCGGGCACAAGCCGGCGTGAGTAGGTTAAGCGTTGAGTTTTATAAGGGCACCACGGGGTGACCAGCCCCTCCCCACCCAGCCCTACCCCTCCCACCCCCCACCCAGCCCCTCCCCACCCAGCCCCTACCTACCCAGTCCCACCTCTCCCACCCCTTACCCAGCCCCTCCCCTCCCCACCCTCCCCTCTCCACCCAGCCCCACCTCTCCCATTTTTGGATGCACGACGGACGGACGGACACAATAATCCCCTGTGGGCTGGTGGAACCAGGTGGTTCCTACCGGTATCATTTTTCTGAAAACACAGTAAAATGGTTAAAAAATTACCTCTTTTCTCGCACCCAAACTGTACTCACAGAGGGTTGGAGGTCAAACAGTGTTAAGATAACAAAAGGGGTTCCACAGGGTTCCATTCTCGGCCCCCTCTTGTTCTCTCTTTATGTAAATGACTTGGGCACTGAACTGGATTATTCCAGGGTAAATCTTTTTGCAGATGACACGGTACTAATTACTGCTGGCCGCTCTCCGGATGACGTGATTGATAAGCTCCAGAGTGATTTCAACAAACTACAACATCAGCTAGTTGCTCTTAAACTAGTCCTAAATCCTACCAAAACCAAGGTGCTATGCTTCTCACCAGGACTAAAGCGGGAAGTTATTTTTCCCCAATTACATACCTTAAATAATGATCAAATAGAGCTAGTCAATATCTATAAGTATCTTGGGGTCATCCTGGATTCAAAACTGAATTTTGAAGATCACATTGATTATATTGGGAAAAAGACAAAAATTAAAATTGGTTTTCTATATCGACACAAGCACTGCTTCCCCCCTATGTTCCGTTTGGAATTGATTAAATCTACCATACTGCCTATACTGGATTACCGTGACATTGTGTATAAATCAGCCCCAAGTACTGTACTGAAGAAGCTTGACTCAATGTATCACTCGGCCTTAAGATTTGCATTGAACTGCCCATATAGGACTCACCACTGTGATCTCTACATTGGGTCAAACTTAACATCTCTGAATGTTCGACGGCTTGTGCACCAGATCTTATTTATTCATGATGTACTTGCAAAAAAATCTGCAGATTACCTGCTGGATCTCGTCTCTGTTTCAAAGAACAAATTTGACCTAAGGTCTACACTCATTTACCAGCTTAATATTCCCTATTGCCGTACATATACTGGAGGAAGGGCCTTTGCTATTGATGCCCCCAGGGTCTGGAATGCTGTTGCAAATAAATTGAAACTTGAGTCACTACCTATGAGATCTTCACTCAAAACTGCTCTAGAGGAGTTGTACACCCCTAGCTGCCAGTGCTATTCAGTGACCTGAAATAAAATGTTTCACTCCGGATGATCGCTACAAAGTATGACCTGTGTTTTGATTTAGTGTGCTGATCTTAAAGGTGCATTGAAAAATTACAATACTCCGATTGATGCTCCTGCTGTTGTGGAGTGACTCATGCAGCCAGCTATGGCTGCAGGGTTTTGGTAGTACATGTTGTTTATGCCATTTATTGTGAAAATTCCGTCACAGTTCCTATGATCACTGTTTCATTGCTTTCATGGCTTTATTTTGGTGATTTCGAAAAGTGTATTGGTTTAGCCATGTTTGTTTGTTGTAGTATAGAGTTAGACTGATGGCCTTAATCTAAGTTGTCTTGTGGTTGTTGTTGTTTGACTTGTATCCCACTGGGATTTTTGCACACAGTGTTGGTGTACGGTGCTTTTTCTGCAATAATTTTTGCTGTCTTTTCTTGGATTTTCTGTTTGCACTTAGTCACATATTCACTTTAAGATGTTTTTTGTTCATGTTTTTGTTATTTGTTTGTTGCGGTTGCACCCGATTCAAGAGCTGAATGGCTCACAGGGCTACACCTAATAAATGAACTTGAACTTGAAATTCTTGATGACGGACGCTTGTGTTGCGCCTAAAACGTCGTGATTTATTTTATTTTCTACCTACGTGACTTTACCGAAATAACCAAAGAGTATGGATTCCTGCAGTCACGAAAGCTTCAAGTCAAGATTAGTATGGATGATATCACACATATTTATTAATACTGGAAGAATCCGATGAGCTACAAAGTTATTTTTCACAGATGTCCAGTAGGGGTGGGTAAGAAAGTAACAACAACAACAAGCAATACGAATACACCATAGGAGCGCAGAGTATAGGTAAGGAAAACATACATCGCTGTAAAAAAAAATAACTATAATTGAAACTAAACTTTTTATTTATTTTTTATTTTACCAGGAAAAGCACCACTGAGCGATTAGCTCCTTTTCCAGAAGTAACCTGGCCACAAATGTTAGCTCAACAAAGTGGGCTTATCATGTGTACATTTATAGCAGCAAAATAATCTTAATGAAATAAATGCATGAGGACCCGGAGATTTAAAAAAAAATCTACGGGACCACGCGTAGAGAGAGAGAGAGAGAACCACGTGGAAAACACGCCAACCCCAAATATACAGCAGCAGGCGTCAGGGTCGGGATCGAACCCACGACCTCCTGTATACCAGGCGAGGTAGTAAACATCTCACCACGGGGAGAGAGAGAGAGCGAGACACACAAACTCCAAATATACAGCAGCAGGCGTCAGGGTCGGGATCGAACCCACGACCTCCTGTATACCAGGCGAGGTAGTAAACATCTCACCACGGGGAGAGAGAGAGAGAGACACACAAACTCCAAATATACAGCAGCAGGCGTCAGGGTCGGGATCGAACCCACGACCTCCTGTATACCAGGCGAGGTAGTAAACATCTCACCACGGGGGGAGAGAGAGAGACACACACAAACTCCAAATATACAGCAGCAGGCGTCAGGGTCGGGATCGAACCTCTGACCTCCTGCATACCAGGCGAGGTAGTTAACATTCACTGATCTTGATTACTCAATGATGGTGATGATTACGAATCGATTAGATGATGATTAATGAAAAGATGATTACGAAATGATTAAAAGATGATGACTAAATGATGATTACTCAATGATGATTACGACATTATGATGATTACTAAATGATTATTTCAAAATGATGACTAAATTATGATTACTCAATTATTATGATATATTGATCAAATTAGTATTACATTATGGTTATTTAATCATATTTATTATTGCAGTGTAAAAACAGGATAAAAAAATCATGATAATTAAATTATGATAACGTGATGATATTATTAGATTGTTCTTCTTGGTTCTTTCGGTAAAGTCACGTAGAAGGGAAATAATAAAATAATAAATATAAAACATAATAAAATAATTCTCACGACGTTTCGGCCACAACGCAAGCAGCCGTCCTCAGGTGAAGACCAGGTCTGTCGGGGAGACAGCGTCTGAATGAAACAGCACCACGCTTGGAGCGGCTGCTTGCGTTGTGGCCGAAACGTCGTGAGAATTATTTTATCATGTTTTATTTTTATTATTTTATTACTTCCCTTCTACGTGACTTTACCGAAAGAACCAAGAAGATGAATCCCTGCAGTCACAAAAGCTTTAAATCGAT